CTTCCTTAGCTGCCGGCGACAAGTCTGTGTGTTTGTGTAAAATAGTCTTGGTCGGATCGGGGCATCCAGCCACAATTACGATGGGCAAAGTTTCCTCCATGACGAGCCATTGGGGTCCCCGCGGGGTATCAATGAGGTGATGGGCAGAAAGGCAATTGTCTTTTCTTCCATGTGTTTCGGCGCCTAGAGTACAAAGGTACGGCCGCGTGGGATGTCATCGTCTCTGTTCGTCATGACCCTGGTGTCCTGATGATGCACGGAGTACTGGCAGGCTGGCATAAGCTTCTCGCCCAAAAATGAGCTTGGCTGAGTCAATCGGCCGAATGTTACGTTGGGGAAATCAGAAAAACTCAAAAAATGGTACTGCTGATCCGTACAGATAGGTAGGTACTTTAGGCCGATATGAAGGGTTGATTGTTCAACTGTTCGAGAGGAAGTGAGATAAGGTAAGGGCTGTATTCAATGGCAGCTCTTCATTGGGCCATTTGTAATGACAGCAGAGAGTATTGAACACGGGAGCAACGTGGACATCCAACCTAATGCTGAGCTTCTTTCGGGTCCGCGAGGTATCCGTACCTGTTGATATTAGTGACTTCCAAGGTGGTGGTGTATGATTCCGGTGGATAAAAAGTCGTTTAGGAAGGACGCCCCACAGTGGCTCCTAACCTACCTAAGGTACTCCGTACCTACTACGTAAGGTTCCTAAGCTCTGAACTTCTGAAGTGCCCGACTCCACCAATTTGTGTACACTACTCCGTAAGGAAGGCGGGGGCTCTCCAGGTTCCCCCTCAGTAACGGGCGCTTTCTGAGTGGCTCCCCAGGTAGCTAAGATTCTGCTAGTGTAAGTCCCCGTCCCCGCTCCTACCCGAAAATGCCCAGACTCTGGGGGATGCTGGGGGAGGAATGAGTGGGACATTGGCAGGGCGAAATTCGAATGGAGGCGCGCGGACAAGGCGAGAGCGGGACGTCGACCTCTTGCCTTTCCTAAGGTAGTGGGAACATTGGGTACCTAAGGCAAGCACGGCTGCACGACAAGGTAGCTCACGAGGGCAAAAGGCAAAGAGCGCGAGGCAAAGGTCCTTCCGTATCTCCAAATGTCAATCATTGGCCTTCTGCGTCAAATCTCCGAGCCAATTCGTTCTGGCACGTCTGGCTCGACCAATCCTGGCCCATCATCTGCCCATTTTGGCCGTTTACAGCTGCAGCTCCTTTCCGCGCCGCACTGCCTCCGGTTCCTTTCTTTCTCCCTCTCCCTCTCTCTTTTCTCAGCTCCTCCGTGAAAATTCTGACACTTTGTAACCATGTGATTGTCGACTTCGCCGCGCTACCAATTTTGTCGTTTTCGCGCAAGATGAAGCCAAGACTCGGTGAGATTCTCATCAAAGTCAACCCGACAAACCGTACAAATTGAGAACCTCCATTGGCCCTTCGTATCACACAGTAGGATACGGATACCCCCAAGAGGTTCACCAGTGGCGCATAACGAGAGAACGAACGCCATCAGCCTCAAGGTCATGATACTTTGATTGGGCAGCCGGGGATACCCTCTCCAACGCTAGGAGCCCGCCGGAGTGCCTCCTAGTGGGCGGCGTCCGCACTCTTGAATCTCTGGAGTTGACAACGTCCACTGGTTTACTCGCCTCCACCTTGACACTTGTCTCATCGAGAGCACCACGGCGTAGAGGACCGTTGCGTTCTTGGCTAGGTATTCCCCATTCCATTCGAGGCTATCAAATCTCAGCCAGTCCATCGTGAATTGCCTCCCAACATCATCCGGCTTTCCTCGCAACGGCTGGACCGTGTCTACGGCTCACTTCGTATCGGTTGCCCCTTCACTTGTACACTACAGGGTAAATCTCATCAATACCCCTGCAGCATGGGCGGGCAAGCCACGCAGGTCGGTATATTGCGCCGTGGTAACGCAGAAGGGGGACCTGTGTAAACACCCAGTCACACACAACCACCCAACATCACTTTCATATGCTCAATCTTGTTCACGAGATGCCGAGGGACCGCACTCTGGTGGCCCAGCGGGATTGCAACTCTGCTGTTAGCGGGCAAGGGGTCCCCCTACCTCTTCCTCGACACACGATGCGGGGCACCCGCTTAGGTAGGAAGATGGTGTCGACCTTGTAGCTCGGCATGCCACCTAATCTGGCAACGCTGCCCCGGTCAGCCCTTGTAATTCGACCTCCCCTCCATCGCGGATTCGGACGTCAAAGATTTGACCTGGCATATTCTTCTGTGTTGGTCTGTGGAAAGCCTGCCACGCCTGCCATCTGACTGGCCGATCCGTTCTCTCTCGTTACGCACTCTAGCCATGTATCCGTTCGATAGGCACTTCCGGCCCATACACACCCACGCTTAACGGACCACATGCTGCGACCTTGCTTGCACTTACACACGATGCTTGCTCCACGCCCCAGGTACCGCAGGTCCGCAGCACATCCCAACCTACACTACCCTGCCTACCCTACCGAGTCGAGCTGGGTTAGTCGATGGGTCAATAAGGAAGGGGAAGGGTTACACACCTGATGTGGACATGGAGATCTCGAGCTATCGCTGCCGTGTGATGCATAGGGTGCCTACTATTCCCTGGCATCCCCAGCTTTTACCCCAGAAAGCATCTTTCTCGATCTCTGTACTTAAACACCCTCGGTCCCACTCGATTACTTGGTTCTCTGACATCCTAGACAAAGACTGTTGAGCTGTTATCGACGTCGACGTTGGACAGACAGTTTCCTCCCATCGTTCACTCGAATACGTACACACGCACACTCCCACATACATCGGGAACTCACGGAAGTGAAGGATAACCCTACAGCTTTATCGCACGACATCACACGCATAACGAAGTAGTTCGGACAACATGAGTAAACACGATATCTCTCACTCTGAGAATGCTGTCGGTGGTGGTGCTGCATACGGCGGTGGCAAGAGGAAGACATGTATGAGACATTGTGCAAGGTTCTGGTGGCTCTACTTGATCGGTAGCGTCGCAGGAATCCTCCTCGTCGTCCTTCTCATGTAAGTTTCAACATTCTCCCCAAGGCGATGCGATTTCCCGTGTTCTAATGCGAAACTCAGCATCTTTGTTGCCGTACCAAAGATTGCACAAAAGAAGCTCGATGATGCCGAGCTCACAGTGGATGGCATCATCGTCTCCCAGACAACACCCACTTCATACAACATGGCTATCAACTCGACACTGAGGTCAGACGGCTCAGTCAAGGCCACGATCGAGGGTTTCGACGGCAAAATGTTTCTGACGGATCTCCCGGGCGAAGTTGCCTTCGTGAACCTCACGTTCCCCGAGACCAAATCAGTCAAGCTACAGACCGTCAACATTAGCCAGCCCATCCAAATCGAAGACATGCCCGCCTTCACCACCTTCAATACCTGGCTTCAAAACAATGAGTCTGTCAGAGTTACGGTCAAGGGCGACACTCATATCAAGGTCAATGGCATTGCCAGGCGTTACGGGGTTACTTTCAAGAACACAATGACACTGAAGGGTAAGTTCCGCCGCCACGGCACTAATCTACTGTGGCGTCAATTATGCATCTTGCTAACGAAACCTAGGTCTGAACGGCTTCAAGGGCCTTAATGTTACGGATAACACCATTTCTCTCACACCGGACGCTCGGGGTGACAACTTCAAGGGTCACGTCTCGATCCCCAACCCTTCCGTTCTCACACTGGAAATTGTACGTTCATGCAACTTCTCTCACGAGAATCGATGCTAACATCAAGATTCACAGGGCAACGCCTCTTTTGCCAACCTTTTGGACGGCCAGGACATTGGTACCGTCTACCTCGACAATCTCCTACTCCACCCAGGCATCAACAACGTCACCATGCGTGCCAATATTTCTCAAGCCCCCGTCCTTGCCGCCATGCAGAAAAAGCCCGCCTGCGAGAACGGAATCATTCCCTTCAGCCTCCGCGGCAAGAACGTTACCAGTAATGGCCAGAGACTGTCCTACTTTTCCGATGCTCTCTCCTCTGGCGAGGTCGTTACGGATATCAACATTGGCGAATCGTTGAAGAGGTCTCTGAACATCACGTTCACCTGCACTAGCTAGATTCTCAAGCGAACTTGTTAAGTCTGCCACGGACTGAACGAAGTGGGCACACTATTTGCGCGCGGGGAAACGAGTATGGGTGGCAAGGTTGACAGTTCTGCACGAATATGAGAGTATTAATGAATTTTATTACGTTGCTTGGAAAGCTCTTGCGACTCGGGGGTAGCGTTGAGAGCGATGGATCGGACATCTTTGCGGTGGTGATAATCTAGCGACCCTAGATACCTATGACGGCGTAGAGCCGTAACATAGCTGGAATATGATACCTTGTTACCTGACTCTACTGCTCGGGCTGATCACAACGCGACTTGAGGAAGATCACATACGATGTCGCGATAACCTTCAACTGTCAGTGTCGCAAATCCGCACTCTGTTTTTTAAGATTCGACGTCATTCCCTCTCGTCCCTACGACTTCCAGCCTCAACTCTGACGGAATAGAAAAAGTGACGCATCTACCACACACAACCTGTCGTCCCAAGAAAAGAACAATCCCATCCATCCCCCTTTTCTCTCTCGGTCCGTGTCCCAGAACTCGACCATCTGACGACAAATGACGGTTTTCAGAGCACACCCTCTTTGAGCGCACGAGCGCACAACGTTTCCGCCAGGGCAGTCGTCATCTCGAAATAGGGGTATCAATCGTGAAGATTTTAGAGGGCTTTTGGGGCTATGTGATATTTCCCCTAGATCTCTTGCTACCTCTTGCGGTGTGATACCCCGCCTCAAGTTGCTGTCGGGCGCGGGGAAGCCGCATCAGAGATCCGATAACCGTCGTCAATCCCACGTGCTGAAGATCCGCAACCAACGTTGACGCGCGCCTCGGCTCCTCAAGGCCAGAGAAGGAGAAACGAGGCCACACAATTAACCCCCCAAGCACCTGAGACGTCGTTACGAAACTCTGTCTCCATTCTAGACCCCACTGCGCGGCAATGCGGACCATGTAACCCCCCTCGAATAATAATGATGTTCTTTTTCCACGGCACTAGTGTACATTGTATGCGTATGTGTGTTTGTTTGCGGCTAGGCATGCCAGCACATTCTTATTCCCCTCATTGCTATTGATTGAACAAGTTGATGCCGAGGAGATCGACGGCGAGCGTCAGAGAGACACCGAGGTCTGCGACTGCCAATCGAGAAGGAGATTTCGGGTGACTCGAGGATGGGTTACAATTAGAGGATCAAGGATGGAAATAACACAGAGATAGTTCGCTTGGCGGTGGCAGAGATGTGGAGGATTAGCCCCCAATCAATGACACAAGACGTCCGGTAGCTGCATCGATGTCCTGAGAACTCCCCGAGCAGTTCAACCTTGAGCGGGAAATGGAAAGAGTAGGACGCTTTGGACCCATCTGGGCGATGTCTGACAAGTTCCCGTAGAGTAGCCCCTGTCACAGAAGTGTGAGGAAGAAGGATCGATGTTGGTGACTGATGGATACCCCAGCAGTCAGCTTGCCGAGTTGCTGAATCCCTCAAACGCCTGCCAAACAAGACAACCATGGCAAATGAACAGCTGAAGCCGAAGCTGAGGCAGCTGACAGACGTCAGTGACCAAACAGCCCGGATGCCTTGCCAAATGGAATCACTAACCAGGCCCAGCTTGCTGCTCTTCACAGCGCACCCGCCTTCCTCTTTCCTCCACGCGAGACGAGACCCCCTTGCTCGGTCCCAGCAGCAGGCGAAGCAGACTCGGCACCAGCAGCGGTAGCAGCAGCCGGCACGAACTCGACGGGCCCGCCTCCCTTCCTCGCCCCCGCGCCGCGCACCTTATCCTGGCTCTGTCGCAGCGCCGTCCTGCCCGCCCACTCCGGCAAGAGATCCTCCGACGTCGGGTCCCAGCCGAGCGCGGGCGGTAGCGTGGTGGCGTAGCCCGCGCGGCCGTCGAGGTCGACGAAGGACATGAGCTTGTCCGTCAGGCTCGGGTTGCGGAGGGCGGCGGACTGGGCGAGTTTGGCGTTGAAGTGGACGCCCTTCTTGAGGTCGAGAAACTGGGTGAACTTGGCGCTGAGGGCGGGGGGTGGGGAGCCCGGCGGCGAGGGGGGTATGTCGAAGTTGGGAACGGGGGGTAGAGTGAGATCGCGGAGGAGGGCGCGGGAGGCGGTGTATGGCGAGGCTGGAGGTTGGGACGGATCTTCTCCTGAGGGGAGATCTGGGAGTTGAGTATCCATTGGAGGGAGGGATGGGCCTAGTGGGACGGAGTGTTGTTGGACTGGGCCTATTGTCATGGCTTCTGTGGATGGTTGAGGCTCTGCTGGTGGTTGAGGTGCGGCGGCGTTAAGAGGAGGAGCAGCAGCAGCAGCAGGTGATGTTGATGGTGGCTTGTCATTATCTGAGAGGCTCGTTAGTACGAGGTTGTGAGAAGGCCTCAACTAGTTGGTGAGATATTACTTGAGCCTGTGTTATTGTTGGGAGATGTGGGTTTCTCGGCAATCTCAGTCTAGACATTGTGTAAGTGATTGGCTTTCTGAGCGAGAGAAGGGACATCTTTGTGAGCGCACCTTTACATCTTCGACCTCATCGTCTTCGTCACTGCTGGCGTACGCCACCAGACCACCCATTGTATCGACAGTGGGATCTTTATGTCAAAGAAGGTCTAAAAGAGATGTCCTCTTAAGGTAAATTGACGTAAGTTGAGAAGTGAATGAGCTCGATGGAGGGACAAGATAGTTGGGGACAGGTGAGAAGCTCGGTATGCTTGAACGCCCCACGCGACAGGCGACAAAATCTGGGGAATGCACGCGCCTTAGGGTGGTGAGGTATCCGTAGTATATCTTCTACCTAGCGCAGCCTTCCTAATTGCTGATATCACCTATAATATCCAAATTAATCGTTATCCATCGTTAAATTCGAAGGACTGAACCTGGACAGATATTGAAAATAGTGAGTCGAGAACTCTTTCACCAACCATCGCCAAAAGAGTTTCAAGTGAGAATGAGGTACCTTTCCTCTGTAACCAGCCACACTTGCGATGTGGCTGGGAAGTGGTCTGTGCGGCGTCGCGGATAAAGCTCGGTGGAGTTGGCCTCGTTTCCTGGCGCATCAACTTTAATCTGATAATCGTCACGTCGCAACTTTTCCGCCCCTCATGCCAGATCCGTCATTCGCTTGCCAACAGACCTGATTCATTGGAAGAGCGGCCCCGTACAGCGATATTTGCCCACCAGGTCCCGAACTCTCAGAATAAACAGTGGCAAAGAAACAAACACACGAGTGAAGACCCTGTCGAAAAAGTAGCTCGAGACCTACAACATGGCTCGGACCAGGGACTCGCGCTCACCATCGCCTGCAGGAAGCCAATACGCGAGACGCCGCAAAGACGATGACAGGAGGGACCGCCGTGATGATGGAGGCAGAGACTACCGTCGTCGCTCGCGGTCCAGGAGCCCTGGCGATGTGAGAAGACACCGCAGAGAACGAGAAGGGGACGACTCTGACAGGTACCAACAGCGACGATACCGAGATCGCGAGCGCGATCGCGACTCTCACCGCCGGAGAGATCGCTCCATAGACCGACGAGACGACGATTTGTATCGCGGAGGCCGACGAGATAACGACCGCCATAGAGACAACCGGAGGAGGTCTCGCGATCGATTCGCCGACAGAGACCGATCTCTCGACAGACGGCGGCATCGCGATGGCGACAGGGACCATCGTCCAAGGCGAGACGACTCCAGGGATCGAGCTCGCGCGAGGCGAGAGGGAACTGCTGACTCCCGTCCGCGTAGCAGGCGCGATGATAGCCGCCCACGCGGCGCAGCGCCTCCAGAGAAAACCAGTACCCCTGGTAATGAGGTGAGATCGATCACCATGCCCTTTTCAACATGGATCGCTGACTCAATACCACAGGCTGCTAAGCCCAAGCCCGCCCCAGCCCAGACTGAAGCTGACAAAAAGGCCGAACGACTCGCCAGGCTCGAGGCCTGGAAGAAGAGCAGAGAGAACAAGGCCAATAAAGAGAATGAGGTTAATCCAAGTCAGACTAGGAATCTCCTCGCGGAGATGGACAAAAAGTCCGTGGCGTCTCCCGCTCCCGCTTCGCCATCTGTCGCCTCGCCTGCTGTCGCATCTCCCGCAGTCGCGTCCCCGGTGGCATCCCCAGCGCCAACGCTCAATACTTCTGGAAATGCATCACCAGCTGTGCCTTTCGCGGGCAAGTTTGACCCCAAGGCCATTGCGAAGAAATCGGCAGCTTCTCACAAGAACACCGGCACGAATAGTGTACTGGGGGCGCTGGAAGGCCGGCCCGAGAAGTCCACGGCACCTGTTGCACCAATCTCGAAGGGTAAGCTACCACCTCCTTCCTATGCGGATGCGCAAGGGGCATTCATGAGAGGGATACATACTAACAGCATAATAGCCTCAGCACTTCCCGCCAACCGAAACCTGAGCGCTTTTGGTTTCAGCAAAGCGACTGCCGACAGTGAGAAGCTCGCAAGCAAGCGCAAGCTCGATCTCGATGAGGAGGAAGGGACGAAGAGGAAACTCACAAAGCTACCCGCACTTCCCCTCGAGGCTGATGACACCCCCTACGCTGATCAAGATGAAGACGATGAGTCGGACGGTGGCAACTTTGCCGAAACGGAAGAAGAAGCTGCTGCAATTGCCCGTGCTGCGCACGAACGACGCGAGAGAGAGCTGCAGGAGGCGCAAGAAGAGTCGAAGCAAGATGTCGACATGCAAGATGCTGCGCCAACGCAAACCGCCGACCCAGTTGAAGAACCTCCGGTCGCCGACAAGATGGAGGTCGTGGAAGCTGAAGAGGATGATGTTGATCCGTTGGACGCTTTCATGGCCGATCTGTCGGATACCAAAGCCGCGCCGGGTCCCAAGGCAAGTACATCCACGAAGAAGGTCCAGGAGCCTGAGGCGTACTTCAGTGACGATGAATACGCTTTCAAAGCAGACGATGGCCCCAACGCCAATGCAGCCCTCGCCATGGCTGCGAAACGCAAGAAGAAAGATATTCCCACGGTGGACTACAGCAAGATAGACTTACTGCCTATTCGTAAGGATTTCTGGGTCGAACCAGCGGAGCTCGCCGCTCTCAGCGAAGAAGAAGTCACCGAACTGCGCGCGGAGCTTGACGGCATCAAAGTCTCGGGCAAAAACGTCCCTAAGCCGGTACAGAAGTGGGCCCAGTGCGGTCTCAATGAGCGGACATTGGACGTCATCGCCGGCCTTGGCTATGAAAAGCCGACGCCGATTCAGATGCAATCTCTGCCCATTCTCATGTCGGGGCGTGATGTTGTCGCCGTTGCCAGGACCGGATCAGGTAAAACAATGGCCTTCCTCCTTCCTATGTTCCGTCACATTATGGATCAGCCGCCCATCAGGGATACCGACGGTCCCATTGGTCTCATTATGACACCGACTCGCGAGCTGGCAGTCCAGATCCATCGCGATTGTAAACCCTTTTTGAAGGCAATGGGTTTACGGGCTGTCTGTGCCTATGGTGGAGCTCCCATCAGAGATCAAATCGCCGAGCTCAAGCGCGGTGCCGAAATCGTCGTGTGCACTCCCGGCCGCATGATTGACCTGTTGGCTGCCAACCAGGGCCGTGTTACGAATGTGCGTCGCGTCACATACGCTGTCCTCGACGAGGCTGATCGCATGTTCGACATGGGTTTCGAGCCACAAGTCATGAAAATCTTCGCCAATATCCGCCCTGACCGGCAAACCATCATGTTCTCCGCAACCATGCCTCGCAGCATTGATTCCTTGGCCAAGAAGGTACTCAAGTCTCCAGTTGAGATCACCGTAGGAGGCCGCAGTATCGTGCCCGCAAACATTACGCAGATTGTTGAGGTTATTCCCGAGACTGAAAAGTTCTACCATCTACTAGGCCTGCTTGGTGAGCTTTACGAAAAGGATGAGGATGCCCGTACTCTAATTTTCGTCGAACGTCAGGAGAAGGCCGACGATCTTCTTAAGGAACTCATGACCAAGGGGTACCCCTGCATGTCAATCCACGGTGGTAAAGACCAGGTCGATCGTGATTCTACAATTTCCGATTTCAAGAACGGTATCGTGCCGATCCTGGTCGCAACATCCGTTGCAGCTCGAGGTCTGGATGTCAAGCAGCTCAAGTTGGTTGTGAACTATGACCCGCCCTCTCACCACGAGGACATGGTACACAGATCCGGACGAACGGGAAGAGCAGGTAACACTGGAACCGCAGTGACTTACATTTCTGAAGACCAGGAGAATTGCGCTCCTGGCATCGCAAAGGCTCTGGAGCAGAGCGGTGTTCCTGTCCCTAAGCGCCTGGAAGAGATGCGTAAAGCATGGATAGAAAAGGTCAAGGCAGGCAAAGCCAAGGATAACTCTGGCTTTGGTGGAAAGGGTCTAGACAGACTCGATGCCGAGCGTGAAGCTGCTCGTCTTCGTGAGCGCAAGACCCACAAGGCCGAGGGCGAAGAAGACGACGTGAAGGAGGAGAAGGCCGAGGATAAGGGCAAGTCTGCTGTCATCGACATTCAGTCCAAGGTATCAGCCGTTGTGTCCCGTGCCGCCAACAAGCCTGAAGAGGCCAAGGGCAAGGATGCACCGGCTGCCGGCGGCGCTGGAGGCAAGCCGGGACAGCCTCTCGACATGGTCAGCGCAGCCATTAGGAACATCAACGAGCGACTCGGCAAGGCCGGGCAGCTTCGGTCAGGACAGCCCATCGACAATAAGGGCCCTGACGCCGGTGCGTACCATGCCACCCTCGAGATCAACGACTTCCCGCAGAAGGCCAGATGGGCCGTCACAAACAGAACGAACGTGGCCAAGATTTTGGAGGCAACTGGTGTGTCGATCACGACAAAGGGAACCTTCTATCCTGCTGGCAAGGAAGTTCCCGCCGGAGCGGACCCGAAGCTGTACATTCTCGTTGAGGGTGACACGGAGGTTGTGGTTGGCGCTGCTATGACCGAGCTCACCCGACTTCTCAGTGAGGGAACTGTTGCGGCGGCTACGGCCGACAGCCGTGCTCCCGCGTCTGGACGTTATAATGTCGTGTAAATTGCCCGGGTTCTTGTAGTATATCAGATAATGGCATGGTAGCAATAAGGCAGGGGCGCAGAGGAGTCAATAATAACGCTGGCGCTGATGTCCGTTCTTGATGTGCACTTGATTTTTGTAGGATAACAATAAGAGCAGTCGCCGAGGAGACCAGTAGCACCATAGTGAAGCGGAGTTTGAGAAAGCGAAATGAAGAAATGTAGTAACTAATGACTTAGATCAGCCTAGACGCCAGCAATGTATAAACTCCAAACCAAGATTCAAATACCAAAACGAAGAGGTATTATCAACGAACATTGTCCACCCAAATCCAATATCTAATTCATCAAGCAAGGTCGCTAAACCCTGCTTCTCTCTATTTCCCCCTTTATTACGCATCTTGGCTTTAATTATACGTCCTTGCCTCCGCAGCGGCATCGGCATCGCGCTGTCTCAGCTGCTGGGTGCTGGCGTCCTTGAGCAAATCGCTCTGGGTCTGTTTCTTCTGCGCGTTCAATTGCGAGGAGAGCTTCCCGGTGGACTTGTTTGCGGCTTTCGCTCGAGCCTGTTGAGGGGCGTAGGTGTTAGTAGATTTATTCGCGCAGTATTTCGAGAAGAGGGAGGCAGGGGGCAGGTGAATCTCACCTCGGCTGCTTCTGCGGCTTTGCGCCGCGCTTCTGCGGCATCGGCAGACGATTGTTGTCCCGATGCGCCGCCACCGCTACCACCACCCAGTGTCCGCGGCGGACCGCCGACTCTGGCAGGAATCGGCGCAGTCTTTGGCTGGGGCGGGGGAGCGGTGCCAAGCGGGCGGCCTGGGGAGTCGAAGTTGTCCCCCTTCTCCTTGCCGCAGACAGAGCCCATTACGGTTTCTGAAGGAGAGTTCGGATGTTTTGCGATTATGATACGATATCTGGGGTTATAGGATCGCTGTGGTGATGGTGAGCGCGCGCGGAGTGGCGAGGTCGTTTCGGCGCGAGTCGTTCGGAGGAGGACGGGGTGAGGTCGGGGGACGGAGGTGTTCGGGGCCGGGTGTACGTAAGGTGTTTGAGCAGGGTCCCGGGAAGGTGCGGTTCGGAGGTGATGCGGTCAGTTTTTGTCGCAATGCGCTCTTACGCTTGGGTGAGTGTTTTGGAAAATCGTAGCTACGATGGATGGCTCTGCGGGTTGTGAAGCTATTTTGAAGCAAAAAGGTCACGAGGAAAGAAGTAAGGCAGTGTCTAAAGTAGGTTGTTGGTTTTTAGCCGGACAATCAGCGTGGCCGCGTCAGGTAACCTCGTCTATCGATATGAGGCCAAGACTGCCCAGGTTTGCGACGGGACGTTCACTGGTTCAGCAACGGGCCTCCCGCCCATTCCATTGCCCTGCCACAGTGCTCTGTGCCACCCGGTACGAGGGGCACGCTAGCGGTGTTGGGGTTAAGGCGCATCAGCAGTCATGGACCCCTGCCGGGGCCGTCCAGTGCACCGCAGTGACAGTCATTCAGGTTGTACCTCCCCTCCCTTGCCGTTGTGCTCATTTTGGGACTGCGGCGGGGGCGGGGCTCATTGGCTCAAAAGAGAGGCGGGTGCTCCAAAAAAGTTGACGGGCCAATGGCCGAAACTCCAATTCTTTTTTCCCACAAGGTTTGATGAGCTTGAATCAGTAGGTGGGGGATGAGCAACATACAATGGAACAGTTTGCTTCTGCTTCTTCTTCATGATGTTTCTTCATCGGCGACCTGAGGGAGGGGAGACAGGTGAGTGCTTGGTAGAAAACAATGCTACGATATCTGAGCGAGTGAAAGTCCTGGGCTTTCCAATGTCCCACTCGAGCCGCCGGGTGGTTGGAGTTGAGGTCATTGCTGCCGTCGCATAACGTACCTTAGGTAGCGTTTCCCCTTCCTTTTCGTGCCTCCAGCGGATGCGATGCCGATGCTACGTGGGGCAAAACTACCTAGAGGATACTTTGCCTGCCGCCCTACGCGTATGAGATCACGCCGTACCCATCACGTAGCCAACAAGAAAAAGTTTCGTAGCTTGCTGCCCCTCCCCCTCCTTGATCGGAAGCCGATTTTGCGCAACCTCTCCTGCTACCCACAGGCATCATCGCGCAAGGCAAATTTTTGCTTCCCTTGATCCTTCCTGTTTCCTCCCTCTTCTCTTCCTCTTCTTGCTCTATCCTCTAAACAACAATTCTTCCTTCCCCAAGAACTTGTCGTTGTGAGAGCACCAAAGCAAAGATGTCGGGCCAGAAGATTGCCATCGTTTCCGTCTACGATAAGACTGGTCTGCTGGACCTGGCCAAGGGCCTGAACCAGCAGAATGTCCGCATTCTCGCCTCCGGCGGTACGGCCAAGATGATCCGGGAGTCTGGCTTCCCCGTTGAGTAAGTTGCAAGTCCTTGCCGAAACTTTCACGCGTGCAACCCGAAGCTAATGGGCTTTTTTCTGATAGGGACGTCTCTGCCATTACCAAGGCCCCCGAGATGTTGGCTGGCCGTGTCAAGACTCTGCACCCCGCCGTCCACGCCGGAATACTCGCAAGAAACCTCGAGTCCGACGAGAAGGACTTGGCCGACCAGAACATCAACAAGGTCGACTATGTCATTTGCAACCTGTACCCCTTCAAGGATACCGTTGCCAAGGTCAATGTCACTGTCCCCGAGGCTGTCGAGGAGATCGACATTGGTGGCGTCACTCTCATCAGAGCTGCCGCCAAGAACCACAGCCGTGTTACCATTCTCAGTGATCCCAACGACTACGCCGAGTTCCTCAAGGAGCTCCAGGCTGGCGAGATCACCGAGGCAAGCCGTAACCGCTACGCTCTCAAGGCCTTCGAGCACACCGCTGACTACGATGCTGCCATTTCCGACTTCTTCCGCAAGCAATACGCCGCCGATGGCAAGCAGTTCTCCGCTTTGAGATACGGCGCCAACCCCCACCAGAAGCCTGCTGCTGCCTTCGTCAGTGGTGGAGAGCTCCCCTATAAGGTTCTCGGTGGCTCCCCCGGCTACATCAACCTTCTTGACGCCCTCAACAGCTGGCCCCTCGTCAAGGAGCTCAAGCAGGCTCTGGGTAAGCCCGCCGCTGCCAGCTTCAAGCACGTCTCTCCTGCCGGTGCTGCCATTGGCACTCCCCTTACCGACGACGAGAAGAAGGTTTACTTCGTCAACGATATTGAGGGCATCGACTCCTCCCCTCTTGCCCAAGCCTACGCCCGTGCTCGTGGTGCCGACCGCATGAGCAGCTTCGGTGACGTGATTGCCTTGAGTGACATTGTCGATCTCCCCACCGCCAGCATCATCTCCAAGGAGGTTTCTGACGGTGTCATTGCCCCTGGCTTCGAGGATGCTGCCCTTGCGCTCCTGAAGAAGAAGAAGGGCGGCAAGTACCTCGTCCTCCAGATCGACCCCGACTACGTCCCTGCCAAGACCGAGACCCGGACCGTCTACGGAGTCACTCTGCAGCAGGGCCGCAACGATATCGAGATTGCGCCCAAGTCGTTCAACAGAATCATCACTCCCAAGGAGTCTGGGCCCCTCTCCGAGTCCGCCCTCCGAGATTTGACCGTCGCCACCATTGCCCTGAAGTACACTCAGAGTAACTCTGTCTGCTACGCCTACAACGGACAGGTCATTGGTCTTGGCGCTGGTCAGCAGTCCAGAATCCACTGCACGCGCCTCGCTGGCGACAAGGCAGACAACTGGTGGCTTCGTTTCCACCCCCGTGTTCTGGGCATCAAGTGGAAGAAGGGCACCAAGCGCCCCGACAAGAGCAACGCCATCGATCTCTTGGTCAGTGGCGAGCTCCCCAAGTCCGGTGCGGAGCGCGAGATGTTCGAGGCTGTCTTCGAGGAGGTTCCGCCCGCATTCACTGATGCGGAGAGAGAAGAGTGGCTTGGCAAGCTGACCAATGTCGCTGTGTCAAGTGATGCTTTCGTGAGTAAAGTTCGTGCCTGCTTCGAGTGAAAACCTTCTGACAAGAAACAGTTCCCCTTCGTCGACAACGTCTTCCGCGCATCTCGATCCGGAGTCAAGTACATTGCAGCTCCCGGAGGCAGCCAGAATGACGGCGCTGTCTTCGAGACTGCGGAGAAGCTTGGCATTACGTTTGTTGAGCAGAATGTCCGCCTCTTCCATCATTAAGCGTCTGTTATTTATACCAAATCGGTGTTGCGGGATTCAACTTGGGGCATGAGAATGGACGGATTTTGGGTCTGAAAGGGGGAATAAAAGTTACAAATGATGATGATAGCTGGCAACCCAACAGCCTTCGCAACTAGATGCGAGCGGCATGCGAGCGGCACGTTAGGCGGCATGTTAGCTAGCCATGTGAGGTGGCAGATACCATTTGCTAAGCACAGATCACAAAAACGTTGGGTCGCTTTTGTCAGATGACTGTGATATTCAACATATATCCGGAGTAAAATGGGATGGACTTTAAAGGAGTTTAGTTTAGCGGAGCCTGAAATCGGTGGCTGCATGGAAATAAAAGCCATTATGAGACGAGAAACTCGTGTTCACGTGCTATGCAGAACCTGCGGCTGCAGGCGTATGATTTAGAGTTTTCTTCTTTGACTACGAAGCAGATGATTATCTACTGCCAGATGCGCGAACTGCCGATCTCGCAATAGCTCCCGAGGCGGGATCTAAAGCAAGCTCGTCGACGCGAACATGGTATGGCAATCAATGGCAAGGCGACTCTAGACGGAAGTCTATTCGCAAGGCAATACGAAGATGTGCATACGAAGACATGCAGCTCTATAATGGCGTTCCCCTCACGTGTGGCTGACATCTACCGCTCCTAAAGGCTGGCTACCATACCCGGACGCCACTTGGAGCATTTCGAGAAGTTAAGTTTGGTGTTGAGGCGGCATCGTGGAGGTTTTCTGAAGTGAAAACATGCAATGGCGTCGTCCTCGGAACTTTATTGCGCGTCATTGTTCCGCGTGTCTGACAGCCGAGTGGCTTGCCATTGTTCTAAAGTCGGATGAACTATTGACGGATGCTGCCTTGTCTCTTGCTTACCCGTCAGTTGGTCTGCTGCCTCTTGAACGCCCCCTTCGCGGTTGGTAAAGGACGGTCCCTGGCGCACTGACCATCAGCGTGTGTACCTTAGGTATTACTGCGTATTATTCTTAGAGATATTGTCTTCCAGTGCAAACAAACCGGCACGCACGCAATCTGATATTGGACACTGCTTACATACGCAGACCCTGGCAAGACAGGCCGAACCAATGGGGAGCTGCTCATGTGCTGAGAAAGGGCACATGGTGGGGCAGGTACCAACCACGGGCCAGTGATTACAGAAACCCCCCCCGGTGGCACCTACACCCCTGTGGTCAGCCTCTCAGAGCCAAGTGACGAAGTCTCTTTGGAGCTGGGCCCGCCAGTTCTCTCGAGAGACACACGGGCGAGGGCATGAGGACCGGAGAAAGGGCCTCATCTGGGCGGCCCTCTCGTTTTTTCCTACGGCTTTAAGGTTTTGAGGCTTCTTCTCCAGTCGACCTTGACGAGTATAATAAGGTAGCGGCAGTCGGCACCTTGGGGCGGTTGGAAGTGAGGAACAGACACGGCAAGGACTCATCCTCAAGAGACTGAGTGAATTTTGCAGTGCAATATCGCGAACAAGAAAAAAAAGGGAAGAAAAAGCCCGGCGCAACAACCATCGCTCCTCAATTATACCGACAGGTATGTCCTATTAAATCATGAAGCGCATATTTCGCAAGGTGATTGACAGCAATGACAGGGGTTCTGGTGTTACGCTGGCAGGTTAGCCCCTCCGTCACCAGCCAGAGAGGCCGCATTTTCGCGCCAGAGGCCATCAAGGTTCTCACGCCGCACCGCACCTGCTCATCGCGCGCCTGCAACACCGCCTTCCCACAACGTGGGTAGGAACTTCCTACCGTTGCGGGTTGCCCTTGGTCCCTGGGAGTCCTGAGAAGAGGAACCAGTGGTGCCCAGTCCAATCCAATTCTTCAATTCTCGACTTCTTGCCCCTCCAGCCTTGTCAACGGTTTGACTCGCCTGGTCACGCCTCGCCTCGCCTCGCTTCGTACCAACCTTGAAGCTTTCATCCCACTTTCATATTACCCTTCTACCCAAGGCTTGGTTCTGTTTCGTCAGGGCATTCATTACTGGACCTTCCTCCACAACGTTATTCCGTTACTACTACATCTACCCTCCCCGACTCTGACACCTGGAGGAATTCTCCGTCCCCAGGGTCTCAGTTTTGCGGCTCTTTTCTTCCCACCTTCTCCAAGAACCCTCCGACCTCCAGTGGTCCAAGCTGCCGGTCGATCGACAGTCTCCGTGGGACCTCTCCCGAGCCGCATGGAAGATTCAGAAATCCTCAACATCGTCATATCAGAGTTATGGACGGCCAGCACGACGGCTTACCGTCCTTCGGTGGCCACGGCTCCGGCTTCTTTCTCGACCCCTTAGACGTGGAACATCTTAACGACCATTTTACCGGTGGTGTCACTTTGCCAGTATCGCACGATGAGTCCTGTATGGATTTGAACTTCGACCATATTGCCTGCAGAGGCCCGGATAGCAACAACCAGCACCACCCTGTACCCAACCACAACCACCCTCTCACCCTGAATACCATGCCGATGCATGCCCGAAGACACCACAGCCTATCCACGATGCCGACACTACCCAACTACTTCGATCCCAGAGGCCAGGTGCCCTTGGGCTTCGGCTCGAATGCCATCATGTCACCAACGGGGGCCATAGGCTTTGGCGTCTCGACCCCCAACTCGAGCCCTCAGCTCGAGGATGATAGTACCTCCGCGGCTTGCAGCAGCTTGGACTGCAATCGATGTGTTAGCGAGTGTGGCGCTAGTGAAGCTGGCGATATTTGCACCGATGCAGAGTGCGCTCAAGCTTGCGACGATGACGACTGCGACGAAGCTGCTGCGCTTTGTACAGACGCAGAGTGTCCAGCCAACGACATCATCTCTGATAAGGACAAAGCTGCTGCCGATGTGTTGGCGTCTATTGGGGACGCTTTCAGCCAGGATGGCATGCTACCTCCGTCAATGTCTTCGATGCCGTCGATGTCTTCTCAATATTACGCAACCCAAGGCTCCTATCAAAATGGAGGAATCCAAGCAGCAACTCCAAGCCATTTCCACGCCGGCGGGATGACCATGTCGATGGCTCATTCGATGAATATGGGCAACTCTTTTCAGAATAATCCCGACCTCTTTCAGACTGCCCTCGATTCTGTAATGGACTTTCAGGATCCTAGCATGCCTGAGCCCATAGGATGGATGGCACTTGGCTTGCATCTTAACGATCATGCACACGCTCAGACAACCTGTATACGGCCTTGTATGACAGAGAACCGGAATTTGCCGACTAGGTGCCCGCTTCCTCACCAAGCGCATGCTCATCAAGGTGAACTTGATTTCTCCTTTTGCATTCCCGACCCCAGCTCAGGGTTTGTACCTTGCGGCGCTGAGCTCAACGGCGTCGAGGATTGGGCTAGCCATTTCCAAGAACAGCACGTTATTGCGCCAGAAGGAGAGCATACCAACTATTCCCATGCATCGCAACACTCTTACCCAAACCTGATGGCGCCGAATCGTCAGTCTGATTACCTTCCAGGAGGTCTTCCTGACCCGGCCCATGCTGCCCAAGATAAAGAGTCCACCACATCTCCTCTATCAGGGCTCCAGGCGTCTTCATCCCCACAACCGTCTCCGGCCACTGCACAAACCCAGCCTAGCCCTGATAAGCCCGGGGCTGAAGTGTTTACTTGCCAATGGGTAGTCGCCGGTCAGATGTGCGGTATGAGCTACCCGAACGATGACGCTCTGCAGATGCATTGCAAGGAGAGACACATCGTCAACCTTGGTAAGACAGATGCAGGATACAAATGCTGCTGGGAGGGATGTGCGCGTGAAGGGCATTTCACGCAAAAGAGCAAGCTTGAACGTCACCTGCAGACACACACCGGCTGTAAGTCACTACCTCATCGTCTTTGATGTCCAAATATGCTGATAATGCGTCTAGTCAAACCGGTCAAGTGCACTATTTGCAATACCCCGTTGTCTGCCAAGCAGTCTCTTGCGCAGCACATGAGGATCCATACTGGAGAGAAGCCTTGGACCTGCAAGTTTCCCGATTGCAAAGCATCGTTCAAGCAGCAGAGTGCATTGAGTAAGTGAAACCAATATCCTTGGGTCCAAACAATTTCTAACTATGTTCTAGCAATGCACCAGCGAACCCACACAGGCGAGAAGCCACTCAAGTGCGAGGTTTGCGGCAAGGCGTTTGGCGAATCGTCCAATTTGTCGAAACACAGAAAGACGCATAATGTGAAGGGTGCTTTCAAGTGTGATTTCTGTGACAAGGATTTTCACAGACTGGACCAGAAACGCAGACATGAGAAGATTCACCGTAAGGTCGCGGATGCGCTCAAGGCTGATAATTCTACTCCGTCTATCAAAAAGACACAGGGCGGTCGAGTTACAAAGGCAGCAGATCGAAGAAACAGTAAGTGATCAACTTGGACAAGGTTGATCGCTTCGCTGGTAGTTTTTGTGGTTCAAGGGGAGGCATTTTCACATTACGGATGGCTTTTTCTTTGTCGACGTCTCATGAAATACCCTTATAGGCTCCAAGATTCCGGACTGGCGTTTACATGGAGAAATGGATCAGGTCAGGACGGCATAACAGGCTTTGGTGTTCAAGGCGGCGGCTAAAAGTTCAAGGGACATGGACTTACTCTGGCTTTGGTGGGCGTGAGAAAACGCCTTTTTCCATGACGAATCCACGGTAGGTACGGTCAGAAATGAGGATAGAATTAGTATTGTAGTAATACAGTACTAGCAGTAATACAGTACTAGCAGTAATACAGTACTAGCAGTAATACCGTATGAATGACGCTTAATTGACGAAATATATCGAGGATGTTCTCCATGGCTTTCAAGTTGTATCTTTCTGTTTCCAGATTAGTAGACTTGGTTATGCGGACACTCGGCACAGAGGTCACTATTATCATTGAACGAGAGGTTTGTATCAATCCGTAGATGATCCTTTCGGGAGCACATATTCTAAGGTAAAATGGCTTTCCGGTCCTGCCATGGGATTCAGGGAAGGACGTGTCATTGAGTTCCCGGTGATGGCCATCTACGTTCTGTCTCGGTAGGACTTACGCACCCTGTAGGCCATCACAGGCCATCACAGCCCCAGAAACCGGGTTTGCGACGAGAGTAGGTGAGTGGGCGACAATCGGTCGTGCTGTCAATCATTTCTTCTTAGGGGCACGTGTGAGCTAAGGAGTGGAAGAAGGCGTGTGAAGCGTTACTAACATATGAATGACATGACCACGATTGCCGCGCAAGGCAACAGAGTAGTGTTCTTGCCTTTTCTCACGTAGGTTTTCGTCCTGGTTCCGTGCTCCCTCGGCGTTGATGAATACGAGCTGGAGATGGTGGGAGTCTTTCTATGTGGTGTCTGTAGCTTGCCAATCTCGTCATCGCTTCAGCTTGTGACCAAGTATTACACGGCTGCAGATATGACAGTGGAAGTGATGGGATTGTCATGTGGCATGATGAGGACCGGATTCCAAACGAGGTATTCGCTCATCGGGACAGAAGGTGACCATATGAGAGCTTCATGGTCCATTTTTCGCCTTTGTTCGCCATCTTGGGGAGGCAGCCAAGGAGTAGGAGACTTTGACGGCAAATGTCATATCTGGCGAACCACGAGGAAAAAGTTCTAGGGCAATCCCCACGAGTAAGGGCTAACAAGTATTTCTCTCGTGAACGGCATCTTCCAAGAGAGAGAGAGAGAGGTATTGCGGTGAATGTAATTAAGTTTGGAGGCGTTCTGTCGTGGAGAGGGGAACCGGTTTGGTCGTAGAGGGACATACCCGACGCAATGAAATCTCGGATGAGGGACATGGTGTACCTTGGGAGGCGGGGGGCGTGAAGTTGGTAGATTTATCCTTCTGCACCCTCCCCCTCGTGCCCCTTCCCCCCCTTATTTTTCCTCCCCCTCCTGCCTCCTGGCGATGCTTCGGCGAGATTCTGTATTGTGGCTTCACGAAAAGGGGAGGCATCACATGATGATGAAATTTGCCGCGTTGAGGAGAAAGTATTGCGTTGGTTTGGGGAGGATCGTGTTCTCTTTTTGGAAACGATGCCCTGGACTTGGCTGCGGGCGTTGTTCGTGATACTCGACAAATTTGGTGGCGGTTCAGCGGGTCGCAAGTGACGTGGATGCTGACGATGACCAAAAACGTCACGCAATGGCAAGTTGGTCCTATGTCTTCTGTCTGTCAGTCGTGTTCGTGTCGATCGTGGGGAATTATTTGAGTTCAGGCTGTCCTTGGACTTGATGTGCCTTGCCGACGAGAGTTGCTGTCTATGGGTGGAGAGACTCGAAACAGAACGTGAAGTTGAAGCCTGTTCTTTACTAGGCTGGAACAGACGGGATAGCAATGAAAGTATTCCATGGACTGACCTCGCTTCACTGACGATATTGTGAACTTCGTCTCTTCCATGGCCCAGTGCTGTGTCCTGGTGTCCAGACCCGCTCTACTCATACGAAGGCATCGAGGGTAGAGCGTTGGATGAAGCTTCAGTGACATCGCCAGAAGACGGCGTCCAACACCCGTAAACCAATCACTGTGAGCGATTCCGCTTCAGTTTCCTTGTCGTCTCACTTCAACGTTAAAACCAGTAAATACTTTGTAGAACCTATACACATTTGAGAAGAACTTAAGGCGGCCCTCGAAAAGTGCCTCCGTTGTTCCGCACCACGGCTTTAGTGAGTTCACTATATTATCTGACTTTATGGCATTGCGCGTTGTATGGAGCAAAGCCTCGGGTCGTCATATTGCTCCTTTCCTTTTCTCGGCACGAAAGGATGGTCGTAATTGTGTTGGTGGGATGCTACCTCCCACGCAACTTGCCCCATTCCATGGTCGATTGTTCTCATTGTCCATAGAGGGCTTCACAAGCAAATAGAGGTCCGGGAAGAGAAACTAGGATAAGTTGCAGGGAACCATAGGAGCTGGAGCAGTGTTTCTCTGGCTCCAATCTGGTTTACTAAGAAAAAGCGTGCTGCGCTGATTGAAATTGTTCCAGTAGTACTTGCTACTAATAAGACTCTAGTCGATATCGCCATCGATGAGAAGGGGGTAGAGGTGTGTCTGTGGTGACGAGGACGGCATGGCCCCTCATCACCGACTTATGCCATATAATTGCGTGGGGGTGTTCATCTTCTGAACAGGACCACGGGTTCACGAGGCAATGTATCCTGGTGTTCTTTGCTTTAGTTTGCGAATGAAACCGTGAGCTTCAAAAGCTCGTCTTGAGAGCAATGGAGTGTGGCGGAGGCTCTCGGATTGGCGTTTGTCATCTACGGACCACATAGAAATTATGCCATAAAGACGCCAATCTTATGAGGTAGACATGTTTCCAGATACTAAGCAGTCAAATGGGGGAGGGGGGGAGTAATCTAACTTGAGATCAAGTTTGAGGTGTCGACATCCATGATGGATATAGGCCATAGATAGTGGATGGACGACTGAGAGGGGGCTACAAGCTTGAGCATGGATTACGTCTGGTCAGTGCCTGCATGCTTCTCTTAAGCAGTGGAAATCATCACACAACGTCATATATCAATGTATAGGGACTCCATCACATTTGAAGAAAAAAAGAGCAAACTTTTGAAGTCGGGACATCTTTGGGCCCCATCATTTTGGCAGCTCTATGCTACCTCACACCACACACACCCGAGGGAATCCTCTCCCTCCCACCACGCAAGAAAGGAGGGGTGGGAAAGAACAAGAGAGGGGGATTCTTGTGAAGCCCATCCTTTTTCGTTTTTCGCTTGACCAATGTTTTGACCCGTCTTGAGAGAAATCCATTTCGTGTTTTGCAGCACTGGGGGGAGAAATGATAAAAGTGCAAATAAACCCTTAATTTCCCTCCGTGACCATGCAATGCATCATCGAGTAATTCGGGATCCCCGTGTGCCAAAAACGTGTTACGCCTCCGTGACCATTTTCATTGTTCCTCGTCCCCAGATCTAACCCAGCAGCGGTCGGTCTAAATTTAAGCAGACTGTATGAAGAAGTCAGTTTCAATGTTCCCTAAGGGTGCCATTCGTGATTTCGGCCAGGGAACATGAGAAGTAGCGCTCAACAGAGTGTTGAAGATCGTCCCCTCTTAATGCTGCCTTCATCGATCGCTCCTCTCATGGCTCCCAAGCCTCCATTCGAATGGCAGATATTCCGACTCAACTGACCTTGACGGCGAACTTGCGCTGGGGGAAGTGGGTGGTGCGCTTCTTGGCCTTGTCGGTGACAGCGCTGGCCTCCTTCTCGGACAATCTCCGGCGGATGGCACGGGTCTGCTTCGCGCGGAGGTCGAGGGGAGCGTACTTCTTGTTCTTGTAGAACAGGCGGAGCTGGGCGCGTTGCTTGGAGTTGATGACGGTAAGGACGCGAGCGATCGACTTGCGGATGTCGTGGCTGTGGAGCGGAAATTTTCACCAGTCAGTCCTCTTGGTTTCTCTTCTTTCGATTGACGATTCCTCCAATTGACTCGGATCAGGACAGGGGGGATCAAACGCACATCTTGTTCAGCTTGCTGCCGGAAGAGGCGATCTTCTGGATGCGGAGCTGACCGAGCTCGGTCTTGAGCTCACCAAGTTGCTTGGTCAAATCATCCTTGTTCTTGCTCCAAAGGGCGACGGCCTTGACCTTTCCGGACGACTGGGACATGATGAATTCTCGTCAGCGAAACGGGTTCTCTTTTCTCCTATGTGGCTCCTTGCAAGCAGATCCTGCCGCCTCTGGTATTCGCTTTTTTCGTCGGGAAGGGGGTAATTCGGGCGCGGGGTGTCGAGGATTCGGCGGAAAAGTTGCGTCGGGCTGTTCGAGGATCGCGAATTCCATCAGGGAGAGCAAAAGGGGTTCACTCACCATCTTGACTGATATGGGGGGTGGCGCTGGATATCTGGGTTAGTATCGACACGTCGTGAGAGAGGCTGAGGTGATCGATCGTAAATTTGAAAGTTTGGCAAAAAGCTGTTGCCCTAGTTTGTGCGCAAAAATTCGGGACCAGGCGCGGGGCCTGCTGTGATTGGGTGCATGTGGGCCTTGGGGTTTCGAAGTCGCTGGTCATGAACTGCGCCACAGCTACTCCAGCCACAGATTGTCACCAGCCGGGGCTGGCCGTCCTCAAGCCAAGACAGCTTCACTGAGCGAGATATCAATGGCATCGACATGTATTTACAACCTTGTGTCTCAAATCTTTGGAAACATCCAGGAAATCTGGCGATGTTGCACAAATGTTTTAAGGTCTATCAAATGGCTCTTTTGCGTTTGGGTACAAAGATGTCATAGGCTTACTTCCATTTCCATGCTGTTTGTCCCTCGTAAGAACACTTTGTACTATCAAGTCTCTGATGAGGCAAATATACTGCCCGAGTAATAATATCTTCTACAATCGAGTTTTTTCACGGCGTTCTAGCACATCATGAGCAAATCCTTGATGCTCCAGACTCTAGTGCGACTCTACCCGCACCTGCATTTATGGTGCAACACTTTCGGCACTTACATAATCATTCAATGTGCACGGTCCATGTGACGCCGAGCTCCTCCCCTGCTGCATCTGGTCCCTGCCGACAGTCCCAGACACGCGGACATGCCAGAGTCCATCGAAAGACAACATCTCGACGTCGAAGGTCTACAAACGTACAGCAACCACCAAGCCATACATAATCAGCATCGAGGCGCTATGGCTACGGCTACAGGAAACACGGGCTGGGCCCAGCTGCGGCAACAGGCACGAAGTCTAGAAACACAGGTACGAAATTCCTCCGCTCAGAACGTCATCCAGGCTTCCCTGACATCCGGCCTCCACAGACAGAGACGCTATTCCACACCTACTCTCAGTTCTCGACGGTATCCGACATTCCGGCAAAGCCCACAGAAGAAGAAAGGACCACAGAAGCGAAGCTCCAAGATCTTCTCGAAAAAGTACGCTCAAGCCCTCGTTCGAAAGACCTCGGCTCTCACCTTCTTCGCTGCCTTGAACGTCCGTACTAACATGGCCGCCAAACCATCAGCGCGAGAACGTCATTTCGCAATTATCCCGCCTCCTCGATTCGGAAGCTACTCTCACATCATCCGCTCTGAAACAGAACAACCTGGCCCTTCTCCGTGAGAAGCTCGCCGAGCATAAGCGCGATCTCGTGCGCCTGCGCAAAACCATTTCCGAGGCTCGCGATCGCGCCCACCTTCTTACGAATGTTCGCTCCGACATTGACGAATACCGTGCCAATAACCCCGAAAACGCCGAGGCCGAGTACATGCTTGCTGAGCGCAGCCGTATCGATAATAGTCACAACATGGCCGATAGCGTCTTGTCCCAGGCATACGCTGTCCAGGACAGCTTCAATATCCAGCGCGAGACACTCGCCAGCATCAACCGTCGTATCACCATGGCTGCCAGCCAAGTACCGGGGTTGAACAGTCTAATTAGCCGTATTTCAGCTAAGAAGCGCCGGGACGGCATCATAATGGGCGCATTCATTGCGTTTTGCTTTCTGATGTTCTGGTGGTTCTTATAATAAGCGGAGGCCCGGCATGGCTGAAATGACGTCCCTCGTGTGTTTGTTATGTGTTCAACAAAGCCGTTACGACTAGGGAATTATTGGCATGAGGGAAATGCGGAGGCGTTATTGGGATTGTTTTTGAACTTTTTTTTTCATCGGATAGGGGGTATCTTGGGTGCATATTGTACACTATAAGAACACGAATATCTGTAAGCCAAAGTCAGGTTACATGAGCCTGACGGCTATACAAGGTCGACTTTTCTAAGCCACCTTAGAAAAAGGTTCCGTCCTCTTTATCAGGATACTTCCTTCTTTCCCTTCGCTGCGTCCTTGACCTGGGCAGCCTCAAGTGCTGCCTTTTCGTTCTTATTCCACTCGTGGAGGACTAGCTTCATGCCCTTCACCAAGCTCTCCCTCTCATCGGGGTGACTAGGACCACTGGCAGCCCATCTTATCCTACACAGGTTGTCCACCAGATAGACATAGCCTACTTTGCTATTGAGGTACCCAATAGACTCGCTAATCTCGTTTGTGATGCCGCGGGGTACCAAGAAGTACTTTCCCCAATTGTGCTCGGGGATTAGTTTGCGCAGGTTGCCCATGAACATCTTTACGATCCACGCCTTGAACTTGTTGTCCTCAATGTTGAGCTGGAGGACCTGCGTCTTGCCGGGCGTCTTGGCCAGGAGCTCGTGCAGCTCCGGATTGGCCTCGGGGGAGATGAAGGTCTTTGCCTGGTCGTCGGCCCACTGGCTGCTGTAAACGGCGACGACGGAGACCTTGCCGAGGAGCGTCCGCGTCGTGTCGCGGGGGTTGTTTGCGTTCTTGGCGAGTGTGTCGCCGACGAAGTTGGGGAAGAAGAGGGACATGTCGGCCTTGAAGGGTAGAGGGGGCGCGATGAAGGATTTACCCTCGTGGAACTGCATGTTGCGCCAGTCGCGGAAGTAGGGACGCGCCATCTTTTCCTTACTACACAAGGAGGTACATACCAATCAGCAATGCGACCTTGAGTGTTTCTTTGAGGCATTATCACTGGGAAACTCACAGCTCTTTACGACGCACGAGATGCTTGTCGTAGTCGACAAAGTCATCCCTCCGTTCTTTCAGCGACCTCCTATCCACGCCAGAGTTGTCCTCTGGGTGAGGCGGGTGCGCCATGCCGATGGGGCGCGGCAGAGGCTGCGGCGTGAAGTTGTTGATCTTCTTGCCGTATGCTCTCGGAGCATGAATGGCAGATCCGGGGAGGTCGGGCTTCGGAGCCTCTACGGGGGCGGCGCCGGGCGCCGGGTTCGGGAGCTTGTCGGCCAGGTAAGGTCGGGAGGTGCTCAGGTGCCGTCGCCATGCGCAGACTGCGCAAGAGACCATGGTCCTTCTAGAGGCCCCCATGGACAGGGCCATTGTCCGTAACGGTGTGGTTGGAACCATTGCGCCTGGTTGTTTTGTTGTGGTTGGCTTCGACTTTCGAGGTCTGTCGAGGTCTGGTCAATCCATGCCTTGTTGAACATCAAAAAATTCGCGCCACATTACTCCAGCTTCTCTGTCGCGGGAAGCTGGCGCCACAAGTTCTCCAGCCACAACTTAACAAAAGCCCAAGGCCCTTGAGCCGCGAGCGATAACAGAGTGGATTAGCGACGCTTCAATGCGGAGACGAGGGGGAAAGAGCCAAGCGCACTGAACCGACGCAGCGGGTCTCGGGCCAGCCTGCAGCTTCCCCAAGGGGCATTTCACATTGTGTCATGGGGGACTCAATCGACCTTCACTGGCCGAACACCGTGAATAGCCGAGTGTTTGGGGGAAAGGACAATGCCGTCGCCGAGCGGTTCAATCCTCCTGCAAGTGCGTTCGCACATTCCTTGGGAAGTGCCTTCCCTTTTTCTCATCTCTTTTCTAGAAAGAACAAAAATTAGAAGTTGGAAATTGGTTTCTTATCCTTTTAACTTTTCAAAAAACAAGCCAAAATGTTTCTTCAAAGAGGATCGCGCGCCGTCCGGACGCAATGGCACGTCTCCAAGAGCATGGCTCGCCTGGCCGCGGCAAGAGCTGCCGGCGTCTACCCCTCCAGACAGTTCCACGACACACGGCATCTGCGGGTTGTGAAGCCTGTCTTGCTGGCAGATATTGGCGAAGGTTAGAAGTTCCCCAGTTCTACTTCTTGTTGCACAGAGACATGTCTAACAGTCCCGATTTACACAGGCATCGTGGAGTGCGAAATCATACAGTGGTTCGTCGAGCCCGGCGCCCGAGTCGAAGAATTCTCCCCTCTGTGTGAGGTCCAGAGCGACAAGGCGTCTGTGGAGATCACCAGCCGATTCTCAGGCGTGGTACAGAAGTTGCACTACGATGCTGGCGACATGGCCAAGGTCGGCAAACCTTTTGTCGACATTGACATACAGGGCGGGGCTAAGAAGGAGGACCTGGATGCGCTGACAGCCCCGACGGAAGCGGCACAGGAGAAGCCCTCACAAAAGACGGCAGAACCTCCTGTACAGCCCAAGTCACAACAGAAAGACAAGACACAGGACCAAAGCAGACAAGAATCGGGGGTGGCATCTCAGGATGCGGCCAGTACTGAGGACGCCGCACGGCCAAAGGGTAGCCATGCCTCGCTTGCTACACCGGCGGTGCGGCATCTGACCAAGAGCCTGAACGTAGACATTGCAGAGATTAACGGCACGGGAAGAGACGGGAGGGTTCTGAAAGAGGACGTACAGAACTTTGTCAAACGCCGCGACGCCGGTGACAGGCCCGCTGGGGCAACGACTCCATCCCCGGCCGCCGCGGCCCCGCCTTCCGGCGCCGTACAACTCGAAACCCGGGTCCCGCTCACGAACACTCAACAGCAAATGTTCAAGTCCATGACCCGCTCCCTCGCAATCCCCCACTTCCTCTACGCCGACGAGATTGACTTCTCCAGCCTCGTCCAGCTGCGCACCCGCCTCAACCGCGTCCTCGCGACGTCTCCCGAGGTGGGCGGCGGCGAGACCGGCGTCGCGAAGCTCTCTTACCTCCCCTTCATCATCAAAGCCGTCTCCATGGCGCTCTACCAATACCCTATCCTCAACGCGCGCGTGGATCTCGACCCTTCCTCCTCTCCGTCATCGAAGCCGTCCCTCGTCATGCGCAGCCAACACAACATCGGTGTAGCAATGGACACCCCCGCCGGCCTCCTAGTGCCCGTGATCCGCGACGTCGGCTCCCTCAACATCCTCTCCATCGCCTCGGAGCTGACGCGCCTGCAAAAGGCGGCCTTCGCGGGCAAGCTCGCGCCGGCGGACCTCAAGGGCGGGACCATCACCGTCTCCAACATTGGCAACATTGGCGGCACCTACCTCTCGCCCGTCATCGTTGACAAGGAGGTCGCGATCCTCGGCATCGGCCGCATGCGCGCCGTGCCGGCGTTCGAGGGCGAGGACTCGGACAGGGTGGTGAGAAAGCACGTTACCAACTTTAGCTGGAGCGCTGACCATCGCGTGGTGGACGGCGCGACCATGGCCCGGGCCGCGGAGGTGGTGCGGCGGGTTGTGGAGGAGCCCGACGTCATGGTCATGCATCTGAGGTGAGAAGCGTTGCAAAACTTGTTCTGGAAGGAATTTCGGGGGGGAAGGGAGTAAGCGCGCGTGTGTGTTGTATCTACCTTATGACTCCGGGACCACCCCCCACCCCAAGAGAGATGCTGAGAGAGGAAAAGGGAACGCTCAGTAGGGCGCCTTAAGGATGACGCCGTTTGGCCGCCGTGTGATGCGGAGCCAGAGGCCGAGGTTTCCATGAAAGTGTGGGTCGGCGGGCGGAGGGCTGGATGACTTACAAGACTCTCGACAATTAGACGTCTAATGATTTGTAGATGTTGAGGTGAGGGCGAGCAGGGGTTCTACCGTGGTGGGTGTAACCAACTGCCTACCTACTCTGCAAGCACCAATAAGGGGCAAAAATAGCTTGCGCGAGAAAAATTCAAATCCAAGAGTTCAAACGAAAAACGAGATCATCATCAAATCTACAAGATTGGGCTGCTGCCCGACGCTTATCTGACAAGCATTCAACTGTATCGTGTGCAACACAACACCAAATAAGGCAGTGTACCCAAGTACGTACGACCGTATGCGTTTGCGCGTTGGAGGCAGTGATATCGATACCTACCTTACATCAACCAAGCGCTCCAGGCTGCCCCACAGAGCCAACATTCCCCCCGGAGGCCGACCCCCTCTCCTCGGTGTACTTGTAGGTAGGCACATTTGTGACGGCCCAGTGACGAAGGACGAACGCCTCTCCACATCCTCACCGAGTCGACGCCAGCCAATGCTAACGGCAAACGTGAACGATTATGCTCCGTAGCGATGCAGGTGCCTCGATCCGGCAGGTTGCCCACCACTTCGATCAGTAACAAGGGTTTGCGCATGAGTACACCACAGAAGGGGGAGGAAGGAAGGAGGGGCAGATTGGGCACGTTGAGAGGGAAGATGTAAGATGGTAGTAGTAGTCATATTTCGTCAGTTATAATATTGTATAATACTGAACTAAGAGAAGTTGCAAGTGACAGAAAACGCAACAATCTACCCGGCCAAAGCCTGACCATTGAGAATTCTCTGTTTTGCGAACCCCTGCATGGAGTGAGGAAACAAGCGTCAAACCGGCTCATCGTCGCCGTTGTCGCCTCCATGGCCAGCCCATTAAACCTGTCGGGCCTTGATATATCAGGTTGCCATGTGTTGTCCCTCCTCCCTCACTATTGCATAATTCCATCCCGCTGATTGGGTTGCGCAAAGGATGCCATTCGTGGCGCAGATCCTCGTGACACCCCTTCATCTCCGTACATTGCATGCAGGCTGACTTGTCAAAGCCAGCGGTTTTGTGAACCAGATCCCAATGCTGACGCCATGAATACCCAAAAGTAAACGCTCACTTCTATGCCCGGAACTCCAATATCCCGTGGGATAATTTGCCAAAAAAGAAGCAGCCAAAAAAGGACCAATGACAGTACGCCTTCTATAGCCGGTATACAACTCATGCCTCCTCTTCCATTGCGGCCTTGACGTTGGCCAAGGCGTCGCGCTTGACTTCCTCAAGGGAGCGGCTGACGTCGAGGCTGATGACATCGGTCTCATCGGCCATGGGGGCCTCGAGAGACTGGAACTGGCTGCGGACCATGTTGGCGCCCATGTAGTGGTTGGTGGCAGCGCTGCGAGCCGTCACACGCTGGACCAGAACGCTTTCGGAGGCCGACAGGTAGATGAAGTGAATGAGGATCGAACGATCGTAGTACCCAGCAACGCGGATCACGTCTCTGTACTTGCGCTTCAGAGCCGAGCAAGTGAGAACGACTCCGTCGGAGCCCGCAGCCAGCTGGTGGCGGGACTCTTCGCGCAGGGCAACAAGCCAGTCCCAACGGTCGGCGTCGGTAAGAGGAATGCCGTTGGCCATCTTTTCGATATTTGCTTGAGGGTGGAACTTTTCATGCGCGAGTCAGACAGAATTTCGAAATACGAGGCCAGAAAGCACCACTTACACTGTCACCCTCAATGTAGGGCAGCTTCAGAGCTTGAGCGAGGTACTCGGCAACAGTCGTCTTGCCACAGCCAGCGGGACCAGTAACTAGCCAGATGTGGTGATACTTGGTGTCGAGAGATCCGTTTACGTGTGCGCCATTGTTTGCCGTAGTCGGAACCCCAGGAACTCTAGGCTGGGTCTTGGAGGCAACGGCTTGTTGTACGCCGTTGGTAAGTCCCGAAGGAGACTTGGGAGTTTGTCCACTGACAGGCATCGGGGAGTCGTAGGAAAGCATTGTTTTGTAGGATATCGTGAAGAGGAACGGGTCACGGATAGACTGTTTCGAGGGGAGCGGGTTCAAGGCGCTGTTGCGTTGTCTAGATGAGACAGGTTGAGGCGTGTAGATAGCAGCTCAGGTCTTTGACACGATCCAGGGGATGGTTATGAGATATTGAAGAATTCAACAGATGACGTGTAGTAGTATATGTAGGTTAGTTCTTGTGAGGGTGACAAAAAGATCAGAGACAAGTCAAGGAAACGGCGATCGGAGTGTAAGTGTAGGGCGTTCCTGTCTTATAAGTGACACGGACGAGACTTCTCTGGGTCTGGGGGATCGATGAGGTAAAAAATTCCAACGGGGACTCAAGGGGTGCCCTGACGGCAACTAAAACGCCCTGGGGGGAGCGCACAGCAGGTTCCAGTACCTGGACTTCAGCGGACTTCTCTCGGGCCAGGGGTAGAGAGGGACCAGGGGGGTGTCACTGACCCGGATCCCAAAGAGCGGCGTCCCCTAGTCGTCATGGTGGCCAATCAAGGTGTTGCATACCCCAGCGGGGAGAAATCCGTTACTCCACAAAGCACTGGGGGAGGGTGGTCAAGCCCATATCCGTGGGGGTGCGCTCAGAGATGACTGTGTGCTTGCGTCTGATGTCCTTGACTGCTGTCTCCAAGTACGGATACGTTCGCCTTGTACTTTTTCTCCGCGGGATCCAAATGCCAGGGAGGTCGCATCTGGGGCAGACGTGGGACGAATGGAACGAGATCGGAGTTGCGCCTGATGGAGGGCAAATCGTTGGACGAAACGAATCCGTTGTTGAGCTACAACATCCGGTTGTTGGAGCATGAGATGTTGCGACGGGTAACTGCATTCAGGTGTCTAGCTTTTGAGACTGAGCACCTAGCAATGGCGCGCAATCAACTAGGTATTGGGATCATCTTTGGTAGTTGCGGTACGGCAACTAGGTAAGGTGGTAGACGTGCTCAGGCCGGCCCTCCAGGATTGTCCACTAGGCTGTCATGTACTATAGCCAGAATAAGTTTGACGGCCTTCGGAATATCCTATGTCTGTACCGTGATGGCGGAAGGGTGAGGGAGATCAACAGCGGCAACCATCAAGAGCCGAGTAAAGGTATTTCGTGTCTGTAATCGGTTCGCGAATCGAATCCCCTGTGTGTTTCTAGTGTATTCGTACCACTCCCCAAAGGTGGTGTACCAGTCTGCGCTGCGCGGTGCGGTGCGACGCGGTACGCTGCGTCGTGTGCATACGGCATCTCAACGAGACCAGGATGAGAGTGTCAGGCGTCCCAGGAAAAGTGATTGTCCAGGGCAAACGCCGATACCTAAAACAATTGTGCTGAGTGTTAGCACATTGGCATAGAGCAGGGTGTGGCGTTACGCAGTAGGTGTACGTAGTGCTGGGAAAAGGCAAAGCCGGCGGCGATGACAGGACTTGTGTCGCGGGTCCCGGGGAGGGCGGAGGACGGGGCTCGGTCAGGGAAGATGGAAGACTCCAGTTGGTCAGAGGCAAAGGAGATGACGATGCTAAGGATGAAAAGGGTTCGAGAGGCCTGAATGGCGGGGGCAGAAGAAGGGGGGAAATGATGAGCGCGGTCGGGCAGGGTGGACGAGGGGGTGCCATGGGCGAGGTGTGGACTGTGGAGGAAGCAGCGTGGGGGGACACACTTTTTCTAGAACATGGCACTAGGGAATAATTACCTGAACCGGGCAGGGGCCAGGGAATTGAGCGAGGTCACTCGACACGCAAAAAAAGAAGGAAAAATAGAAAGAAAGGGGAAATAACTTATTAGGCCCTCGACCAAATTTCTAGCCTCGGTGGGGGGAAAGTGTCCGATGACGGGCAGCAAACAGCAAGCTTTGACCTGAGGTGAAGATGAGGTGACCTTTTGCTCAAGTAAACGCAACTGAAGACACATCCTTCCCTGCTTAGGAAATCGGAAGACCCTATTTGGTCAGTGGGGGTCGGTTCGGTGAGTAAGGTAAACCACCTGCACAGTACCTTAGGTCATGTTGAGAAAACCCGCACACCTACCTACGGTAATTGGGATCGGTAGGTCGGAACACATTTCATCTAGTATCCAAATACCTTAATCATTAATGACCTGCGGATACCTGCATGCTTGCTTGTAACTCCGTGTTGTTTCTCTGGAACAAGTGCAGTGCCTTGTCCGTTTCTCGCTCGACCAGCCTGGCTAACAGACCTGGTCCCCGTCCGGGACTGGTGATGGGCGGGGGAAAGTGCAATAAAGTGCTCTCGGGCAAGCACCGAGAAGCAAGGATTACATCATACCTGCCTTCTAGGTATGCAGTGTCTGTGTCTGTACTCTGTCATGAGGAAGGAGATAGTTACGGATACCTGGTACGATTGCTCCCGCTCTATGGCTGCTGCCTTCCATTCCATTCTCTTTCCGAATGCACGAGAACGATGTCAATACCTTAGAGGTATCTACCCCGTACCTACCTTACCAACGAATAATGGCAGACAGCCAAGCGGGGGAGAGCCGGCTGACACTTTGCGATCCGAGGAAAGTGGCCACCGGGGCTAGCTCCCTCGTCCATTCAGATAAACTTGCGAGACGGCAGTACTCCGTACGTTCTCCTTGGTCCGTACCGATGCACCTGCATCTCAGTTTCCCAGCCGTGCCAGCCCAGTCCGCTCTGCCCCCGTCGCCCTAAAGTCCCGTCATCAACCATGGACCATGGGCCATGGCCCATGAGGTGCAGTCTGCATGCTCTTACTCTGGCGTCTGAGGTGCTCTTTCAAGTTTCGGCTCGGCTGGAGTTCCGGGCGGGGCTCATAACGAGCCGGCACCATTGTCACCACACGGCGGCTCGAGTCCTTGGCCCACCCATTGAACTTGGGAAACTGTGGTTTTCGGTTTGGAGTCTGAAAACACTTCCCCCTCCCATCATCGCACTGACTACTTTCCAGCCATTCGGATTGCGTCCTATCATCCTGAGACTGTTTTTTTTCGCGCTCCTCTCTTCCTCCACCATCGGCCCTCTCTACCTCTGTCTGCGTCCACTCTTTCTTCCCACACAGCCCACGCTGTCACGCTGTTCAGACTTCAAAGGCTCCAATCCCCTCCGCAAGACTCCGCTAGGCCCTGGTCCTGGTCTTGCTGCAACCAGCCGTGGTGCATTGCCAGCAGCCAGCTCGTGTGCTCATCTTGTCGTTGCTGTCCCATCCTATTTTGCCCGCTTTCTTTTCAGCTCCTCCAAGTCTCCAAATTTCTCACCACTCTTCGACCGCCTTCTCCAAGCCCAAAGTGGACCGACCACCGCTCCGAGCAACTCCCCGCCAGCTTCCCCAACACTGAACCCAACCCAACGGTCAGAGGATGCGACACGCGAGCGGACAAGGATGGGCCCTTTCCACAATTCTTTTTTCTTCTTAAAGTCTCGACATACGGACCACACTACGTAAATACGTGCGTATTTTTGTCCATAAGTACCGATACGAATCGGTACCGCGCTCATCGGCACATCGGCCTCTCACCGCTCTTAACATGAGCCAGGTGACTGATATCTCGGTGGAGCATGCAGTTTGTTAAAATTGCGTCGCGACTGCGATAGATGCATCGGGAACGCCTGTCTCCATCGACTATCGGCTCGGCTTTTGACCTCAACTCTGACAAGAAAGCATATTGTGGACGTTGCACCAAATAGGCTCACGCCGTTGCCATCACATACTTATGCTCAATGAGCGGGCGGCATCCGTATGGCCCCCGCCCATCTCATCTGTTGCGGGGGAATCGATTGCAAGTTTCGTGACACTTTGCTCAAAGTCTAACCCCACAACGCCATGTTTTTTTGACAAGGGATGAGAAGGTCTCGGCGATTCTTACAATGGTCTGAGGTCTCTGAACACAGTGACAAAGTAACCATGGTTCGATTATCAAGTTGAACATCATATTCATCCGTACTTGGGTCAACCGAGAGGATGAGATATTGGTGTAAGGAACCATTGCGTAGCTTCGTCCCCTTCTTACAGTCATCTCATTGTCACTTGCCATCACAGCAGTATTGTCATCGGGCTCCGGTCATATCCACTCTCTGGAAGGCTGCGGTAACCCTTCTGTTCTTTACCGACCTGTGAGGCAGACTGGCAATGAGCGCGCTCACCGATCCTGGCATCATCGGCACGCACGATAGAGGCCCATGCAAGACATTGCAAGTTAGGCAGATCGCTCCAGACGAGGGCTTGGACGAGGGCTAGATGAAATGTGCCCAACATTCCGGATTGCACACACCGCAAACACGGATGCTCTCATTGGTACTGAAGCAACTGCGAGAAGAGGAGTGAAACTCGAATAACATTGCTTGTCCAAGCCGCGGCTGCGCGGGGGATGTTCCCCGATGACCGCCCTCGGTCTGAGCAACCATGTCACCGTCGTTGGTTTCAAGGGTGCTTAAACTGACCTGCAGCACTGCTGGCTCCGAGACGCCAAGGTAAATGGTCCGAACACTCGGAATGCCCGGGATCTCTCTTCACTTCCCCGGTCGAGAACTCGGCGCAACTTGAAGTGGCATGCAGCACCAGTCGGCTCCTCTTCCCGGCCGAGTCGACACACTTCTTCCTTTCTGTGGATCCACACATCCGTCGCACAACAGACGCAACGTGAGCGACATCCTTACGAATCTCGAGAGAAACGTGGACCGATTTTGAACGGTCGGTTGCACCGCCTAATCAAGATGCTGCCTGTGTGCCTGTCAATATCGCTCTCAAGACTTGTCCAAACCTCCACGGAAGCCTACATTAGGTACCTGGTGTACCGGTACCTACGAGAAGTTCCTCGGCCGCAAGCTCTAGGACACGTCAAACGTCGTTATGCTGACGCTGCCTTAGCAACTTTGACATTGGTGCCTTAGTTGGCCGAATGCTACGTTCTAGACAGGAGGAACTCGCCCAACTTGTCTACCAGCCTATGCGACAACGACTTTATATTGCGCTTCCTGCAGCATACCGCCCGGCCGTCTAGGTTCCTTGCCACGTCGGTTGAGGGATATATATAAAGTGACTGGGTGGCGCGTTCACTTAATTATGCCCTCTCAAAGTCTCTCATGCTACACCCTCAGGCGTCTCGTCTGCACGGCTCGACTGGGAATAATAGAAGATGGCAGTGGCGACGCGAAAACATGATGATTCATGTCAGATATGATGGCGAGAACCAGGTTTTGAATGAAGCGCAAGCAACCATCAAAGACGTGTGCATTGCAGCTTGCCAATGCTGTCTGCCTGCTCATGCACGAGCAAGTAGCTCACGTGAAGGTATCCATTGGCTCTTGAAGCATGCATAGAACGACAGACAGCAATTAACGGGCACGATCTGCAGATCTTAGACTCAGGTGCAGACTGTAAGCTAGATCCTCTCGGTGAGCAGAACGGTGTACGGGGAGAGTCGGCATCGCTTCGCCAACGAGGAACCGGGGTGTCGGTGGTCTGTCGCCAAGTAGAATTCTTTCACAACAACTAAGAGACCGCTCTTCCAGCTTGTTTTAGTATAAGTTATTTACTCGAACTATTAAAAGAGCCGTTCTACTCTGCGATCAATGGCCGTGTGTCTCATGACAGGTTCAGCCTGCTGCTTTCTTGGACGCTACCTCTCAATCATCAATGCTTTCTTAAAAGATTCAGAACTGTCAAGTGCGGGCAAAAGGGGTAAAGCTGTCAAGCAAGCAAACGGCTCAGATCATGCGCTTATATCTCTTGGATTTTTGTGTCTCAATGCTAGACGTTCCAGTGTCTCTCAGAAAGTACAAGTCTATCCTTTCAATCATCCAACCAACATTGTTGGTGTTAAAGTTGACTTCAAGTTGGTGGTTCGCTCCTTGAGAAGCCCCATGTGAATGGCTCTCACATTTTATGAGCCAACACTAAGCGCGGCCAACCGGGCTCTTTACTAGGTACGAGCAGGCGAGATCCCAGACGTTTGTAACATCAAAGACTCGAACTGAAATCACAGCAAATTATGTGTCCAGGTATAGTGGAATACACTGGAGGAATATTTCTCATGTTCCCATCGCTTGCCCCTCCTTCTTTATTGGTTGTAGTTTTGTAAATAAATCAGTTGTTTCGTTAACAAAAGTACCAGTATTGCCCCTCATTGTGGCTGAAGCTCCAACGTCGTCGACTGCCTCCAAGCCTGTTTGGGGAGGTGAATATGTTCCCCATGGCATACGAGATTATTTACAGACCGAGCAACTATTTTCACAGGTCTCGTGGCCGGCAGAAGTGGCTTCCAACATAATGGCCAATCGTCATAGTCAAAACAAAGTCAAGCCACGGAGCGCCACGATAGAGAAGCTCCTGGCCTGTGCATAGAGAGCCGCTCCCCTGTTCAAATAACGAACCTCCGCCTGCGGCTTGTGTGGCTCTTCCCCGCTGCTGGCGGCGCCTGAACACAGTTGTCGTCTGCTCATCCACTGCACCTGCCTCATCAGTGACCAATGACCAGTGCGGCACCATCTCGACTCCTCATGCGGGTTTCATCCATTTCCGCCCTCCAAAGGCTGACATCTTTGCGAGCTTCTTCTTCTTTATTTCACACTTCTCCCAAGACTTTGAGACCTAGAAATCACTTCCCCTTGCTTGCGAAACCCTGCCGGCAGAGATTTTCCACAATGAACGCTCAGGAGCTCAAGCACTACCTGGCTGACGCGCCGCCGAGCGTCGTCCGTTTGGAGATTGAAAAGCACTTTGAACCCCTCACCGACAAGCAGAAGCGCTATGCGCATTTCATCAGCAAGTAAGAACCCCGTTGTGATGCCGTGTCATCCTTGGTGTTAGCTGTGCCAAGCTTTTATGGGGAGCGGAAGCTAAGAAGACATATTAGAGCCTCGTTTGCGGGAACCCGTATTGTGCTCAGACAACTTTCCCCAGAGTCAGAGCCCATCTACGACTTCATCATTGCCTTACACAAGAGCAGTGGTGGTGACTGGAACAGCCTTGCCAAGAAGGCTGGCGTCGATGAGAGCCAACTGACTCACTTCCTGGAGTATGCTGCCCAGTTCTTGGGCAACAATGGCAACTACAAGAGCTTCGGCGATGCCAAGTTCATCCCTAGAGCCGATGAGAAGACTTTCGCGGCCCTTGCTGCTACCTCCCCTGAGGCTGAGCGTTTCTACAAGGCGACCAACGGTGCCATCTTCAGCTCTGACAAGCAGGCGCTGATGCACCTCGGATTCCCTGACAAGGGTCACATGACTACATACTACCCCGATTCGCCTCACATTACCCAGGAGGAGATCGAAGCCGTGTCCGCCTGGATGGAGAAGAAGGGTCTTCTCCCCGAGAACAACCGTCTCCGCAAGACCAAGGAGGGCACTTTCGAAATTCTCATTGCCTCGGCTGTCACGAGCGTTCCCGCTGAAGGTGGTGACATTGGCAAGGAGACTGAGTTCCAGGTGGAGGATGGTCTTCTCAAAGGCAAGACGATCAAGCTGGTATACGGCGACTATGCCGCTGAGATGAAGGCTATTTCCGAATACATCACAAAGGCGCAGGAGAACAGCGACAACGAGAACCAAGCAAAGATGCACGAGGCATACGCAAAGTCTTTCTCAAGTGGCTCCCTCCTCGCATTCAAGGACAGCCAGAGATTCTGGATCAGAGACAAGGGCCCCATGGTTGAGTCAAACATTGGCTTCATCGAGACCTACAGAGATCCCGCTGGTATTCGCGGCGAGTGGGAAGGCTTTGCATCTGTGGTCAACCTGGAGCGTACCCGCGCCTTCGGCGCTCTCGTCTCCGCTGCGCCCGAACTGATTCCGCTCCTCCCGTGGAGCAAGGACTTCGAGAAGGACAAGTTCCTGTCGCCCGACTTCACATCACTCGAGGTTCTGACCTTTGCCGGATCTGGAATTCCTGCTGGAATCAACATTCCCAACTACGATGACATTAGGCAGACTGAGGGCTTCAAGAACGTCTCTCTCGGCAACGTTCTTAGCGCCAAGGCTCCCAATGAGAAGATTCCTTTCATTTCCGAAGCCGACTTGGAATTGTACCACAAGTACAGGGACCCTGCTTTTGAGGTGCAGGTTGGCCTTCACGAGCTGACTGGCCACGGCTGCGGCAAGCTTCTTCAGGAGACCTCTCCCGGAACCTACAACTTTGACGAGAAGAACCCTCCTGTCAGCCCCTTGACTGAGAAGCCTGTGACCACATGGTACAAGCCCGGACAGACGTGGGGATCCGTATTCGGCAGTCTTGCTGCTTCGTACGAGGAGTGCCGCGCTGAGCTTGTCGCTATGTACCTTGGGTATGTATCCTGCAACTGACTGTGTAGAAACGCCTGACTAATCTGGGCATAGATGCGAGTTCCCCGTTCTCAAGATCTTCGGCTTCGGCGACGGAAGCACCGACATCAACAACGAGGCTGGCAACGTCCTGTATGCTGCGTACCTCCAAATGGCCCGCGCCGGCCTTGTGTCCCTGGAGATGTGGGATCCCAAGAGCCAGAAGTGGGGCCAAGCGCACTCGCAGGCTCGCTTCTCTATCCTGCAGGTTGGTGACAAGGACGTACGCTTATGAATGTCAAAATGCTGACTGATCACTCTCTGCAGTGCTTCCTCCAGGCTGGCGACGACTTCTGCAAGCTGGAGTACAAGAAGGATGATCTGTCCGACTTGGAGATCAAGCTTGACCGTTCAAAGATTCTGACCACCGGTCGTGAGGGTACGTTATTCCCAATCTCGTGACGCGCACTTTGGGACACATCAATGTTGACTGACCATTCGCAGCCGTTGGAAAGTATCTTCAGAAGCTTCACGTGTACAAGGCCACCGCCGACGTCGAGAACGGCACCGCCTTCTACAAGGAGATGACCAACGTGGACATGGACTTCTGGGGCACAAAGGCCAGAAATGTCGTCCTGGCCAACAAACAGCCTCGCAAGGTCTTCGTCCAGGCCAACACCTATCTCGACGAGGCCACCGGCAAGGTCAGCATTAAGCACTACGAGGCGTCTCCGGCAGGTATCATCCAGAGCTGGGTCGATCGTGACTTGTGACTAAGCCCAAAGTCCGAGACGCCAAAACTGTGAAGAGGCTGGCTGTGAAGAGAATGTAAGGGGTCCCTGCATCAACCATAATAAACCTTGTAATACCATGCTCCTAAAAGGGGCCAGAACATTCAAAGTTTCATAGATCATCCGCATAACGTGAGGCCCAGTGGATGCTGTTCGAACTTTTTCGAGAGGTCGCCAGGCTCCTTACATCAAATCTTGACATCATCCACTTTAGTCATCACGAGTCAAGGAAGTGCAGTATATGGTTCATGTCAAATATTGTCATTCCCTCGTAAAGGGGGAGGCACGTCGTCGTTGGACCGGATGCGTTATCTTCTTTGTGTGTTGGATTTGTGAAGAACCTCATTACAGACGCCAAATGTGACCGATGCCGTCGACTTCCAAATGCAATTGGCAAAACCAGCCCAGCCCGTGTAGCCATAAGTTCTTCGTCGTCTACAACAACAACATTCCTCAAACCGTTGCGAACTGGGCGTAAAAAAAATGTGTGGTTCTTCTTTTTTTGATCCCAATTGACTTTGTCCCCTTCCTTTTCCACGGAGTCTCTATGTCCACATCATCCGGAAGCCTTGATTTTTGAAACGACCAGCGACGAAGAGAGCAAACCCCCGAAAAGCCCACACGCCAAACGAAACCTCCCTCTCAACAGCTTTTTTGGTGTAGGAAAAAAACTGTTTACCAGGTCATCTCGTGGGGCTTGTCGCCCTTGCGCAGGCTGAAGGAACTCGCCAGGTAGGAGGCGAGCATGTCGACCTTCTTGATGCTGGCGAGCAGGGCCTTGTCGACGGCCTTCTGGTCGGCGGCACGGCTGCTGTTGATCTCCTTCTTCTGTAGAAACACATGTACTGTCAGTCTCCCGTTCCCATTGTCTTCAACCTGGATCGGAGTGTCCCAGAAGATGTAATCGTACCTCGGGCTTCTCTCCCTGCTTGAAGAAAGCGTCCTCGCCAACCTGCTTCTTGGCCTTGTCGGCGGTGAAGTACTTGGGTGCGGAGATCTCCTCAATCTTCTTGGACTCAACGCCGGAGACGTCGACCTTGTAGGATGTGGCGATGACGTAGCGGGAGTTGACGCGACGGAGGGGAACGCCGTTGATCTTGAAGGGGCCGGTAACGAGAAGGACACCCTGGTCGAGGGTCTTCAGGAGAACGACGCGCTTGCCGCGGAAGCGGCCGGCGAGGAGGATCAGGATGGTACCGGGCTGGAGGGTCTGGCGGGGAGCCCAGGGGCGGACGGCCTTGCGGACCTAGTGACAATCGTCGTCAGTATCGCCGTCGCCAATTTTCATGATTTTTTGTGCGTGTTGCTTGAAATTCGACCATTGTGATAAAGGGGGACCATGTCATTCCGCAGATCACGAGCGTCTTCCTCCTCCTTGCCTCCAATTCATTTTGTGTGCGTTGGTCGATTTTGCGATTGGTTGTTGTGCCCGTATTGATATGTTGTCTCCCTCCTGCAATCTCTTGGCTGTCCCGATTTGGGGCTCTTGAAGTTTTGCGTCGTAATTCGAAAAAGTTGTTGCGCTCGCTTTGTCGTGTCCTCCCAATTACATCCCAAGACCAAACTCGTGACCGCTCTCGAAATGACATTTCCCTCCTTCCACCGCACATGCGCATAATTCCAAGCAGCGCCAGCACGCAGATGTAGTAAACTCACCTTCTTGGCCTCGGGCTCATCGTCGGCGTTGTACCACTTCTGCGCCTTCTGGGAGGGGGCGGGGACGACCCGAGTCGACGAGCCGAACTTCTTGGTCGTGGATTCCGTCTTCGCCGACATGGTTGCTCTCGGTCCTCGTGGAGGGCTGTTGTGGTTAGCGGAGAATGGGGATCGTGAACGAAAAAGAAGGAAGTGGTTGATCTCGTTCGAGAGGCTTTGGTTGTTGGGGTCGGGTCGGCGGGAAATCGATTTCTCAGAAAATGTCTAGCGAGTGTGGGCGGCGGGTGTGGAAGGCAAGCCCTCCGCTAGTCCGGATTCGGCAGAGTGCATGCGGCAGAAACCTCTGCACTCTCTACAGGCGCGGGCGGTGAGCCAGGGCCCCTTCCCATATCGACAATTTCCAACGGGAGATTGTGCGCCCGATTTTCCGGGGCCAGACCCCCAGGGCCCACTGATCAGTCTGCTTCCCAGCTCAGGGCCGGAGTCGGATGTCACTGGACGTCGACAACCTCGAATAAGCGGCACGTAACTCTCCCTCTTGCTAATCCCTAGGTGGTGGGTGAGTTGTTGAATGCTCGAAAAACATCTCAGTATTCAAGAGCTGTCATTCACATATTTTCTTGACCTCGTCAAACACAGTCTCTGTCCCATCAATGTAGTCCTACTGAGTACTCGGAAGACTGCCTACCTATAATGGGCAAACAGCGCTGGCGGTAGTCGCATTTCGTCATGCGCATGGGCCACGTGCTGATAAGATAAAGCTTCGGAACATGCTAGACCTCACCGAAAGTGCGAGAATGTACTTGTGAAATCTTCCGACTTCGTGACTTGACAACACTAGGGGGTTGATCAAAGGATATTTGAAGCCGTGTACTTGACTTTCTTTTGCTTGTTGTATAATTGTCATATTGGAACGACTTTTTGTAACACCTGGCACTGACCAGTAGTCACAATGCAAGCCAGAAGACAACTCATCTCATCCGCCCGGCGTATTGTCGGGTCATCGTCACCCAGACCTACACGACTAATTTCAAGAGCCATCATCAACGAATCTGCTGCACTTAGAAGCAGTAACAGGCTTCTACCAACGATAGCCATCAGGGCTTACGCAAATGGAAGACCTCATCCCCCAGGCGGTACACACCGCATGAACATGGGTGGCGAGCCAGAGAAACCGGCACTCGAGCAATTCGGAATCGACCTGACGGCGAAAGCCAAGGAGGGAAAGCTCGACCCTGTCATTGGACGCGACGCTGAAATCCAACGAACTATTCAAATTCTGTCACGGCGGACAAAGAATAACCCTGTCGTGATTGGCAAAGCCGGCACCGGCAAGACAGCCATCCTCGAAGGCCTTGCACTGAGAATTGTGCGTGGCGACGTCCCGGAGAGCATCAAGAATAAGCGTGTTATCGCCCTGGACCTGGGCTCGCTGATTGCGGGCGCAAAGTTCAGGGGAGACTTTGAAGAGAGACTGAAAAAGGTCTTGACCGAGGTCCAGCAGGCAGAGGGCGAAGTCATCCTCTTCATCGATGAACTGCACACATTGCTCGGCCTCGGCAAAGCCGAAGGATCGATCGATGCGAGCAACCTGCTGAAGCCAGCACTTGCGCGTGGTGAACTTCAGTGCTGCGGTGCAACTACATTGGAGGAGTACCGCCTTATCGAAAAGGACGTTGCCCTTGCCCGGAGATTTCAGCCCATTATTGTCAACGAACCCACCGTCCAGGACACAGTCAGCATCCTGCGCGGTATCAAAGACAAGTACGAAGTCCACCACGGTGTCCGCATTACCGATGGTGCCCTGGTGGCAGCCGCTACCTACTCTAACCGCTATATCACCGACCGATTCTTGCCCGACAAGGCAATCGACCTGATGGACGAGGCTGCCAGTCACCTCAAGCTCGAGCATGAATCGAAACCTGAAGACATCATGGCCCTCGACCAGAAGATCATGACCATTCAGATCGAACTCGAAAGCCTGCGCAAGGAAAAGGATGTGGCCAGTCAAGAGCGCCGCGACAAGCTACAGACGGACCTGAAGAAGTACGAAGACGAAATCGCTGAGCTTACCAAGCGCTGGGAAGCTGAACGTGGCGAGATCGAGGCCGTCAAGAAGACCCAGGAGGAGCTCGACAAGGCCAGGATCGAGCTGGACCAGGCACAGAGAGAAGGAAACTTCGGCCGCGCGTCTGAGTTGAGATACAGCGTCATCCCCGCCCTTGAGCAAAAGATCCCCAAAGACGGCGAAAAGTCAGACGGCAGCCTCATTCACGATGCCGTCACCGCGGATGACATCGCAGCTGTCGTTTCAAAGGTGACGGGCATTCCCATTTCTAAGCTTACCTCTGGCCACATTGAGAAGCTCGTGCACATGGAAGACTCACTGCGTGAGGCCGTCCGCGGCCAGGACGAGGCAATCAAGGCCGTCTCCAACGCCGTGCGTCTCCAGCGTGCTGGTCTCAGTGGCGAGAACAGGCCTCTGGCGTCCTTCTTCTTCCTGGGACCGACCGGTGTCGGAAAGACGGAGCTCTGCAAGAAGCTCGCGGGCTTCCTCTTTTCTACCGAGTCGGCGGTTGTCCGGTTCGACATGAGCGAATTCCAGGAGAAGCACACCATCTCGCGCCTCATCGGAGCGCCCTCCGGCTACGTGGGCTACGAAGATGCCGGCCAGCTCACCGAGGCCGTTCGCCGCAAGCCTTACGCCGTCCTCCTCTTCGACGAGTTCGAAAAGGCCCACCGCGACATCTCTGCCCTCCTCCTTCAAGTCCTCGACGAGGGCTACCTCACCGACGCCCAGGGGCACAAGGTCGACTTCCGCAACACCATCATCGTGCTTACGTCCAACCTCGGCGCAGACATACTCGTCGGCGCAGACCCCATCCACCCGTACAAGGAGACGGCTGACGGCGAGATTGACCCTTCTATCCGCAAGGCTGTCATGGACGTCGTGGCGGCGAACTACCCGCCAGAGTTCCTTAACCGCATCGATTCCTTCATCGTCTTCAAGCGCCTCGCCCTCGCCGCCCTTCGGGACATTGTCGACATCCGCCTGCGCGAGCTGCAGCAGCGTCTCGACGACAAGCGCATCACACTCGACGTTGGCGGTGAGGTGCGAGACTGGCTCGCAGAGCGCGGCTACGACCCCAAGTTCGGCGCAAGACCGCTCAACCGCCTCATCACCAACGAGATTGGCAATGGGCTTGCGGACAAGATCATCCGTGGCGAGTTGCGCTCCGGTGAGACGGCGGTTGTCAGTATCAAAGAGGATAATTCGGGCCTCGAAGTTGCGGCTCAATCAAAGGCATGAAAAGGGGATCATCTAATTACGACATGTACGACTACCTTGTTTTGAGTCATTGTTCAGGCGCACGGAGTACATGTAAGGAAAAGGCTGGATTCCCCTCTCTCGAAAGTGCTTGTCAATTACCATTGTAGCATTGCTGTAAAGCCGCATAAGACTGTAAAATCACAGATAGACTGTATTCACACATAATGTTCTACTCATATGTTCCGTCCCATAACCCACGGACAATATTCGTTTTCGATCCTACTCATCTAGTGAGCCTGTGCACTTATACCCACCTTTCACGAGTAGCCATTTGTCCTCTTGAGTCGCATCTGCCTACATCCCATCCCTGTGACGTCGGGTACCCACACCCACGCGTCCAAGACAGCATTCCACAAAGGGGCTCTGCGGTAAGACGGCGTTGATTCGTACGCTTTAAGGAGGGGGGCTAGAATTCTAGGCTGAGGATGCCGCGAGACATTTCACACAAAGGGGCCTTTCAAGGAATGGAGGGGTTGGGACGGCGGCAGCACCACAAAAAAAAGAAGAAGGACGTTATCGCATATCCATATCCCGTGGCACCATAAAACTTTGTGAGAAAAAAAGGAAGACAAGTCTATAACGATTCTGTCCCAACTCTCAAGGCTAGAACTACCTGAACCCCCCTCCATACCTAGCAACAAAGACGACAAACTGGAGGAAAGCAGGGCGAACCACCCCTCATAGGGGGACTGACCAGTCATGAAGAAAATCGTTAAGCCCATGTCTCATCCCTTCCCCTACCGAGAATGGCAGGCAAACCAGACCACCAAAAGAGCAGAAAACACCGTATTCATGGAATTGCGCGGAGGCGAGAAAGCCAGGGTGTTCATGAGTAGGCTTCTCCGTCACATTTGGACGGAGAAGCGTATAGAGTTGCTGCGTGAGGACTGTACAGATTTCCCAACCCAAGACGCCCCCTTTCTTCCAAAACGAAACTTGTCCTTTTGAGACCAGAATGTGTGTGCTTGCTGCGTCGAGAGAATGCCAATGGAGTGTGGCTCACGTGATGTCAGGGACCACCATGGGGAGGAGGGGATGGAAGGACGAGAAAATGCGAGAAAATGAGTTATGGACTATTCGATTGCCTTGTGACCGGTAGCTTTGCGAATTACAACCGTACCAGAGGGATGACGTGAAAGAGTAGCAGAAGAGAGGTAGTCCGTTCGGCTTCTCTTCGCGGCATTTACTGGTGACCCGCCTTGCGCAGGGTGGTGGCAAGCCACTCGAGACCCTCGTAGAGACCATCACCGGAGGTAGCGCAAGTGGACTGAATGTACTATTGGGGGGATTAGTATGGAAGTCGTACGTCGTCATGCTCGAGGGAAAACATACCCAGGCGCGTTGTCTCAGGGAGTGGAGGCCAAGCTTGTCTGTGATCTCGGCGGCGTTCATGGCGTTCTGTAGAAGAAAAGGTCAGTCGCATGCTTCAAATTGAGGAAGCCTCAAGGAGCGCCGAAGGAGGGGGGAGGGGGTGGCGGGGTAACATACGGGCAAATCCTGCTTGTTGGCGAAGACCAGGAGAATGGCATCCCGCAGCTCGTCCTCGTTGAGCATGCGCTGGAGCTCCTCACGGGCCTCGACGATACGGTCGCGATCGTTGCTGTCGACGACGAAGATGATACCCTGGGTGTTCTGGAAGTAATGTCTCCACAGAGGACGAATCTTGTCCTGACCACCGACATCCCACACGGTGAACTGGATGTTCTTGTACTCGACGGTCTCGACGTTGAAACCTGAAAGGGCGAAATGTTAGCACGCCATTCACCTCCTCGATGCAATGACCTATCGACAGCAGGGGCGCGAGATTCGATGATGACACGAGGCAGAATAGGGTGGTAAGGGGCGGTGCGTACCAATGGTGGGAATGGTCGTGACGATTTCACCGAGCTTGAGCTTGTAGAGAATCGTAGTCTTTCCGGCGGCGTCAAGACCGACCATCAGAATTCTCATCTCCTTCTTTCCCCAAAGCTTGTCGAAGATCTTGGAAAATGCGAGACCCATGGTTGCGGTTCGGGCTGTGATGAACGTCTAAGTGTCGGTTGCGTTGGGTAGGAAGAAGTAATCTGTTGAGAAGCGACAGTGTAAGCAAGCGCGCAATTGATGAATTTAGATTAAATGGTAGTGACGTCGAGAGAAGATGCGGGCGGGATATAAAGCAACGAAGAGAGCACAGTCGGAAAGGACAGATCGTAACGGAGGCGGGCAGGATCGGGTCACTGACCAAAGTCTGCCTGGGCGCTGAGCGAAGGCAAGGTGATGCGATGATGAACTGGTCAAGGTTGAAGTTAAGAACCAGGCTGCCGCAATTCGCAAATGGAGGAGAGGAGATAGCGGGATAGAAGAAGTGGATGTGGACAGGCGACGTGGAGGGAGGGAGGGATAGGGATATTGGATTGGGTTGGGGGGCGTGTGGTGGGCTGCTCTGCCTTTCTACTGTATCCTGAGGTGTCGTGTCCAGACCGATGCAGGCACGCGCGCAAGAGCAACTTTGGTCGAGGGGGTGGGAAAGGGGACTGAGGGGGACGAAGACCCGACTGAAGATGACACAGAGGCTGGAAAGAAAGGGACGGAGTCGAAACAAAAACAGGTGATGACGAGAATACTAGTGACTTACTTCTTCACGACGTCCCTCTGCGACGGGAGACTGGAGACGAGTGGTGGTGGTTTTTTTTTTGGTCGTGGGTGTGATTGTCGGTGAAGGGGGGGAGACAGTCCAAGTGTCAAGAGGATTAGTTTAGGTGGGTGGAATAGAGGCGAGCAGAGGGGGTGGGCTTTGCTAAGATAATCTTCGGCTCAACGAGGTTGGTGGTGATTTTCAGAAAGGCCATGTTTTTCAAACTCTGTGTCCCCACTTCTACTCGACCACCGCTACAAACGGACGCCACCCTGTGGCCCGCCGAGGTACCTTCCCTAGCAAGCTACTGCCTGGCAATACTTGCCCTTGGGATTCCTAGGTAAAACTGCCCACGCTGTCATGTTCCATACCTAAGGTAAGGACCGTAAGGTAAGGTACCTCAGGTTGCGTGCTGAGGGCCCCAAGTCAAGCTGTGCACGGACCATACGGTAGGTAGGACAGGCCACTCGAAGCTCCCTGTTGGCTCCCTTCTAGCGTTGTCAACCGCTAAAGGGCCCTTCTGAAGCACAAAGTACCCGCATCACGTGCAGGGGTCGGCCTCCATGTACCGTGAGAAACAAAGTCGGAAAAGCATCGGTCCATTACGTCTGGCCTCCCGAGCTAGACTTCTTTTGGCTCAGCCTCAAGTCCAACCAGACGTCGCCAAAGTGTCCAGACTCAAGGAACAGGGATCACCTCCAGGAACCGATCTGGAGAACAGCCTGGACACAAGCCAACGTCGCTCCTTTTTTCCTCCGGCCCTGACCTCTACCATTCGACTCCAGAACAGCTCGACTCTGCTGCGCCTGCCGACCAGCTTGAGTCTGACGTCTTTTCGTATCGGCCACGACAGACAGCTCCCACACCACCCTGAGGAAAAAAAGATTGGAAGCTCCCGCCATGTTCTTCCCTTCAGTCGCCAAGCTGCTCCTCGCAGCTGGCTTCGTCCACTCGGCCTTGGCCCACAACATCCAGCTGCCCGCCCACGGCCGCGAGTGCTTCCACGAGTCGCTGCACCGCGATGATAAGATGACCGTCACCTTCCAGGTCGGCGACCGCGAGTTTGGCAGCGCCGGCAACCTTGACATCGACTTCTGGGTACGAATCCAGCTCCAACCTACCCCACCACCACCACCCCCTTTCGAATCACGTACTTCGCGCGCAATTGCATCATGGCAAAGGCAACAAGACTAATCGTTGACTCCCAACGCTTATAGATCACGAACCCCCAAGGCCAGTACGAGACCTTTGACAAGAGTGTCTCCAACGGCGACTTCTCCTTCGACGCGAAGCACGACGGCAAGTACACCTACTGCTTCGGAAACGAGCACTGGGGCGCCCACAGCAAGGAGGTCTCCTTCAACGTCCACGGCATTGTATACGTTAGCGAGACCGACGTCCCCGCCGACCCCCTCGAAGTTGAAGGTAAGGAGCACGCCAGCACAATGGGGTTTTATCAGTGGGGTTTCTAAGCTTCTCTAACACTTCCTCGTTATAGTCAAACACCTTTCCGAGCTCCTCGCCCAGGTCAAGGATGAGCAGTCCTACATTGTCCTTCGCGAGCGCACTCACCGTAATACCGCCGAGAGCACCAACAGCAGAGTCAAGTGGTGGAACCTGTTCGTCATTGGCCTCGTCGTTGGAGAGTCCGTGTTCCAGGTGTGGTGGCTTCGCAGATTCTTCGAGGTCAAGAGGGTGGTTTAAGAAATAAAAAGGCGTCGTCATTTTTCGTTTTCCGGATACCCGTGCTCGGGACGACAGGTCGAAGGCGCACAAAAAGGGATGGGATCTTAGCAGGATGCTCTTCGAGGGCCGAATGCCGAAAACACCCCTGGAGATGAGATTGAGATGTATAGTGTATCATAGATCACATGAATGACACGAATGGTTCTGAACATGAAGCAAGGCTGGCTGTTTTGGTATGGAGTGCAATACCAGCGAACCTTTGAGCGCCTTTGACCATAAGACTCCTCACATCGTCTTTACTCTCAGCTCTGGAGCACCTTTGGCATGGTCTTAGCATCTACATAACAACAATTGGCAGACAAGCTCGTTACTGGAGAGGAAATATTTGTGTTACAACATCCACATAGGAAGCCGGAACCGGCTAGCATTGTTCGTGCGTGCTATCTGGGACTACAGGAGGTTTCCATCCCTGACACCAATGCCACCGGAAGCCGTCTAAACACCCTACCTACGGATTCATAAGGCACAGCTGTGATGACACTTGTATAGTCCTTGTGACTCACACGAAATCACAGTCTAGATTCCTCTATGACAATGTACTTGGATGACCTCCTTTAAGAATGCGCTACTGGGCAGGCTGCCATAAACGAGCTCGAATCCAACACCGTGTCCAGAAGCTAGCATACCGTTGCAATAAGTGTCTCGCCTATGAATGACACTAAGAACCGTTTGCTACGCCGCCACAAGTCAGTCCGAAGCGACGAGATGGGGTGATGACTGACCGGCTGCCTGGTGAAAACTCCTGGAACTAAGCAGACTTTACTTTCTCTGGCACGAGGTTGACATTTGGCCTTCCCAGTTGTGAAAAGGGCGTTCATATCACAAGGCAACAGTTTTCACCAAAGAACAAGTGGTCATTTTACTGAATCGAATTGTGATGCAAGATTTTTGCTAGCCATCCTATTTGGCCATCATGACTCCCTCAACCTGACAGTCATTATGTACATCATACATCATGTATACGGCAACGCATTAATGCCTTTCCTACAATAGCCACGAGTCCATCTCGTAAGCCTCAAAAGTATGCGTTATAGAATCCAACAAAGCTAACCCCAAGACGCCGTACCATCTGTATGTCCCAAATGTAGCCCTTGAAATAAGAGCAAAACAACACCAAGTGCAACGCAAATAGGTCATGCTTCATACACCTCCAAGGTCGCCTTCTCATGTTCATGCGTTCGGATCAGACTCAGGAACGCTCTCCTTTGTCTCTTCGGGTATCTTCTCCACGGGGATATCAACTCCCTTGACAGGATGAATGAGCATTGGAGGCAGGCACATACGGCCCTCACCACCACGCATCTGGCCAACACTGGACCCATCCTTGCTCAGATCTTCCGTCTTCTCGAACTCCTCGCCACCATCATTGTTGACTTTGAGGCCGAGCCAGCGACGGTACAGATTCGGAGCAAAGCCCGAGTTGTAGAACCAGCTGAGACCACGAAGGTTGTGCTCACGTTGACCAAACACTGCAGTACGAGCACCACCGCTAGCTCCATTCTTGCCGCCGTTGAGGACCTGGGCCAGATATTCCGTGGGCCATTCTCTGTCGACATACATGGGATGAGGCGCAAATACTGCCTTGTAGCCGTGCTGGAAAGCGACGGTAACAGGCCACATTTCCGGGAAGGCAAAGTGCTTCTTGAAAGCAGTCTCGCGGTGCATCGTCATGAGCAAGCGGCGGGACATGCGCGAAGCCGTGATGATGTGGGCTCTTCTAGGTGGCATAGGCTCGTCCCGGTTGTTCTTGTTGTATCCAGTAATGTCCTCTGACAGCAACCAAGTGGTTCCCTCAGGGTCGAAGATGGGGTTGAAGGCGATGTAATCGGCTTCTTCGCCGACACCCCAAGTGTACTTGTCCTTCTCGTATGTTGTAGGCGGCTTAGGATCGTTCTCGATCTCGAACCAGTCATCCTCATTGGTAGGGCGCTCGGGTCCCCAGATGGTCTTCTCGCCTCTCGTAATCTTCGTGGGATCTTGGTTCTCCTTGGGCTTCGCGCCAGGAATGTTCTTCCACACATTGTCAGCACCATCTGTTCCCATCTCAGACTGAACACGGGCCATCTGTCTGAAGTCCTCCCACGAGCCGTGGACGCTGGGGATGTAAAATCGAGAGTTGCGCTCCCACATTCCCTTTCGTGGTTGCTCCTTGCCCCAGTTCTCCATCTTGGAGAAGAGGTCATAGTAGTGGCCAGTATAGCGGATATCCATCTCCCAGGACCAGTAGAAGTCGTACTCGGGGTGCTGGTAGCCGAAGTACTGCATAGCCATAGTAAGGCCGCGGTAAACTCCGTGAACTGGCAAGTCAGGTCCACGCGTGTAGAGATCGAAGATGCCCTGGTACAGAGACAACATCTGCGTCTCTGTCCACAGCGTCACCAGGCCTCTGAACTCCTCGGGAATGCGCTCCTTGATACGGCGTTCATAAACCTCGTGATCGGCCCAGACGGGGTGTGCTGCGTCGTTCTTGATTTGAACGAGGAGATGGACATCATAGCGTCCGCCTGAAGCCAGTGCCAGTTCGGAAATGACCGAGCGAACGTTCATAATATCCTCCTCGCGCCAGTTATACTCGTCCCAAACACGAATTACTACAGCTGTACGGGACATCTTTTCCTTGGGCTTTTGCTCCTGTTCGGCTTTCGCGTCTGAATCGGTAGCTTTAGCGCCGGGCTCCAAGTTGTCGAGAGGATCGCGCGTCACCAAGGTGGCATTCTGAGCAGGTTCGTCGACGAAGAAACCACGTGCAGCGGGGGTCTTGGGGGGCATCGGCTTGAATCTCTCGTTGTTTGACTGGTAGCACCGGCGCTGAGCATCTGCCCAATCGACTTGGCGCCAGTCCACTTGAGGGGTCTTCTCCCACACAGCATCGGAACCTTCCTTTTCGCCGTGCTCGCCGATTCCAAGGCCTCCAGCAGGGACGGAGTACCCAAAACCATAGGGCGCGTAGCGTCCGAATCGTTCGTAGCAGATATCTTCAGGCAAGTTGAGCAGATCGTAGGAACCTTCAACGTGCTGGGGGAAACCTTGGGGGCGGCCTTCCAAGTAACGAATTGGCGGGACGCGAACTTTGTTGTCCTTGTCGATGAAGCATTCGTTCATCTTCTCAGGCTTTGTCACGAAAATGGAGCCAGGGTGGTCGATGAACTCCTTGCTCTTGGGCACAGCGCGTCTGACGGCATCGTCCTTGCCATCCTCACTCGTTGTGGTGACGGTGGTGTTGATGTCGAGCTGGTCCAAGGGAAGTTCGTCCGAGGAGCGGGGGTACGAGGGGATGTACTTGGAAGGGGCGACGATAGATCGAACACCTCCGTAGTATCTTTGAATGAAGCCAAAGGACTCCCATACCGGCGGAGGGTCTGGCTTCTTCTCTACCTTGCCCTCGATGATCATTTTGTTCTCAACGTGACTTGCGCGTACCAGAGACATGATCATGACCACCATGAACGTAAGCAGTCCTAAGCATAAGTATCGGATGATTCGGTTTGGGAAGCGGTAAAGGTGGGTACGCGGGCGGCGGGCTGTCGCGAGAGCCCGCTTCGGGAGCATCATGGCTGCGCTCGAGAGCGATCCTGAAGTCTGCCGTGAGCTCTTCGCACTCGGCGAGGAGGATGTCGAGTAGTCTTCCGATTCGTCGTCGGACGAGTAATAGTCGTCGTCATCGTTCGAGAGGCGCTCCTTGGTGCGCAGAGGACTCAGTTGCTCGTATTTTGGTAATCTGCCCGTGCGGTTCTCGCGAGATCGCAATGGGTTTGAGAAAACACCCATTTTTGGTGCTGGATTGGAGTCTTAAGGTTCTCTCAATTAGTTTCTGGTACAGACAGAAACGACACGAGCGGTGCCAGTCGGTGGTTGCTTACCACGAGAAACCCGTGAACGCCTCCAAGTGCTGTGGTAGAGGCCCGGGGGACGGGCGTGGCGGCTGTCCTGTCACTCGCCCGGATATAAACGATTCGCGTAATACTACAGAAAGACCTGTGAGGTTTCCGGTAAAAGTTGTCGTAGAGTATAGTGTACAGCAAAGGCGAAGTTGGTAGTAGTGGGTGAAGATGGGAAATGAATGCTTTGGACAGAATAAAGTAGAGGTCGCAAGCCAAAAAGATGGAGATGAGGTTCGGGGGCACGGTGCTAGGGCATCATATGGAAATGAAGCGCAGCAGGGGAACGAACGACGGAGGTTAGTTTGGGCCAACAGAGTCCACCTCGAGTAATATGGATCTATCAATGTTGGATATGAGCGACCCAGCGACGGCGGGACAACATGAGAAAAAAAGGCAGGAGCAAAACAGCGAGAGACAACCTGGGAGAGGTACGTATTTCGTTACTGGTAAGGTTGACCAGTGTGGTTCGGCAGTCCAAGTAACTACGTATTTTGGGTGGGATGCACACTGTGAGGTGGTGTGTGTCGTCCTTGCTTTGAGCCTTCCATTTGAAGTGACGGGGGGAGTTCATTGTCTTTGTTGGACCGGGAAGGAGGGTGAGGGTGTGGAGCTGGTTCTCTCCTGGGCCCCCCTATCCGCGTCCCACGCCATCGCCACTAAAAAGAATGGATCTGATTGGGGAATTGGTGGGGGTCCCAGACGATGACTGGCCAACTACATGTTGCTCTGAGCAACGAGGGTGTGCAGGCGGTGACTTCTGGCAGAATTACGAACACTCCACTCCCCTCCAGCTTGCAGCCTTGCCCCTTCCCCCCTCGTCCTGTCGGTGCCAGACTTTTTTCTTGCCTATTGGATGTTGACCAAGAAAGGTTCAAGGGCCGCAGCGCCGCACCGGGACCTTGGCCCAAAGCAGCGACGAACAAGATGCAAGATGCACGCCTGCGGCCTGCCCTCTCCTGCTTTTTCTTCCTAGGCCCGCCGCCTACCTACGACTGGATTCTAGGTGCGCGCCAATGCGGGTCTCCCAGAACTTGCAGGAGCACAGCAAGGGTTGTCGCCTTGGTCTCGACTTCCTCGCTAAAAGCTTGACTGGGGTCTCCCTGACAACCATTTTAACCAACTCCGGGACTGGCTGCCCGCTACGGTTCGGCTCCTTGATTGAAGGTGCGTTCCACTTCCCGTCCTCCTGCAATCCAGCAAATCCAAGACGCTTGAATTTCAAAATGAAGGATCCTGACACTGTCTGGACACTCCTCTTTCGAGTCTTGACCGTCTTTGGTCTCTTGGTCCATGGCATCACGATGAAAGAAGACAACTGACACCGACGCTGCTTACTTTACTGGGTTTCCAACTTGCGACTGACTAGGTGGCCAGGTAGGGATCACTCGCCGGCCCCCAATCGCAATTCGCACTCCGCTTCAGCCCACAGGAGGGATTGTCTGCAATTTGCAACTGCAGCCGATGAATGAATCAATCACAGCCCGCGCCACACATGGAATCGTTTCCTGTCTTGTCGCAACTCTCATCTGACCTGCACAATGAGACTGGATGAAGCTGCAACAAGTTCGGACGCGCTGCTCTGTTTCGTCTCAGCCTCTCCTGAGCCCTGAGTCCTGCTCCAACGCTCTTGGCTGTCCCATGAGACATGGTCTCTCCATTATTCCGTGAGGGTACCTACAACTACCGGTCCGACTCGAGGGAGGCATTTCTTCAGCCAGCTTCAATCTCGAGTCTGAATCCTGATCCATCCATGCACCCCGCAGTGCCTCCTCTTGTGTCTCCAAAAAATCGACGTCATGCTGCCAAGCTGTTTGGTGAGGGAGGATGGATTCGAATTTCGAGCAAGACCACCAACGAAGAACGCCTATCCCTACGGACCGCGACTCATCATCTCATTTCAAACATTACCCAAAGAAAGCACCGATGCAGTGTGCCAGTGCGACAAAGGAGATTATCGCAATGAGATGTCATACCGGTCCGCCAATCCGTCAATCGTGTCTCGCCGACTCTGCAGATTCCAGCAGAACAAATTTAGAACACGCCGAGATTTAGCAGGCGAATATCGATTTGCATACCCAGTTTTCATCTTGTCATGCATGTGGCTGAGGGCGGAAGTCGTTACGGCGCATCCCCCGTACTGTGGTTGCGTTGTAGCACTAACAACGTACAGTGGTACGCTCGCTGTGTTCTCCGTATGTACAGAGAAAAAGTCATCCTCCCAATGCAACCCCCCTATCCATACCTTATGTCCATCCCTGATCAACGCTATCTCCTGAACTCGTGGCTGCGAGGTGGTAGGTATGCATTCACCCACTTAGTCCAACCCAACTCCCAAGCTCCGCATAACGGCGTATCTAATCGCGTCCAAAAGGCGCCGCATCGCTTAGATTGGCGCTTTCCGATGGCAAGACCTTGACGCGTCCCGTCTCACCTAACACGGCCCGCAGCCGACAGGAATAGTCTCCCGGTCTCAGCAAACTTCACGACAGTGGTAAGCCACATTCCTAATAGCTTCATGCCGGTTCATGTACTGTGCCGTTTTCTCATTCCTAATCACTTCCTCGGTCGCTCAATGCTCGAGGCAAGACGAGAGAGACAGAGAGAGAGAGACAGAGAGAGAGAGAGAGAGAGAGGGCAGTTCGATGCTTTTGAGCATGCGCAAACTCTATAGGCACAGTCGCACGGCCTACTTCCCCGGTGGTGGGATCGTTTCTCCAGAGACGTGGTCTCCCTGACTGCAAAACGCAACTCTGTTCTGAGATTCTTCAGCAAGACTTTTGCACTGTTGTTATTGCCCAACTGTGTACAATCCAGAGGATTTTGGTTAGGCACTCGCTGCTCGAATTGGGAGCTTCTTGTGCTTGACAACCTGTCAATAGTCCAAGGGGCAGTGCACCGCCATCACCTGAGAATACGAGCTGAGGATTAACCAACATCAGATGTCGACCAAAGCGACACATCGTCCTTTGAGGAACTTTTCGAGAGTCGTCACTCTGCAGCCAGCCAATGAGGACATATTCGGAAGGAAATCGGCTGACCCGCCGCCGTCGAGTTGTACAAGTGCGCCCCTCACGGTGGAGACGAGCATCCGTTGGCCCCAAAGTGCTCCGGCGGCTCCCTTCAAACTCAAGCACATCCTCCTGACCTCTCACCGTCCCGGGGGCCCCAGGAAGCCCTCCGTCACCGGCGGCCTGGGTAACATTGTCCCGAACTGGCGGTGGAACCTTGCAACCTCAACTCAACACCAAGGCGTGGGACGGCTACCGTTGAACGCCCGACAACTTGTACGAATACTCTGTGCACTTTGGGTAGTTGATCAGGCTCAATAACGCGGTCGACAAGTGCACCGCTCCAGCGTGCGGAGTAATTACTTCACGGCAAGGGTCCTGCGTTGACTGAGGGCTGCATTACAACGGCTTCTTGCTTGCCTCAGAAAGTCGGTGGACAGGAGGCCTGATGCATACAGGGCCACGGTACGGATACACGGTACTGGCTTTGCCCTAGCTAGGTCGCCGAGGCGGGAACTTTGCCTATCTCTACCTCGCACGAGCCTAGTGTGAAGAGTTGCAGGCCAAAGGCTATATGCGGCTTGTGGTTCAGACTTCCCTTCACCTAAAACTGGCCACTCAGATTTGATGCTTTTGTCAAACACCGTCACTTGATCAACAGTCACCTCGACGCCCAGCTCCCACGACCCCGCATAAGGTAGTCTGACTTGCGACAAGACCCCCCCGGTGGCTAGTCGAACCTCGTGGTCACTCGTTCGTGTGTCAGGTCCGGTTGACCACATACCCTTACTTTGCGTTCACTTTCCCTCGCCTATCTTTTTCCTCTCTTCTTATTCTTTCTTGCTTCAACTACTTATATCGTGCTCCATCTCTTCCACATCGTTGTAGATCCGCCGTTCGAAGTCACCTCATCCCATCCTCCTCGAGCCTGGCGGCTGTGCATATTAGTGCCCATGCGTCTCAACATCTCGTAAGAACAAGAAAAGCCAGCCATGTCCGTCGCTATCACTACCTCGCCGGCCTCAACTCTGCTCCATGAAGAGCCAATTGCCTCCCCCAATGCCTGCGGCGTGGGCCTGGACCTCGACCAGGCCTCCGTGAGCTGCGTCCTCAAGCAGGAAGCCATCTCTGTCACTCTCAACGGCCCCGCCATCTTCACCCTGTCCATGACTCTGGCCCTCATCATCCACTTCTTCGAACCCAGGATCGCCGAGACCCTTCTCGTTATCGTCCCCATCCTGCTGCTCGTGCGGAACGACTACCACAACTTCCTCGGCCTCGGACCGGGCGGCACACCGGCCACGTTCCAGGGCTACGTGCGAATAGCCTGGCTGCGACTCTGGGCACTCCGAGACCCCTTTACGGCGCCCAAGGCGAGGCCAAACATCCTCCCGAAGCGAGGCATCCTCCGCCAGGATGGAGACCTCCCCCGACTACCATATCGCCCCGGTCCCCGACCCCAGGTCGCCGGCATCGCGCCGCAGAGGCAGCTGGATCAGCACGGCACGGTGCCGCACTATCACGCCCTCCGCAAGACGTTGCAGAAGCTCGCGGTCGCGAACCCGGGAAAATTCGGTACCGCGAGGTCCTGTCTCGAGAAGCACGGCCTGGCGCTGTTTGCGCGGCACCCCGTCAACGTTACGTGTAACGGCGAGGTCTGCCACGTCCACGACTCGGACCACAGCTTGCACATGAACCTGCATCCCGAAGATATTCGAGAGGTGCTGGCCAAGGGCTGGGGCCAGCGGCATCCGTTGGCGTGGAAGGGGACGTTGGTGAGGATGCCCGTGCCGGAAGAGTTCGTCATGGTATATGCTCCGCGAGGTACGTTTCTTCACACACACATAATGATCTTTGGAATTTGGGGAAAACGCTGCCTTGCTCTTCGTGGCGGCGGCGAGTGACGGCTAGTTGTCACACAGTTAGTTCACTTCTTTTTTTCTGGTTCCAGCAGAGAGCCAACAACGAAGGCGAACAAAGATATATACATCATCGCGGGGAGAGGGAGAGGGGGAGAGAGGAAATCAGGTCTGGCCCATATCGTTTTTCACCAATGCTGACTGTGTCTTACAGATTACCACGAGTTGAAAATCGTGTGCAAGATCATTGAGGCGGCTATATGGTACGTCGTTTCCGAGCGAACAGACATCCAAGCCGAGAGGGCTGCTTGAGGCTTTTTTCCTACTCAGAGAGAAGACTTGAGCGGTCTTACGCTACTCGCTTTGCAAGTGCTTATCAAGACACACATACACGCACACACAAACAGTTTCCAGCAGTTCAAAAATCAGGGGTTGTTGTTTTTTTTCCCATTTGATGATTGGCACGAAATTGAAATTTGGCCTGGAGTTGGAGGAGTCTTGATAGATCAGAAACAAGTAGATGAAAACAAAAAACAACTTGACTCATTGACATCTTCGTCTTCTTCACAGGTGATGAATGTATCTGTTCGATGATGAGTAGAACCTCGAATGCGGGGATTGCAGGCGCGGGAGAGCTATCGAGACAAGAATGCTGAATGTGCCTTCGCTCTACATCTCTTACCCCTTACTTTCTTGTTAGCCAATACTGGCATGTCTACTGCTTCTCTCTTCCCCCATCGGTGTATAAGCCGTCTCAGTTGATATCCCTCCTTGTGTTACGTTTTGGCCGTTCGAAAAGCAAGGCAAACGCGGTCCAGAAGTTTGAATAAAATCTTTGAAGCTGCCCAAAATTTGTATGGTATTCTGCCATTGAAGGCTCTTCTTTCCGCAAAATGCGTCCTTGCGGTCTGCAGTAATACAATTCTATACATAAAAGCCTCCCAATCCGGAAACCAACCGTCCCAAACAAAATAAGACGGAAACCACAGAGTACCTAGTCGCTATCGCTGACCTGTCCCCTGGACATCTTAAACTTCTCCCTCGGCTTCGCTATACTCGCCTCCACGATCCGCCCGTCAAACGCCCGCCCGTGCATGAGCTGGATACACGCCTGCGCGGCCTGCGTATCCGAAAACTTGACCGCCACCACGCCGTCCGGCTCCTCGTCGTATAGCACCACGTTGGTAACCCTCCCCAGTTTCCCGCACTCGTCCCGAATGTCCTCCTTGATCTCCACTAGCGCCGCCGGGTCCTCCTCCAGCTCCGCCAGCGTGAACATGTGCCGCAGGATCACCGTCCGGTTGCGCTTCGAGGTGCTTTCTACGGGTGCCGCCGCCACGTCGTCGTCGCTCCAGTCCGCCAGCTTCGCGGCCATCTTTTGCGTCTTACGGATAATCTTTTGCTTGTCCCCGTTGTTGGCGCTCCGCTGCGGCCGAGCGGCGGCCGCCGCACCATCCCCTTTCTTATCCCCCCCTTCCGCGCCGTTCGTGTCCTCGTCGTACTTTGTCTTTTTATAGCTCGAGTCGGCAGCCTGGACCTTCATCCTGGGTGTTGTTGCCCCCGCCGGACCCGGCTCGAAGCGGAACTCGGTGTCGTCCAGCAGCATGATGGCCATCTCGACGCTCTGCGGCTTGAAGAAGACGACGAGCGCGTCGCCCTTGAAGTTGCCGGCCTCGTCCGTGTACATCTTAATGCGCGGCCGGCCGCTGTCAATCTCCTCGGCAATCACGCCGGCTTTTCGGGAGAAGAGGTCGTGGACCTCGTCCACGGTCGCATCGGCGGGTAGACCCGTGACGTAGACGGCTGTGTTCTGGCGCGGCGGCGGCGGTGCGCGGGCCGGTTTGGCCTTCTTTGCTGGCCGCGCCCTGCCGTTGCCGTTGTCGTTACCGCCATTACCGTCGCCGCCGCTCTGTTGTCTGTCCGCGCCGCCGCCGCTGCTGCCGCCGTTGCCACCCGCATCTCCTGACGTGGGTGAGTCCTTCCGTTTCCTTGGGTTGTTGCTGCCTCCATTGCTGTAACTCGGACCGGCGCCGGCTCTCGACAGGTCAGCCAGTTGCGCCGCGGTCTCGTCTTCGTCGTCGAGTGGTTCTATGGGTTCATCCGCGGCCTCGGCCCACGTAGATGTCGCCGGGTCGAACTCGAGCTCGGTGCCGTCGTCGAGGACAGCCAAGTACTTGTTGTCGAGCTTGGAGAAGGAGATGCGCTCGTCGCTGCCAAAGTCCTCGACGAAGGTCGGTAAAGGATCCTTCAACTGATCCGCCATCGTGAGAAGGGTTGCTGAGGGCTTCGGGGCAGAGATCCCTCGAGGTAAAAACTTTTGAATGCTGCGAAGGTCTGGTGTGATGTTCAAAGTGTCTGAAAATGGAACGCACCTTTTGGGTTGAATCTAGTCACGAATTCCGATCGCATTCTCCAGTGACGTTAGTGGGCCAACGGTGCAGGGACTGGGGTCAACGTGGGGTCCTGTCGTCCCTTGACCTTAGGTACGTACCTAACAATACGATTTTCCAGGTTCCATGTTCTCCAATACATCGGGAGTAGATGTGATTGGGATGAATTACCTGCCAAATCACAAATACTTCATACGGTTAAATGAATCTATGGAAAAGACTCTCGATACCGTAAACGAGGTGAATTCATCCTCTGGCGGCTTCGCACAGGCATGTTGAACGTGCTGCCTGTCTTTATAGAACCTCATTTGTGTTAGCCAGTTGCTCAGGGCGTGTGTCGGCGCCATTACCTTCAATAAATCGGGCGCACACAATGACTGGTCTCAAGACACCTACATCATGTTTCCGTGTCCAGCTTCTCCTAGGTCTTCTCGCACTCAATCCGAAGGACAGGTCAGAGGGTCTTCACTGGATACATCATCACCACTGCTAGATGCCAGACGAAGATCTGAATATCAGGCAGTCCATCGTTTTGATTTCTATCATCTCAACATCCAAGCCACGTCTAACCCTGCTTCTTCTCCTTGACGGTTGATTTGACACCCTCGACAAAGGCTTCTACCGCTTCGCCACCACCCAGGGGCATAGCACCACCCCTCATATAACCGCCATTGGGCACCTTAACGCTAAGAGCCTCCGCAATTGTAGGAAGACCACCATCACGCAGCGCCATGGTCAAGCTTCCAAGTGCCTGATGGAACTGGGGACTTCTGAGCACTCTCTCCAGCAGGCTCTTCTTCTCTGCAAGGCTCAACGTGGCTGTGGCAGCAGCAGCAGCGTCTGCCGTGGGCTCAGAGTCACCCAGGTCGTCTGCCTCCGTGGCAAGCACGACGATTGCGGGGGGCAGAAAGCTCAAAAGGCTGTCGATAAAATCCTCCGATACCGATCGAAGCATTGGGATGGTGATCTCGTTCGGAAGAAGATGGCTCAGGTATGGGAAAGGCTTGTCTGCGTGTTGCTGCTGCCCGCTCTGCTGTGGTCCACTCAAGTTGGCGTTGCCTTGTAATGATGCCAGGAAGTTCCGAACGGCAGCATCCGCGTCAGTGTTGGAGCCACCAGCAGCACTATGAAGCAATTAGCACACAAGCATATAATGGAAAGAGTCAAGCCATGGGCACTGCGCTGAAAAGCCAAGATTCCGAACCCTCTTGTCTTTTGAAAGGCTCTAAAAGTACAGGTGACGCCATAAGACGGGCCGTCTTTTTCCTCGCCAGTGCCCATGTAGCCCGTGTAACTCTAACGACCCTGGGCTCCAACCGCCAGAGCCATGCATGAGGAAGTAACCTACGCTCGTGCTCCATCACCTCCACCTTCTCTGGCATTCTCGCCTTCTTCTCTGATATCGCCTCCTGTAGCGCCAGCACCAGCACCACCGCTGCCTCCCTGGGACTGTTCGTGCCGGTCACCCTGGCCCTCAGCATCCTCCATCGTTTCGTCATCGTCATCGTCCCGCCTGTCGTCGGTGTTGCGAACTTGCGCCAGCTCGCGGCTCACGTTGACCTCCTCGCCCTGGAGAAGCGCATTGACGATTTCACCAATTTTCTTGTCGCGCGGGCTGAACCAGCTGGGGTCTCCGTTGCGCGACTGAGGCTTGGACTGGAGCCAGAAGAAGTGTCTCTGGGAGGAAGAACCGAACTTGAGGACAAAGACGCGACCGTTGGTCTTTGCTGAGGGTTGATCGGCGGCAGCGTGAGCGACAAATTCACCGTCCATGGGCACCATGACGAGGTCGAGATCGGGATTCTCCATGGTGGCGGTACGCTCTCGCCAGCAGAAGTGAATCAAGTCTGTGACTTATTAGGCATCTGCAAGAGATATCGGTAACGACTATACGAACCATCTTCGGAGTAGAGGTAGATGTAGCCAGGTGTCGCCTGCGGCTTAATCTTGTAAGGCTTGCTGGAGGTCTATGATAGATGTCAGCGAACCAGGGTATGGCAATGATTGCGGAACTGCACTACTGACGTCTGCCTCGCAGATACCAGCCTTAAAGGTGATTATCGGCAGAATCGAGGACGACATGGTGTGTCTTCAATTCGGATTTGTGTGATGAGGAACAGCAGGTTGTTGTCGTGAAGTCCGGATTTGGTAGTCGTTTGTATGGTGATTTGGAGAAGGGCGATTGGCGTAAGGTCGAGCTTGTCTCGTTTGGAGCTATCGGCCGCAATTGCGTAGGAGCTCCCTGCCTACCGCCTGAGGTGGGTTGGCGGCGTCGGATCCATCCACCTCATCCCACACCCGTCGTAGGTCGGATCCACCGCAGGGGCTCTGCTCTCCCGGCCCGTCCTTACTCCGAAGAGGGGTCTGGCGCTGGGCAACCAAGATGGTGGGGTCCGTGCCGCTCAGAACCTGAGTGAAGAGCACCGCAATCTCAAAATTTTCGACCTGGTCCTTCCCAACCCCACCTTCACTTACTTATTTCTACCTGAACCTCAACACATCCTCCTTCTTCTGCTTCTTCCACAGATACCCCTTTCCCTTCCCTCTACACACTCTTCAAACCGCAAAAATGGGCTTCGCCGACCTTCTCACTGATGCTGGTGCTGCCAGTAAGTTTCTGCAGCGATGATTCTTCTTTCTTTCACGGGCTGACAATCGTGTCAGTGCTGAACAGCTGGCTCACCACCCGCTCCTACATCGTCGGGTAAGTTTGCAACTCCCTATTCACCGCTCCCGAGTTACCCTTCTTCGACTCCCCTTTTGGCATTACATGATGAGGAAAATTGGTCCGTGTTTCGGAGGCAGCCTCAAGACCTGCTATTTGACGACAAAACCAGCACTTTGTGCAACTCTGACCCCCCGCCTTACCCATTCACTTTTATCTCGCAAAAGCAAACTTGGGCAAGACATCGCCGCTAACAATCGGCACAGCTCCACCCCTTCCCAGGCCGACGTTGCCACCTTCAAGGCTCTTCAGTCCGCTCCTGATGCCGAGAAGTACCCCCACGCCGCCAGATGGTACAAGCACATCGCCTCCTACGAGAGCGACTTCGCCACCCTCCCCGGTGATGCCTCCAAGTCCTACTCCGTCTACGGCCCTGAGGCCACTGAGCTCCCCGTGAACCCCGCCAAGGCCCCCGCCGCCGAGGAGGACGAGGATGACGTCGACCTGTTCGGCTCTGACGACGAGGAGGAGGACGCTGAGGCTGCTCGCATCCGTGAGGAGCGCCTTGCTGAGTACAAGAAGAAGAAGGACAACAAGCCCAAGCTCGCTGCCAAGTCCGTTGTCACTATGGATGTCAAGCCTTGGGGTAAGGATTTCTGCTCGAACCATGGACCGAGGAATGTATACTGACCATATTGCAGATGACGAGACTGACATGGCTGCCCTTGAGGCCGGTGTCCGTGCCATCGAGCACGACGGTCTCGTTTGGGGTGCCTCCAAGCTTGTTCCCGTCGGTTTCGGTATCAAGAAGCTCCAGATCAACCTCGTTGTCGAGGATGAGAAGATCAGCTTGTCTGATCTCGAGGAGGAGATTGCCGAGCTTGAGGACTACGTCCAGTCCGTGGACATTGCTGCTATGCAGAAGCTGTAAGGGGCTTTATGATGAACGGGAGGGATGATTTCACGAGGCATGATGGTGGAGACATGAAAAAAAATCCATAGAATCCTCACAAGAAAGGTTATGGCTCAGGAAACGCAACAGTTTCTGGCACCAACAAAGGCAGCGTCCTTTGTTGCACAAAGAGTGCGGGCTGAAGGCCTTTTATGAATACAAATGAGGTTATGAAAACCTTTTGAAGAAGACAATACCTCGGTTCCAATCCCTAAGTTTTCTGCGTCTCGATTCCTTGATCATGAATGAGGGATCGAATTGGCACCTCTCGACCTTGATGACTCTTTGCTCTCGCCCAGTCAAAATCTTACAAAGGTGAATTGTGTATCAAAGTGGGGCGGCGCTAAGTGAGGGGCAATTCTTCGCTTCCATCGAGGGCCCTCCCGGGAGGGTAAGCAAGCCAATGCAACGCGACTCGAGTAGCTTGCTGCGAACCCGCCAGCTTCAAGCTTGCAACGCGAACGTCGACACGAGACGCGCCAGCCGCAGCAACACAACTAGCTCACATTCGCTTGCCCAGGCTGAAATACTTTCTGTCAAGATGTACGGCGATTTGGGCAATAAGTTGGTATGACCAGGCCCAAAGATAGTCTTTGTCACGTAGTTGCAAAGAGCTAACGCGTTTGCCAGGTGCAACATGCTAAACGAACCCAAAACCTTTCGCATTTGCCAGCGTATCAAGCCGAGATAGTACGCGCCGTTACGCGCGAAGTACGAGACCTAGAGAAAGATGTGACGGAGGTTCTTGAACCTTTCCAGGGCTCTTTCGACCCAGCCGCCAACCAAGCGACAGCCTGCACAGTCCTTGTCAACTATCTCTCCATGCGAAGGAATAAGCGATGCGTTCTCGCTTACCACCGAACTCGGACAGATAAATTGGAGGAACTGGCATGGAAGGGAGTCGATGTGCTTGATCTGGCCGGGCAACAAGTACGAGGCAATGCGGGATCATCAACGGGTGCCCCCAATGGCAATGCCGATGGTCCTACGAGCAGCCTTAGCCCGCAAGAGGAGGAGTATGTGAGGCAGTACGGCGATCTGCTGGCTGCCTACAAAGGGCAATGGACGGACATCGACTTGACGGGCAGCTTGGAACCACCGCGAGACCTCTTCATTGACGTGAGAGTCTTGAAGGATGCAGGAGAAATCCAGACCGAATACGGGTGAGTTTGAACCTCTTGAACCACAGATAAGGATTGTGTCTGACGCCGGGGATCTAGCGCCATCAACTTGACCAAGAACAGTCAATTCTATGTCAGACAGGGCGACGTGGAGCGGCTCATAGCACAGGGTTATCTCCAGAAACTCAGCTGATGCTCATGAACGACCTCGACCTGGCTGGTTGACCTCGGAGTCTCAAGATAACGATACTAAGAGGAATGTGTCTTCATTTCTACCATTCTTGGAGATCTGTGAAGCTCAAGTGGTACGGATGTACGACTGCCTTGTCCAGACCCTTGCACGGATGATAAGATTCGAAATTCTCGTCAAAGGCAAGGCGGGGCACCATTGCCGGCAAAATAACCTGGTGCGATGCGTCAAGATGATGCGAGCATCTCGACATGTGAGCAATATTCTGCTGGCACTTCGCGGGGTACGCGGGGTGCACACATGCAGTTTGCAGTTTCAAGGGGCTGTGAGCGACCGGGCTCGCGAGAAGAGACCAAGCGGTGCAGGCGACTTCTTTCTTGCCATGGATCAGAGTAATGTTATTGTCAACATGAAGCCTGGTCCTGAGCAACATGGGGGCCAAGATCTGCATCGCGGACGGCTTCCGATGCGGCCGCCTCTGGACCAAATTTAGTGGCTCGCATAGCAGCAACACAATGAGGCCCGCAAAAAGGGTCTGATGGAGGTTCAAGTAACGGAATCCGGGGCCAAGATGGCATGCGGCATATCTAGGGTTGCTGGGCTGACTGAGTCTGTAACGGGCTCCTTGCTTTTGGGCTGTCAGCGATGAGGGGAGAATTGGGGAATATGTCTCGCATGTGGCAGGCAAACGTGCACCTCGACTTCTTGGGCCACCTCGATAACAAGCCAGTGTGCGGCAGCTTGGACCAGTTGTGGTGGCGCGCGGGGAATGAACATCAGATGTCGCGATATCGGCGGCGGATGAGGAGAAGGAAAAGCGATAGCGACATTGGAAGATCGGGCTGCATTGAAACCTCAGACATGTCTACGACCTTGGACGTCTCTTGAGGCGAATTCAAAGCAGGGCCGTCATCTAACGAGCCGGAGCCGCAATAAGGGCAGCCAGTCGGTTGTGGACAAAACAGCTCAGTTGCACAGCACAGGCATGGCCTTGTGCGCTGCATTGCATCATGCGCCGCATCATACCTAGTCGTTGTTGGTCGACTGTCGACCTGTAGTCCCGGACATGAGGTGGCTAGGTACACTCACAGTATACCTCAGCAACTGAGCAGGGGAGGGCCGATGTAGGCCGAAGTAGGAGACGGCCAAAGGTATTAGTCTGCTGATTGTGACCTTAGCTTATTAGTACATCTTGCAGCGTTGCAGAACACGTCGAGCCATTGAAGGGAGACGATGACGAGCAATTGACGCCAAATTCTCCAATTGACACGCCGTATTACCCCACGCGAGAGTTGTGAAGGAAGCAGAGTTTGAAGATGCATTGCATTGGCTCTTCCAGACGTGAGCTTTGGCTGGGATATGGTCACTCATGAATCTTGATACACCAGACGGAGACAGCCGCTCGACGGTGCGGGCGTTTGGCCTCCGTCCCCCTCCGTATGCTGCCTGCGGCCCACGGCCCACTGGATAGCCCACGGTCCAGAGCCTGATGCTTGGATTGTTGTTGGGAAGTCATGGAGAGCGAAGGGTAGGTACGGATACACAGGCACAGGTAGGTACCGCACCACGATCCACGATGGAGGGAGAAAGAAGTGAGGGTGTGCAGAGAGTAGCCCCGGCCGCCGAAGCCCAGAGGAAGGGGGAAAAAAATCCTTGGATCCGAAGTGGGGGAGCCGACTTTTGAGAGGGTGGGCTACCCAGTTGGTCTGCCGTGCTTCCAGTCCAACCATTCATTGTGCCGGAGGGAATAGTGTACTTTCTGCGGTACGGAGTACTCGGTACCCATTTCGCCATTCCATTTGCCTTGCAGCGGCTGTAAGTGGCTCACTGGAGGGGTCGCCGTGCTGTAGGTGCAGGGATTGTTCGCGGGCGTTACGTAGTGCAACTGGAGAGTTGAGCGCCATCGGCACCTATCCGCGGGCAGTCAGCGAGATGGATGCACACAATACACACTGCGTAGGTCTTCATGGTTCATGAACTAACATGATACAGAGTGCGGTGGTTACGGCAACCCGGACTGCGATGGGCTACGGAATGCCCGCACCAAGATACCACGAGGATTTGTGCTGGCTAGCCGTAAAGAGAGGGACAAGCATCTCAGTAACAGCCTAGCCGGTAGGTACCTCACCTGAAGTACCTCCTGAGGTAAGGTAGGTACAGAGGCAACTTGGCAAGCTTGAGCGAGTTGGGCGACTTGGACCCAGCACTTGCGTGCCTCCCATGCAGTAAAAGTGGTAGCATGCCGTAGGAGGCACGCTACTGAGGGGCGAGGGGCCACATGCAAAATGCAAATTTGACTTGGATCAAGGTTTGTCGTTCGTCTAATTCTGCGTGCTACGTGCTGCGTGCTGCGTCGTTCTGCATGCTGTTGCGTTGCGCGCGCCATGCCTTGCCATGTTGACGACAACCTCTTGAACCTCGTCCAATTCTCTGGTACACTTCCACTACTTCCCTCACGTCTTGCCTTCAACTTACCTCTCAGGTGGCTCTCACGCTCTCCACGGTCTCCACGCTTTCCATCTCCGTCCCGTCTGCTCTAAACCAGCCCGTCCACCCACTTGGTTATTCCTGTTTCCAGGTTCGTGCTCTTCTTCCATCTTTCTCCATCCAACCCTTCTTTGGCTTTGTTAGCCTTTGGAGCCTTTCCGCTCACGACCCAGAAACCAGGACGACTTACACGGGCCATCCTGGCTCTGCCCGTAGATCTGGCCCCGTCTGTCTGCTATCTCCTACGGAGTGCTACACTTTCCCATCTCTTATCTGCGCCGAAACCCACCACACATTTCTCTCTCGCGCGCGCACACCCCAGCTCAGCTTCTCATGTTTTCCACGACGTAAAACCTGCAAGAACAGCCGCACCACCGGCCTGGCACCCTGACAATTGGTGCCTTTAAGAGGTGCAACGGTGATCCTCGGCGCCCAAACACCAACTATTCGCATACTCAGTCACCCAGCTAGCTAGCTAGCTACCTTGGCCATGTCTTCTCCCAACTTTGCCGGTTTCTCTCCATGGAGGAGAAGAGCCGCTTCCTTGAGCTCCCAGAGATCTCAGAGGAACAGTGCAGAGATTAACCCGGAAAACCCGCTCCTCAGTCCCGGCCGGAACTCGCAGAATGCTCCCGATTCGAGAACTTTACTATCCTCTTCCGTGAGCTCGAGTCACCGAGAGCCGATCCGTTCCTTCATTCACGGCAACGTGAGGGACCACCTAGGCAAGCATCCCGTTGTCGGCGCATACGTCATACAGGACACACAACCAGCTAACATGCTATCTGTAGCCCCCGTCGACAGCGCCCAGTCCGCCCGCAGCGTGCGCGAAGATACGGCTGAACTCGCCTCGTATCTGCTGTCCGACAAGAAGACGGGTCAGAGCCCGGCTTTCCTCTCGCGCCAACGCTCCCAGTCGTCAGCTCTCGCACGGGAAACTGCTATTTCGGACAACGAGGAGGAGGACGATGACGAAATTACGCATGCAGCGAGCTCCGAGACGATACAAGAGGTATCGGAGCCTCCCTCGCCGGATGGAAACGAGGATGAAATACCAGAGGATGGCCCCTCAATCTTGACGAACCTACTCAAGAAGTCACCTCCTCAGTCGCACCGAGATCCGTCACCAGAACCCCACTCCGAGCCATTGGAACCATCGAGCCCCGAACCGAAGCGAGCGCACTCTGCGGAGAGACAGGAACGAGGGGAGCAGCAACCGGCGAGGATCGTTGTCAGACAGCCTACCGAGCGTACTCCCCTGATCCCCAGGTTATCGTCTGATAGTCTCGAGAGCTACAACACGAGCGGAGCTAGCACCGAAGTCGACGTGGAAGGGCAGAAACAGCGGCCTAAGAAGCGGTGGTTGGGAGGTCTGAAGGACCTTACCGTGAACGTCGAAGAACGCATCGTTCATGGTTATCAGATTGCGACGAGTCCCAAAGCATGGGACCGCCAAGCGTTATGGCAAAATGCCGTGGTGGCCCCGGTATCTTGCTTGCCGGCTGTCATTGTTGGATTGCTGCTCAATGTTCTTGATGCGTTATCTTACGGTATGCCCCTCTCTATTGAAAGAAAAAAAAAATGGTACACAAATCCACGGCATTTATTCTAACTGGACTAGGCATGATTCTCTTCCCCCTCGGCAAGCCCATTTTTGCTGGGTTGGGCTCAGCGGGCATCTCCATTTTCTATGTTAGCACCATTGTTTCTCAATTGACCTTCTCAACCGGTAGTATTTTCAAGGGAGGCGTCGGCTCCGAATTGGTGAGTTCTTCCAGATCATGCAATAGGGCCCTTGCTCACTCTCCCGCAGATCGAGGTCGTACCTTTTTTCCATAATATGGCCCAAACAATTACGGACCATATTGGCGAGGATCAACCAGACGCTGTAATCGCAACGACGATTGTCACGTATGCTATCAGTTCTATGATGACAGGCGCGGTGTTCTATCTAATGGGCAAGTTCAACTTCGGCTACATGGTGGGCTTCATCCCCAGGCACATCTTGATCGGCTGTATTGGAGGTGTCGGCTGGTTCCTGGTTGCCACGGGATTCGAAGTTTCTGCCCGAATGGATGGCAGCCTGGAATACGACATGGACACCCTCCACAAACTCTTCCAGTCCGACACAGTACTTCTCTGGCTGATCCCCCTCTTGCTGGCCATTGTTCTTTTCTACAGTCAGACAAGAGGTGCTTCCAAGTACTTCTTGCCGCTGTACATCATCACCATTCCGATTGTCTTTTATTTCTTCGTGTTCTCTCTGGATGCGCTAGAGCCTGATACTCTCCGAGATCATGGCTGGATTTTTGAAGGACCACCGGCCGATGAGCCTTGGTGGTACTTCTATACGTTGTACAGTAAGCGAACCATGCCTCACGTATCCAACTATTGCTAACGTACAACTCTAGAATTCAACCTAGTCGAGTGGGATGCCGTCTTGGAGTGCATTCCAGCCATGCTGGCACTCACCTTTTTCGGCATCCTCCACGTTCCCATCAATGTTCCGGCCCTGGCCCTGCAGACTGGTGAGGACAATGCTGACCTCGACCGTGAGCTGAAGTTGCACGGCTACTCCAACTTTATCTCTGGCCTATGCGGTAGTATTCAAAACTATCTTGTCTACGCCAACACCGTGTTTTTCATGCGGTCTGGCGGAGACAGCCGGCTTGCTGGCGTCATGCTAGCAGCCTTGACATTTGGTGTCATGGTGATTGGCCCCAAGATCATTGGATTTATCCCCATCATGATGGTCGGCACTCTTATCTTCGACCTTGGCTTTGAGCTTCTTCTCGAAGCCGTGTGGCTTCCAAGGAAGAAGCTGAAACTGGCCGAGTATCTGACGGTATGTTTGTTGTCTGTCTTTTACTAGTCTTTGCTAACTCCCTGATCAGGTGATTGTAATCGTCCTAGTAATGGGCATCTACGATTTCGTCATTGGCATCGGTGTGGGCATCATCCTCGCCTTTGCGTCACTAATCATTCAGACTTCGAGAGTATCTGCTGTACGAGCAAGCTATACAGGCGAAATCGTTGGCTCAACCGTACGCAGAAACCCCTCACAGCATCACTACCTGCAGGAAGTTCGTCGACAAATCTACATTGTAAAGCTCACTGGCTTCCTCTTTTTCGGCACTGTCGTCAGTGTAGAAGAAAAGATCCGGGCTCTCATCGACGACAGTGCCTTTGCAGAGAGGCCCATCAAATATCTCGTTCTCGACCTGTATCACGTCACAGGTCTTGATTACTCCGCCGGTGAAGCTTTCAATACTATCAGCAGGCTGCTCGACAATAAGGGCATCGTCATGGTGTTGAGTGGAAAGGACGCGGAAAGTGAAGTTGGCCGCAATTTGCGGGCCATGGGGCTGGGTAATGAGGACAATGAAAGCATCGAAGTTACATTGCTTCCCGACCTCAACTCGGCTCTGGAGAGCTGTGAGAACGAGTTGCTCAAGACTCTTTACACAAGCCAGGAGGCGCTTCACAATGGCTCTCGTCACGCACCAACAGCGAATCTTGACGTCCCTTCGAAGCCAGACCGGGGATCGTTCGATTTGGTCATCAACTCACCGAGACGCAACCATTTGCATGAAGCTGCCAGAAACGCGCTGGCGAACACAGAGTCCTCGGGCACGAAGAGGTGGCAGAGCTTTAAGGAGCCTCTGCGGTTGATGTTGCAGATCTTCCAGGGCTTGAGCGAGAGGAACGAGGACTTCTGGTTCCGGGCCGTTGGATACTTCTCACGGATGGAATACCAGGCCGGCACAGTTCTGTTCACGAGAGGCGAGCCCGCCAAGGGCTTCTACCTCGTGGAGAAGGGCATCCTACGCGCCGATTACGACATGCCGCAAGGCAAGCTTACGGAGAGTATTGTAGCGGGCACGACATGCGGCGAGCTGCCCTTCTTCTCGGAGACGGACCGGACGGCCACGGTGACGGTTGATAGGGACTGCGTCGCCTGGCGGATGGACAAGGAGGGATGGCAACGGCTGCAGAAGGACCAGCCGGACGTTGCGCAGGAGTTGTTGAGGGTTTCGTTGAAGTTGACGAGTGAGCGGATGTCCTCCATCACTTCGTACATCTTAACCACTGCCGGCTAGGCACCTTACGGACGAAGTTTCTCTCACGCGATCACCGAACGTGACATATCGAGATACTTTACCTATTTCTTTTCTTTACGTCATTGGAGTTGTCAGGATACTAAAAAAGTAGAGAAGGTTGTGTAAAAGGATTTGGGGTGTCTTTACTTTTCCCGGTACATTGATTTTGGACCTCCCGTTAGCGAAGGTTGTGCTATTTTACATACTTCTTGTTGTTTATAGCTTTTACTTCCTTTTTTGGAGTACCTACCTACCTACCTAGACATCAGGCGTCGCAGAGCGCGAGATACTCCTCCCTCTGTGCTTACAGAAAAAGCAAAAAAACAAATTCTAACATCAACAAGAGAATCACTTGTCTTGTAACTTTGAGTCTGCCCTGTCGTTCTTGGTCTTGTCCTTGGGATTGTTGAATGAGCACTGACAAATTGATAAGAAGGATGGAGAAAGAGTCGAGTCAGGAAGAGACATTGTCTTGGTTCGTTTTGTCGGTGTGTCTGAGACCCTTTGATTTCCGCTCAAATTGTGGTTTGTTTTGGTCTCGAGGCAACATGTTTTGGTGTCGTGTGCTCTTTTTTTTCATTCTTATGTTTTATTGTTGTGAGCATCGCTTGCTATGGACTTTTGGTAGCTGTGGTGATGTTGACGCTGGGCTGTTTTTGACCCGCGTTCCCCGTATTCTTCTGGGTTGGTCTCATCGAAGGGCGGCTTCTAGACTCGTGTTGGGTTTTGCATTGTCATGTTGAGTCTGGCGTCTAGCTGGTTCTATAGAATGCCCGAGTCCGTGACCTTGGTGGCAAGATGGACTTGGGGATGGGCAATCGTATGGCTCTTGCTGCCTTTCGTGTTATTTGCTTCTTATATCCTGTTTTGAGTGTGATTTTGCAGAATCGTAAGCTAGAGCTTGGTGCGCTTTCTTGGGAGTGAGTAGGAGTCTTCTTTTCATATCAGGCAGACGCGGGATGAAGACACCTGTTAATCCCGACTTGAGAGACTTGTTTCGTCGATTCCTTGAACATATCATACGGTATCCTACACTTGCCGTGTTAAAGATGTTTCCAGCGTCTCCTAGCCATACTGCGTACGCCGGCTTCCTATTCGGGATTCCCATAGAAAGGTAACAGGACCGCAACGCTGAATCAGATGTGAGAGGAAGCCATCTCTGGTACCCATTTTCATCTCTCTCAATAGAAGCCTGCCTCATCTTGGGAGCTGAGAACTGGGAGCTGCCAGTGCCTCGGTGGCTTCTGGAGACCAGAACAACATCATATGATATCTTTTATGCAGTCTTTGAGGGGCTTGTCTCCGAAGTCTCCTCATTAGAATATCCGGGACCAGTAAAGAGCAGCCGAGATGTCCCATGATGCTTTGGCATTCTACGATACTGGATAGTTAGGAGCTCGGGAGCCATACCAACAGCATGAGCAGACTACAGGCGTCGTGAACACAGTGGAACGTGGCGTGAAAGCAGGCCAGGACCTTTTTGTATGTTTTGATGAGAATTCGCTGGCCACTGGGAATGCCATCGGGCGTAGTGACCGTGTATAGTTATCAACTGAAATACTGGATTATCGGGTCACCTATGGCAGCCCTCTGGGACTTTCGATATACGCATGCCGAAGATCTTTGAAAAGAAATCTCAGTCCGTGACCTGGTGAAATAAATCTATCAGAAGTAAAGAGCGCTGGAGGTGGACGGCGTGGTCATGATTGATAAGTTTCAGTCAAGCCTCGAGTACTATGGTTACACGAGACGCAGATACTCACGAGTTGGATACTCAGCCACCAGCTTGATTGAATAGCTGGGCTGGGTTTCCAGCCGCCAGGAGCCATATTGAAGGCACATGCTACCATCTGACTTGCAGTAACGTGGCTTGCCTGGTAGTAAGACGCGAAGCTAAATGGGAGCTTCAGCGTGATATTTCTTATAGAGTCATGGTTTCTAATCGAGCCCCGACGACTTTGTGAGGTGACACATAAACGGTAGAGCTGCGGCTCGGAGCTGTTTACGATACCTGATGATTCGGAACGATATTAATGAGCTATTGACATCGACTTTCGTACTTGCCGAGGAAAGTGGCAGGTTCCTTGCTCAAGCCATAATCAAGGTAGTTCACGAGAGTCGAGATCTGAGGCGTGCTTATACCTTTCTACAACCGTGTTACGCCCTAATTGTCTCAGCCCCAGAGCTCGACAATCTTTGGACAAAAATGGTCAAAATACTAAAGAGAAGAGGATAGCACATCTCTCATCTTCCAGTGAGCACGGCGAACACTTCAACACTCGAAGGCTATGCTCGGCAGTGAAGACCTTGAATGAAACGGAAGGTTTGCCCTTCGGTAGTCTGAGACTCCCAGGACAGCCAAAGAAGCCAGGGACTTGCTCCATAGTGGATTAGGGATAAGCAGCAGTCGTCGTCGTCGTCAATAACATGTCCACCTGAGGGTGGAAGGATGATGACTCCCAGAGGCGGAGGCGGAGGCGAGCGACAAAGCACTCTCAGGAGGAGATCTTGTGATCGACTTCTGCGACACTTGACGGAGACCGAATGTCGATAATGGGAGGCTCCAACGTCGGCAGCTTCGGATGCGATGGCAGGCCGTACTATCATGGCTTTGAACTCTACGGAGAGTGGGCACCCGACCTGCTAGAACCCATTTCCATGTCTCCAAAGGCAAAGAGTGGTTGGATAATCGAACCAGATGGGAGTGTAACAGCTTTGCCACTGTAGGACTCATTTATTAGCCGATACGTAGCTCTGGGATATTGGGCACAGTATGGAGAGATACTTGAGCGCAGCAGAATGTGCAGCAGCTCTGGCGTTAGTCTCACGCAACACTCAGCACCGAGTCGCAGAAACGTATCAAGGCCCCCCTTTGTTGTAGGTTCGGGACGGATACGGAACCATTAGAATTCGTTGCAACGCAAAGATCCCTCGTCGTCGAGGAGACCAACATCATTGCCGCCATTTTAAACATTCATCGTAGCTTTTTTTTTTTTTTTTTTTGAAAAGAGTTCAGATGAACCTCCTAGACTTCTCCCCCTTTTAGGCAAACTCATTGCGTTACATCCCGATGTCACCGCCGTCCAACATCAATGCCGTACCGAAGTCTGGTTCTGCCTGAATTCTGGGAAATTAATGCGTGCAACCTGGGGGCCGGATTCCGACGATATAGCATTCACCGCGATAACACATTATCAAATGACGGTGCTACCTCAACTAGGGTGGATGGAGGAAACCAGAAAAGGGGGGACGAAAAGAGAAGCAAAAAGGACAATGGCCCTTGGCCATCCTTCGTATCGAATGCAGAGGAGCGGCATGTTCGGCCCGGCGTAACAGCGCAACGGGGAGACTCTCTTTTCAAGTCTTGTATGCTCACATAGCCGAGTTGCAACACTGACCGGACTGATGATACTCACAAGGAAAGTTGCGGCCGCAATTCACCAGCAACCTTCCATTGGGGACAACGTTCAAATTTCGGCTGTCAACCAGCTCAACGCTGCCCTGGAATAAAGTCTCATTTCCAGCATGATGAATTAAAGAACGTCGGCCCGTTTTTGCAGAGGAAGATGGTTACAATTCCCAACCCACAGGCACAGTGTAGGGTATGAAATTCAGTAAAGATTGCCAAGCTTCCGGTTTGATGTTCGTCCCAAAATCAATGCTCTCGGCTGTAGAGGTACCTTCTACTCTGCTCGAACCACCATGGAGACGTCTTTTTCGCGATTTCCATCCCAACCCTCTGTTCTAGAACCGTTCTATTCATGAATTTAAGCTTTGTGTAACAATGCGAAAGAAGGAGGAACATCCCACCTGTCATCGTCTTCATCTCTGGTGCCTATTTGATTCTTCGCCAACATAGCCGAACCAAATCCAAGGAAGCCGAAAGCCGAAAGAAGAACAGGCGGACCGGGACTTGACTTACTCTCAACCCCTATTATGGGCAGAATAAAACAAATTCGAGGCAGAATATCCAAAAGGCCACGGACCGGTCAGCCTCGTTGTCTCTTTTCTCATCACGTACATTGACAGCTTTCTTGGCGAGGGCCCGAGTTGCAACTACTTATACCGTGACTGCTGATTAATAATACTTTTGTCCTCTGAACGAAGGGAAATCTCACGCGGAAACTAAGACGCGGCACCTCTTCGTCGGATTCGCCACCACTAATACCAACCCAAGGAAGGAAGGACGAAAAAAAAAGGGTCCTGCACCCGAATTCTACACCCGGAAGGGCGCGGGCGGCGTACGTGCGTCAATCCGTCAACGGGACATAAAAGCAGGAGTGGAGCCGCCCGGACTTTGACGTACCGGAAATCCCACGTTCACACTACACACCCCAGGCCATCCGTACAAATCCTCAACCTTATTTACCTATTCTCTCATCTTTTTGCGACGTTGTCATTTTCCGAACTACGCCAGGGAGCACACCTAGAGAAGAAGGAGAATACCTACAAGACCCAAAAAGAATAGAACATGAGCTTGCGGTCAATACTAAGCGGCGGCCGAGTAAAAAAGCCAAAACCAAAGCCGAAGCCGTCAGCTTCGCCACGAAAGAACAGCGGGACGAGTAGCCCCCGCAAGTCTGCCGGCGGCAGCAGCAGCAGCACCAGCGCCAAGAGGAATTCTATATCGCACGCCCAAGATGATGATGACGACGATGACGACTTCTTCCACGACAGGCTCGACGACGCAGGGCTCGTCGCGGCGCTGGCGACGGACATGTCGCTGCGCGACGTCGTCCAGGCCATAAAGTACACCCGCAGCCGCATGTTCGGCCCCGTCCCCACGGAGGCGGCCGGCATGAACTCCACGCGCATCGCCGAGGTGCTCAATTACCGCAGAGCCATGCCGGGCATAGTGACAACATCGCACTTACACGCCCTCCTCGCCTCGCCCACGGCGGTGGAGCGCGAGGTCGCAGAGTTGCAGCGCGGCGGAGCGCTGCGCAAGATCTACGTGCAACGCCGCGGCGGCCTGGGCGAGGCCCTGATCCAGACGTCTGAGCTGGAGGACATGATTGCAAAATCGGCGGAGCTGGACGACGACGCGAGGTCCGCCTACGTCAAGTTCCTGAGAGAGAACCCTCTGGCGCAGACGATGCCGCGACTGGCTTGCGGCGGCCATAAACAGGCCGATGCCCTGGTGCGGGCCGGGTTCTTGACATCCAGCATACATCCGCAGCACGTAAATACACCTTTAATGAACTTACACTTGCGCCCCGAAGACCGCGGTAGCTTGATGAGCATTCAAGCGGTCTCCCGCGCAGCATCCGGAAGCTTCGACGCCGTTGGCGGACAAGGAGGAATACACGCCGCGGGTGGTGGGGGAGAGGCGCCGCGTCTATCCCGCGGCGCCGCCGCCGACGCGTCATCCTATTCGGGGGCCGAATTCACCATCGCGGTTCCCGGTAACGGGTCGTTTCTAAAACTGACCGCCGCCGCTGTGGAGCACCTGGCCCATCTCCTGTCCAAGTCGCAATTTAGGGAGATGCCCGTGTCTATGCTCCGGGAACGGTGGGAGGGTGGCGTAGCCCGTGACGAGGCACGCCTGGCAAGGAGGGCCAGGGGAGAATTCGCCGGCGTGCTGCCGGGGAGGACTAAACGATGGAAGGAGTTTTACGGTTTGGAGTTCAACTGGGTGTTGGAGGAAGCCATGGGCGCCGGTGTTGTGGAAGTCTTTGAGACACGGAGCGTAGGTAGGGGAGTCCGCCTGCTGTGATACAGTGATCGTGGGTGAGACCTCGGAGTCCGTGTACGTCGTCTGCTGCAGCGGGGGAAAGGTTTTAAGCTTGATACCGTGGAAATCCCAAATGTTCTTCGACCAGTCGTTAGCGACTAGAGACACAACGTTGGGAACATCGGCGTCGATGAAACCTGCCTCTTGACAAGCTGCCGTGTCGCTTAGCCCCCCATCACGTCAACTTGACTGGGATGTCATGGCCGCCTCCTGGCATGTTCGTCCAAGGGTCGTTTCTCTGGAAAATTCTTCGATGAGAGAAAAATCATAGAGATAGAGCTGCTGTAGCATAGTACGTATAAGACAACCCGATTGAGTCAGTTGCTGTTGCTTTCTGCTAAGAGCGTTTCTTTCCGTAATTTGAGAAGAAAAACACTTCCCTATCCTCGAAATACATCATTGAACCGCTAGATAGACGGCAAACCCGTGAAGGTTGCGCGGCCAGCTTGAAAGGGGAACAAGCCTGTTGATTAGTGAAGTTTCCCCAGAACCCCGGCTCCCTGTCGATATCTGCCAAGCACGAAATTTGTTGTAGAGGGCGAAGGGTCGCACTTGAAGGCGAGGCGGAGGGTGATGCGGCTCCAGGTTCACCTAGGTAAATCCTAGGGCCTGTGGTTTGATCTTCCATGCTTCGCCCAGTCGCGGAGCATCGTGCAACTGGACCAACGTTTAGACGAGAACTGCCGGTTTTTAAATGTGACTTCGTTAGGTATAGGCTCTTGAGTCATGGAACGGACCGGTGAAAGCCAGAGCATGAATGTCAACTGTCTCTCATCCGTTCTTTGCATCGATTTGCGTGCTGCTGTCAAAAGTTGAAAGGCTTGGGACCTAAAGGTGTGGTTGGTAGCGGAAAGCGACACACACCATTCGTTTTGCCTCCACATGGAAGACCAAACAACACACTGCATTGGCTGGGTCGCCAGAAATTTCGGGTTGTATTTGAGGTTTTCGAAACTTACACAAAGGCTGTGTGGAGAGAGGTACGATAGTGTATGTCCATCTGCAGCTAGTGTTCCAGAGTATAGTATTGTCCGAGCGAAAAAGACGTTGGCTCACAACTGTCAAATTGAAATGCCTACCATACTTCAGCCCGCCATCCGAGGTCGGGTGGGATAGCATAGAAAGCTAATCCAAATTCACCCAATCAGCCAAGATACCTCGGATGTCATGGCAGCCGTGCAAGAGTCAAGACACCTGGGCTAGTCAGTGTATAGATAATATAGGGCCCATTAATCAAAAGAGCGTTTGTTTTGTCAGAAGCTCGCAAACACTCAGCAGAGATCATCAGAAGGAACATGATCCAAGATCGACAGCCCCGTTGCCCCGTAGACTATAGTAGGCTCTTAGCCCAGGGAAAAGTATTGGAAACTCCAACATCCTCTTTGGGGGCGCAAGACGTTGCAGCTTGCCTGCGTGCATTAACCAAACGTAGAAAAAGCAATTTTGAGGTGCAGGCTTGGGGGACGGATACCGACTTCAGTCCCAATGAGGTAAATTGAGCTTGGGCCATCCATCGCCTGTGCTTCTATCTGAGCTCGTGGAACGCTCGCTTTTGAGCGGGACTCGAAGTTCCAAGCTCGTCAGTACAGGTACCGTGTTGATGTGGACAGAGGATCGAAGTGCTAAGCATGGTGAGGCACTTGCGCAACCATCCTGCGACGTGGGAATGCGGAGACGGAGCAACGCGGCAGAATGCTAGGTTCATCGGATGACGGGAATAGTGAAGTACGGGATGAGGTCTGGCAGTGATACATGAACGTCCGGCACGACGGCTCGCCGAGAGTGACCCGGTGTCGGGGGTTCTACCATCCCGCCCGTCATTCTCTGAACGTTTTCTGCTCGAACAACAGATAGATTGATGGTCTGAGCCCCCGACCCCAAGATGCAATGTCCAATGGTGCCAATTTGACCAGTTCGAAGGGGGGGGGGGGAGGCCTTCGTAGGATTCGTGCGACGGGCCCAGGCTCTGTGAGATTGCCAGACCAGGGCCATGGTCGCGTTATGCTTCATTGGCGAATGAGATTCGGCGGGGAATGGACGAGGCTGCAGCAGTGCAGCTAAGGTGCTTGTCGTCACACAGACTTTTTACGCCAACAGCGTCTTCTCCAACTCTGGGTCGTGCTAGGAAGCTTCCCGGAGACGGCTCCTGCAGTCGTGCAGAAAGTGTAGCATATGATGGCTGTTATCGAGGTCTTAGTTCGGCTTGCCTAGTAGAAGATTTGCGCACGGGGACGCCATAGATGGCAGCTCGTTGGCTGGAAGAGGTAGTGATGTGATGGCATCCGGAAATTACAGCGTGGTCCGTCCATATGGGGGTCTCTGGCAATTCGCAGACGTTGTTTGATTGCAACAACGGTTGGCACTTTAAAGTGTTTGCCCCCAGTCATTCCATTTGCCGCGCTCTGTCCAATTGTTGATCGAGTCAACGTTGTCGAGGATTCTGTGGATTCGGGGACAGATCGAGAAAGCACCGAGGGTGACGAGCGGGTCTGAGGAAGATTCATGGAGATGGATCATGGGAACCCGAGCTGTTGGCGCTCGTGGAAAATCCGTACAAAGTAGGCTTCTTTGGGCGGTAGGAGTGGAGTGACGCGTATCCGTAGCTATACCTGGTATCCTGTGCTACCCAGAACACATACTCTGCACAAATTTGCGAGAGACAAAGAGGCAGACATGTGGCAGCACCATGTCTCGGCGTGGGATGGACAGGTGAGGCTGCGCAATATCACCATAATTCGTTACATGCGCACCTTGTGCTCTGGATGCTGACGGCGGACGCTTGCTGTTCTGCTTGCTTGAGGGTTGGAAAGCACGCGCATATGCGTGCGACGGTGGTACGGAGCTCGCGCATGTGCATCCGCGTCTTGTCGTGGATCAAGTGCCGTCGGTCCCAGCGAGGTAGACCATCCATCATCCCACAAGCTCTCTCTCTTTCTTTCTCTCTCTCTCGCAGATGCAAGCCAGTTTGGGATTTGACAGCAGGGGTCTTGGAAGTATCCTGAGACCTAGGGACCAAGTAGCGGCCAGGAGTCAGGCCACAGAGCAGCGTGGCTTATCATCCAAGGACCATGAGGGAGGGATACAGTAGCGCCATGTCTCGCGACACTTGTGCTTGTGCAGTGGGAAGCAATGCTCATGGTCCAAGTGCTCGCGCAGTCTCTCGCGATTAAAGGGGCGTCCTAATGTGTCGAGTACCTCTGATGCTGGTAGCTCGTGGCGGCACCGTGTATATTCTGGGACTAAGCTGAAAAGGGATCCCCCCCTTGCTGTTCCTGAGTTGAGCGATGGTCTTTGCTGGGGATGTGACAGGGGTAAAATCTCCAAGTCTGGGTACCAATTTGACGATGATCAGACTAGCGAGGGAAACCCTCCTGGGTTGGGCTGCGGGCGTTGTGATGAGTGGTGTATCTCTTGGACGTTGTCTCTAGTACCTGACTAGTTGCCGATGGGGAAGCAATTCGTGACGGAGTCGAGGAAGGAGAGAAATGGTGCCTTTGCTCTCGAAAGCCCATCATGGCCGGAGAGAGTTGCATGTGCTGACCGAAGTGTGAATGGCGGGGATGGGGCAATCACGACCGTGTTGCACGCCCTCCTCAGCCCTGACCGGCCAGCTGGAGGGGTGAAAAGGAAATGGAAGTGAAAAAGGGAAAAATCAGAGACGAAGGCAGGGAATGACACAGACACGAGAAAGACAAGCGATAAACGGGGGCAAGGTCGCAAAAGACCAGGGGAGGCAACATCTCTCTCTTTCGTCTCCCTCCCTCCTCCCCTTTCTGTGTTTATTGGTATTTGGCACGAGTATTTCGTACATGGATACGTAGTTGCCCATCTCACTCGTGACCCCGGTTGCATCTTGTCTTCTCCTTCCTTCTCCCCCTTCTCATTCAGCTAAGGTACTTTAGAGTACCTAACTAGTTTTGGGGAACAAGCTCTTTCTCGATTGACTCAGAGACGACGACTGTTTCTTCCTCTACGATTTGCAGATATCACGTCCCGCAATCTTAGTTGACGCTGATATCGAGGATCGTCACTTTGTCACTGGGTTTGGCAGCTTATCCCTCTATTCCTATTGCGCAATACTTCCCGTTGTCGGCATATCCAAGCACAACTTTTTGTGGATTCCTCACAAGCTCCCGTCCAGAAAAAGCAAAGAATGGTTTAACGGTACGTACAAGGGCCCACTGTTTTTACACTCCTGCACCCTGTCACTTGTCCGCTACTTTGCCCCGGGCAAGTAGGACCAACGAAGAGAGGAGGAGCAGACGGAGAGGAGAAGAGGAGGAGGAAGGTGCTCTCTCTTTTGTCCAGGTTCTTTCCCACTCGTAATAATAGCAAAAGAGAAAAGGGAAAGAAAGAGAGGAAGGGACGTCCAACATTGGACATCCTTCGCATCGAGGACGCGCCTAACACGCAACAGACCTTTTTCGAGGAAACGATCCCACTGGTCTGGAACACCTCGACTCTTGACTCTCGACCTCTTTCACTTCCAAATTTCTCCCCCTCCTGCCTGCCGCCCACGTTTACACTACGTCTACTTTCACGACCACGTCCGTCCACGTTCAGATCGCTCCCAACTTATCCGACGGATCTGCCTAGTACCTTCAGCCACTCCTTTACCTTCCTCGCGCCGCCCACGTCGTTGCACATAGCGGCCATTTCCCGCTTACATTGCCGTCCACTGCACTAATCGCACCGAAACGCACTTTTCATCACCACATTCACTCACGCCTTCTCCATTTTCTCGACCAAACACTCCTTACTCATCTCGTCTCGCTGTGCGCTTCTACGCTTTGCGTCTCCTTTACCTTGCCCACGGGACGCCTCAATTAACTTGACTCTTCGCCTTGTACGATTCCGCCGCCGCCGCCGCCTCTTCCTTACCTTAACCCACGGATTACTCCGCCAAGACCAAGAGACGCAAACAAGCCCAGCGCTCGAGACTCGGATCTCTCCTTTCCACAAACCATCGCAACCCCATCGGCATCACAGAGCTCATCGCATCCGCCAGCTCTCAGACTTGACGCAGTTCCGTCCCAACTCTACCTTACCGCGGCCCCGGTCGAATATCTTTCCGCACTTCGTCACCCAAACTCTGTGGACTTGTTTCCTACTTCTCCTTTGTGAAGCTCAGACGCTCCGAAGCTACAGCGAATCCGCGTTCGCAAACCCCGCGCCCAGCTCTGCTGTCGAAACATTTCCACTCGACGAAACCAACCCCTTCCCTTCCTCCCGCGTCCACCTCAATTTTTTGCCTTTCCCCGACCTGCCGCCCAATCTGAGTACCCGTCGCCATCCCAGTCCTGCGACTTTAGCTGCGCGAGACACCAGAGGCACCGTGCTCTGCAGACAGCCCACGAAAAAGAAACCCCAAGCCGTACGCCGCCCGCCGCCCGCTAGCGCAAGGAATACAGCTCGACGACAAAAAAATCCACTGCAGTCAGACCTTTGTTTTCCCTCCGCACTTGCTTCCAACAGAGCCGACAGGGTCCCGGTTTGAACCGCAAGGAACACTCTACGAGACATACGAAGCCACCTCAATCCCAGGATTCCCCCTTCAAATCGCTCGACGCTGCCTTTCTCTCTTCTCACCAACCCCATCTCGGCCCACCACCAAACACGACAACACAAGCGTTGCCCACTGAATCATCTTTTGGTAAGTTTTTTTCCTTTAGTTGTTCCTCCCTGCTCTTATCCGCTCCGCCCCTTGGGATCGCCCTCATGCCGGCGCATCTGCAAGTCATGCCCAAGTCCCGTGCCCGCTGCCTTAATTGTCATGGTCCAGGTGCACTGACAACCCTCCTGACAGTCGAGCCCCCAATCCGATGAAAACTTCCCACGTCACTCTGTACACCCTCAACGCATAATAACGTTTCATACGTCCCTGTTCTCGAATTGGTCCAGAGTGCTGGGATACAGGCATACTCGTAGGCCAGGTCCCCGTCCACACTCGTGGTTTTCGGACGAATACAACCCACGCGAAAGACATCCCTTTCTTATCGACGTAATCAACAACCCGACGATCACCCACCCTCTTCCATCCTCCGAGTTCATGGACCGGCCAATTTCTTGACTGCTCTCGACAATCTAGAAGGCTGCTTGCCCAACTCGGGACTTCGTAGTTGCGTACGGATCACGGCTCCTTCCCTTCAATAATTCAACGATATGGCGACTCTCCCACGGCCGGCCCGGCCATCGAACGGCCCACCAACCATGGCATTGCCCGCTCTACCTGTACCGAAAACGAGGAAAAGTACGGGGGGCATTCCCACGACAGCGTCCAGGGCACCGTCAACACCGAACTCGAAAAGTGGCCTCAGAGCCCCCTCCGCAGGCTTCCTGCCTCCCACAACTCCCGCACCCACCTCAGCCCTTCCGCAACCACGTACAGCCTCTGCCATGAGTAATTCTTCTGTGCGGACGTTGCGTAAGACAGTGAGCATCAACTCATTCCCCCAACCGCCCCGAGGCGACAATCGCATCAGTAGCCTCCCCCCGAGTCCACTTGGTGCTGACTCCTCACGGAACTCCACACGCAAGTCGAAGGGCTCCGTAGCGTCCACGTATTCGCAAAGCAATGGCGCGCCAAGTCTGTTGAATAACAGTGCCGAGGGCAAGTCAATATCAAGCGCCAGCGTGCGTATGTCCGATGGTCTTATCAGCATTTCTTCACCGCCCCAAAGCAGGAGCTCTTCTGCCCAGGACTCGTACTCAACCTCCGCGACGACGTATGATGACCCTATCGATGGAATGGCGGCAAAATCCTCATCTGACGGCAGCAGTGATAAGAGAGGTTCCAAATTAGACGGCAAGGGTAATGTGATTGTCAGTGTGAGAGTGCGACCAGATGCGAGCGGAAACGAGAATACCAAAGCCGAGGGCGAGTGGATGGTTGATGGACGCAAGTCTCTTGTTGCGTACAGAGGAAAGGAAGGCGGAGACTATTTTTATGGTGAGGCTTATTGCTCCGCAGAACTACGCAAATTCTTCTAACTCAAGACGTCAGATAATGTCTTTACAACACACGACGACAACAGCCGAGTATACGACTGCCTAGCAAAGCGTCTAGTCCGCCGTGTGATGGAAGGCTATCATGGAACAGTTTTCGCCTACGGTATGACTGGTACCGGAAAGACGTTTTCGATGCAAGGAACCGCCTCTTCGCCTGGTGTGATCCCGCTCGCCATCACAGATATCTTTTCTTACATCAGAGAGACACCATCCCGCGAATTCCTGCTTCGTGTCAGTTATTTGGAAATCTACAACGAAAAGATTCACGACTTGCTGAGTATGTCAACTGGACCCGGCGCACCCGCTGGTGGGCAGGAAGAAATCAAGTTACGCGAAGACAGCAAGCGCGGTGTTTACGCTAGCCCCTTGAAAGAGGAAATCGTTCAGAGTCCTACCCAGCTTCTTAGGGTAATTGCGCGTGGAGACCAAGCGCGTAGAACTGCAAGCACCCAGTTTAATGCGAGAAGCTCCCGAAGTCATGCAGTCGTACAAATCGTGGTGGAGAGCCGAGAGCGGATACCAGGGAACCCCGGAGGTGGCGACAGCAAAAGATCAGGAATGCTACCCGGTGGCGTGCGAGTGTCAACACTGAGCTTGATCGATCTCGCTGGATCCGAAAAGGCTGCCGAGTCCAAAGAGCGAAGAACCGAAGGCTCGCACATCAACAAGAGTTTGCTCACTTTGGGCACTGTCATCTCCAAACTCTCGGAGCACAAGGACAAGGATGGAAAGGCGGCCGACAAGGATGGGAAGCATCTGCCTTATCGCGACAGCAAGCTGACCAGGCTTTTGCAAGGCGCATTGTCAGGCGGCTCGCTGGTGAGCATTCTTTGCACTATTCAGATTGGCGCGGCTGGCAGCGCTGCGTCCTCGAACTCCCACACATCAGAGACGATCAACACCCTCAAATTCGCATCCAGAGCAAAGAATAATATTGTCAGCCATGCCAAGAAGGCGGAAGAGGCTCTCGGAAGCGGTGGCGATGGCGGTGCGAGAGTCCTCTTGGAGCGCTATCGCATGGAGATCCTTGAGTTACGGCAACAGCTCGACACACAAGCCAAGGAAAAGAATGCAAAGTATGCCGAGGAAGAAAGAGAGCGAGACGTCTTGGAGGAGAAGGCCCGTGAACTTGAGGCTGAGCATCGGCATGAAGAGCAAATGCTCGAAATGCAGCTGGCTCGCACAGCGCTCAAAGAACGGATCGATCACCTCAACCGTCTGATCTTGAGTTCCAAATCAATTGGTGTCAATGTCAGCGGCTCTTACAGCGCTCTTGGCATCCACCCTCGGTCCTCAATGGCATCAGCAAGATCATCATTGGCCACTTCTAATGGCGGCAGGCCACTTCTCGAAAGGACAGCATCAATGACATCGGCGTCATCGACCATAGGCCGTCGTTCTAGTGGTCGATCGAGTGGAGGACAACGCCAATCTAGTGGCGAAGGAGGGCTTGTAACAGACGATGACAGCATTGGCGAATATGGTGACGGGAGTGCCTCGCTATCAGCTCAGAACCGCGCCTTGCAAGCGGACCTTGCGGACAAGACAAGATACATCCAGACACTAGAGAAACGGCTTATGCAGGCACGAAGAGCCAGTTCTTCTAGGACTTCAGTTGGCTTCTCCGCCCCGAATAAGGGCATCATGGTCGGAGAAGACCATAGTGTGTCAACGCTTCTGCGGGAGAAGGACGCCGAGATCGCAGAGCTTCGGGCTAGACTGGACGACAAGGATCGTATGTTGGGTGCGCTTCGGTCTGCAGCGCGTTCTCGAGACACGGCAGAGGGCCACACCGATGGCAGGACATCGGCCCTTTACGAACACAGCCCACCACCGACGGTGAACCCGCCACCAGCACCATCCGCCGTCCATAACACTCCTCGCAACCGTACCAAGAGTGTCGATGAAATGAGCAAGATCCTGGATGAGATGATCCAGGATCGCGTCGAGACGGGCCATCTTGTAAAGGGAGCACGGGGAAGCATTCGCGTCGTTAGCGATCGTAAACTTGAGGTGCATCCAGAGTTGCCTGCGAACCTCGAACCCCTCAGGAAGGCAGCATCATTTGATGAAACCAACAAGGTCTCGGTGATGGGCATGTGAGAAGGACTTTTCTGTCGGGAGTGTCAGTTTCAACGTTGATATCTGGTGTGGGAATGGTTGGACTTCGCGAGGGTGCCTCACGAGGCCAGAAAGGCGTTCGGGAAAGATCGACAACGATCTGGTTTTGTTTTTTTTCTTCTTATACCCTACACTTTACTTCGCCGTGGTCGCTGGTTGGAAGAACGGCGGTTCAAGTCACCTTCTTTCGACGTCAGCTAAGGCTGTCGGTTTGTTTTATTAGCGTACTGATACGTCCACGAGGGAGGAGCCGGCGGAGACTTCAGGCGCTGCACGACCAGTTGTGGTCTCAGTGCATTAGGCAGGCTCAGGATATTGATATTGGCGGAGGGTTCAGAGAAGGGTGGGAAAAGCGACGAGGCCTGCCTGTGGCAGTTTCATATTGGATTGATGGATGATTATGATGGCTCACGTACATCAGAAAGCAGGCCTGGTCAGCTAGCTAATAACGGATGAGCGGTTACGACATCCAGAAGAAGAGAATACCACGATCCATCAGATGCCAACATCCTTCCCGTACCCGTGACTGTGGCTGTGATTGAAACCAAACAGCGGAGATGATTGTTTCGGTACGTTTGGTTTACATGCCCGTTGGACCTATAGCGCGCATAAAGACTCGACTTAGGGAAACGGTATGCCAATCGCAAGGACCCGTCACAATGTGTCACGTCTTCACCTCGCGGATTGCCGCATTCTGTTTGCCACCTATTGTGGCCACCGGTTCTGTTTGATGGCAACGCAGGTCGCCTCACGAGACGGGGTGCTAGCCGGGACTTGGTGAACCCAAGATTGCAGAATAGGAGAGGCGGAGGACGACCGTTGAGAGAGGGGGCGGGGGATGGGCAGACGGGGCGACCCTTCTCAACGCCATATCGGAGGGGAGGGCCGCATGCTACTCGCGATGTCAGATCAAGGCGTCTTAGTTCAACCCTAGCGTGAATTTTCTCATCTCATGGAAAATGAGTACTATAGAATCTCAACGGTAATGTAGGAAAACTATCACAGACCATCACAAAGATATCAGATCATCACATGGCCATCACAGAGGTGCAATCTCGGCGATTCCCGACCATCAATTACAGAGTGTTTTCTTGGGGGAGCAAACAGAGTTTATGGGATGGAGGTTCCTCCCAAGATGGCGGTTTGACGAGGCGGATCGAAGGAGAAGGAGGGGAGGGGTGCGTGAGCTTGGGGCGGTCGGGCGAAACTTTGAGGAGCTTATTTTTGGTTCTGCTTTCCTCGCTGATTTTGCACATGGGAATCTTGTGATTTGAGGCGAGAGGCTAAGATGGCTGGATCGGAAAAGGAGAAGGGAGGGGGATGCTTGTGATGGTAAGCGGGAAAAAAGGAGAGCAAAATCTCAAAGAGCATTAACGTTGTTTGGTGGTGGTTTGAAGTTCCTCCCGTGTGGCTTAGGGGTTTGGATACGGAGAGATCGCGGCGTGGCGGCAGGGACGAGACCCGATGGACGGAAGTGGCGGGCGCACGGTCGGGAGGGAGCACGGGGGCGCGGAGCGTTGGGATGTAATTTGGATTCATGGTGTTGATGGCTGATTGTACAGAGTAGTTTTGGTGAGATTTGGAAAACGGGCTGCTGAACAGAGAGTTGTTTGGTTGCCCATGTGGAAGGAGGCTGAATGGGACAGGGACACGGGTTCGAGAGTTGATGTGAGGGAGCGAGCTGATTTGAGTTTCCGTTGATGGGGTTTGACTCGGATGAAGCCTTGAAAGCCTTGTAAACTTGGATCATGCCTCTTTCGTTCTCGTTATTTTCTTTTTTCTTTCTTGTCTATCTTGCTTTCCCATGGGACTTTAGGCTTCTCCATTATCAATCTTATGATGGGTCGTTTGGTGTTTGTTGGCGTAAACTCTGAAAAGAGACAATGACTTGTCATTGACGCGTGCGCCTTGCGATGGAGCCTTTCTTTCCCAGTTAAACAGGGGACAGTCGGGAGTGGGTTTGCGATGTATGTTCATTCCCTGGTTGCCTGCCTGCCGGGCACGGGCATGGGCGCGGTTTTGCTACACTGCGTGATTGATGATGATGGATCGCAATATCAAAATTTGTTTTGATATGACGCAAATGGGGACTAGCACCCCCCAGTCCCGAGTCCCGACTACCTACCTTGCGCAGTACGAAATATGGCGATCTGCAGACAAAAAGGACGAAACCTAACTTATCGTTTATGACTCTCGGTGTCTTGTCAATCATTGATCATCGACCAGTTGTTGGCCTCTTTTCTCTGACTCTCCCTGACTCTTTCGTGGAGCCGTGTCTCTCAGCTGCCGTCTGTCTGTCTCGGTTGGTGGGTATAATCGCTGATCCATTTGGTCGGTGCTTGGACGATCCTGTGAGTCTGTGACGGAGCACAGCGATGCTGTGTTTGGCTAGTTGAAGAAGTTGTTTGCTCCCTCCTGCCTTTGTGAGAGACCACACAGTTCCAGGAGGGGGTACGGAGTAGGTGGTACGACATTGTACCATTCCCCCCGTTTCACGATAGCGATTGTGATGGTGACGTCTTGTTTTGCAGCTTGCTGTATATTTTACCTTTTGCTTCGCTGATTTCCTCGTAATTGGGTCACCCTTCAAGGTTTCAACGGCGCGGGCGGGAAAGCCGAGCTAAGATGCCACTTTAAAAAGTGCTCAGCGTGACAGCGAGCAAGGTACCAGGAGTCCAGGACGGCGGATCCCGCGCGCGCGCGGGGAGGAAAAAGATGAAGTAGAGCAGATTTTCTCTTCCCAACGGCCTGGTATATACTCCGTGTGTCAACGCTCAGTAACCCAGTTTGTGCAGTGCCTTTTCCCTCTGTTTTTCCTTGCTCGGAATTGACCCAAAATTGAGGTATCCAGAAAGGGGTCGCGACAGGGGTGTGAGTTCCCCATCTTTGATGTCCACGTGCGGCCTTCTGGATTTGGGAATGCGGATGTGTGTGCGTGTGTGCCTCGAATCGTGACATATTTTTGAAGACGAGTCCGAACCTATTACGGCGGTTCTGTACCCTTGTAACGTGCAGATGAAGATGCAGAAGCGTGTTGGGGATACGAACTTGTGAGAGGGAAGCCAAGCGGACGGCCATAGATTGATGGTGAAGAGATGGTAGGAAAAGGAGCCACAAAGCGGTCCCGCAATCTCCATCACAAATATCCCGAAGGACCGTCTTATGACCTTTTTGGGAATGAGCCAACTGGAGTGGCGCTTGATAATGAGTTGACACTCGTGACACTGACAGCCGAGAGGAGGAGGAACGCGCTCTCAGATTTCAGAGAAAGGAAGTGATGACCGTCTTCGGGAGAAGGTCCGGGAGGAACAAGATGGAGGTGCGATGGAGGTGTGGTGACCAAGATGCCCAATGGGAGGCCAGAGATGGGCGTAAGAGCGCCGAAAGGAGTAGAAGACGTTGCGGGAGGCACTAAATACATCTTTTCATTGGTCTGTTGGGATGAAGAGGGGCGGATCTCATCCGAGGACCCCTGCGGCTCAGGGACACGAGAATGCGGGCTCTGACTGGCTGCTTCATCACCCCGGAGGTTCTGAAACGTGCTAAAATCGTGACCGGCGACCACATGAGGTGGGGGGAAAGCAATTGGGAAGCTGCGACTGAACGGTGAGGTTCCTCCGCCCAACACCACACACTTCCTGACTTCTAAAGAGGTAGCAAGCACCACCTTAGCACCTACTTTGTGTGGATGGCATATGCACAATACCAGGAAAATACTTGCGCGGCGGGTTACCCTTGAACCATCGGCTTCCTTTTTGGGAACTTACTCAGCGCGTACTCGACCGGTCCCGCAAACCAGTCAACCAGTGTCGCAGATGCAATGCGCGCTGCTCCCCCTTCTGACCTCGGTGTCTTCTTGGAGGCGAGTTTTCCACTTCTTTTACGGAGTACGGCTAGGTTGGTTTGGGGCTCGCCGTTGGGCTCCGTCTGTCAAGGTTGGCCTTGAAAAAGCTACTGCCCACTTTTCATGGTGTTGCAACTTTCGCCGCGAGGTTCCGACTTTCGCGAAACCCCCCATGCGAAATACAACGCCAACCATCCATCCGCCCGTCACAATGTAGGGACGTGTCGACGGTTGTTGGGGCTCTTTGGCATCTGCTTGGGTGCTTGGGTTCGACCGTGTGGTCACTGCTGCGGGATCGCCTTGGGTATGACGATCCCGTGGGATCTCCCTCGCTTCTTGCTTCTTCTGGCTCCCTGGCAGTACATACTCCGTAGTGAGAGCAGCATTGGAGCAATGACACGACGTGAAAGGGCCAGCTGAAGATGAGGGGCTTGAGGGGAAACCCTGAACTGAGTTTCTATTCAGGGGACGATCATGATGCTGCAAGAATCAGAAACTCCGTCCCGCCCAGCCGCCTTGGACGATCTGCTACTACTGTTGCTCTCACTGCTCTTACTACTGTAGCCTGTAACTGCTGCTCCCTCCACCATGGAACCTCGCACTGCCACCCGGCTGCTTCGGTTCATGGTTTCGCAGTTGGGTTTTCTGGGATGCTCAGCTATTTACCATTGCCAATCGTCATATCTTTTGTCAAGCACTCCGGGTTTGACGCATTTTGTTGGTCCACCTTACCCCCGCCGTTGCAATTGAGCCAAAAAAAAAAAAAAAAGGCAGAGGCAAAAGCAGGTCGATCAGGCTGAATGCGAAAGACCGCTGAATTAGATTATTTTTTGACACCGGGCGCCCCAGACTTTTTTTTCTTTCCCTCTCAAGTCTTAACCGAACTCAGGTAGAAAGAAAGCGTGAGGAACATAGTCTTTGGCCTTTGTTGCAAACGCAAGGCCCGTCGCCGCACCCGAGTTTCTATTAGTGTAGACGAGGCACCACCACGGCACCAACACCACCACAGAAAAGGAAGAGGTCAAGGCATTGACAGCAACAGCTGACACCTCATCCCACCGACCTTGACGCTGCGATTGCGCTTCACTCGCACACAACACGACACCTCCTAGACTCCTAGGAGCTCTGACACCTCAATCCTCCCGCCCTTCCCCATCTGCCCATCCTTCGGCCCATCTTTTTGCTCGGCAAGCCGCACCCCCCTTCTCAACTTTCGCCTCTGGGTTCTTCCCCCTTCTCGGCGCTGTTGGACCGGGTATCAAGTCAAAGGCCCGGACGAACAACTCATCGTCCCATCTTCATCCTTCGCTTCTGCCCAATTACCACGCAGTACCGTACTCCCTCATCCTCTCGCTGTCACTCAAACTGGCATCGGATAGAGTTTGTCCAAAAGCCGGGAAGCCAGAGCCAAAGCCTAGAGGGGAACACCAGGGCCGAACACAGGCAAAGACAGGGCACATTGTTGCAAACAATATACCACAGACCGCGGACGAGACAACCGGTCCACGACGCACCCAGCAGCATTACATGACATACAAGACTGTTTCGGTCGGCAAGCCGGCGTCCAATCCAGTCTATTAAGTAGTCGTCTCTCTACCCTCCCGATTTTCCCTTACAGCAACGGCTGCAGCCTGATCCAGTTTCTCCCGCTCCATACGCAACGTCCGGCCGAACATACGGGGCAACACCAGCCTTTTGAGTCCACCACTGCTTGAAGCTCCCACTCCAACCGAACCCTGGTCGCTGATGATCGCCGCCAAGACCCACCATCAGTCATTTACTTCACGCAGTTGATCGCACTTTTCATCCTTCTCGGTTGTCCCCTTTGGGTCCTTTTTCACTGCGTTCTCTGCTTGATTTTGGACAAGGGTCGGCCACTTTCTGCGTAGCCGCTGGATACCTTTAAGCTCCTCCTCCTCCTGCAGCTGCTACCCTGGAGTCTACGGAGCATCCGTACTGAGTGCTCGTACCTTGCCTGGAGTCTTGACCCGAAAAGAAGTTGGCCGAGTCTGCCTCACCTTGCTCCGTCCCTCACTCTCTGCCCACGACCTTACTTCTATCCCCGCCTCCCCCGGTTTCTTCACCATACTTTTCTTCTTCCTCCAGACCTGACCCGATCGCGCCCCCGGCCTCGGTCTCGTCCCGTACACAGAACGCACGCTGCATTGCTCGTCTTCCACCGCGCTGGCCACCGCATTGCCGTCTGCCCACGTCGACCTCCGATCCTGTGCGACCGTTGCTGGAACCGTTACTATCATGAACGCTTCCTAGAAGGAAGGAGATTCTCTTGTCAATGACCAACTAGGCTCGAAGCCATCCGACACTCCTTTACTAAGGCCATCATCGGTCTATTTTCCATTCTAAAAGCTCCAAGCTCGAACTCTCTTACAAGATACCCATTGGGACCGCTTCTTTATTAGTGGACACGACCCCCAACACCGACGACTCTACGAATTCTACTTCTTTTGGATATCAACAATTTTTCTACTACCCCGTTGCTTATAATGCGAGCAAACATGCCAGCTCCTCTGGATCTCAGCAAATCCAAGCTGTCGATTTCCGACCCACGGATGAACCTGCGACGATCTGCCTCACATACAGGTAACACCAACTACGAGAAGATTCCGCTGTCCGCCACCTCGTCCCGCTTCAGCTTCAACCACCTGCTCTTCTCGTCGCCGCCGCCGTCCCCAAGCTTACCGGCCCTCATCCCACCTCCCCGAAAATCACCCATCCACCCGCGGCCTAGTCGCGTATTTCGGTTCACGTTTTGGTTTGCATTTGGAGCGCTTTTTCTCTACTTTGCAACCTTCCCTTTCCGGAGCATCTTTGGCGTGCCGAAGCTCAACTTGCCTCATCTTGGCAAAAACGATGACTTTGAGATGGTAGGGCAGGATGATTTGCCAGACTTCCCAACTCCTATCGTCATCACCGACAAGAGTGGCAAATCGAAATGGACTGTCTCAATCCCCCCGAGTTACGACTTCCCATTGTCAGTGAAGGAATATGGAGACATGTGTAGCAAGTGTCGTGAGGTGGCTGCCCGTGTGAGGGATATGCGACACCGTTCCCAGGTCACCGACCAGAACCTCTTGAGCAACGATGCCCCGGCCGATCCATATTTCATCGATGTCACGGAAGCGCAGGAAACAGGTCTCCTCCCGGAGTTTGCCACTAGCCAGTGGCCGAGCAAGGGTCAGGGCCGAGACGGAGACCTCGTTGGAGAGAATAAGGACTCTCTGGTTGAGAAGCCTGTTTGCCAGAGGTCAATGACTTTCGTATTGGAGACTGAAGATGCCGGAATCGGACACTCTATCATGCAGCTTTGGACCTTTTACGGGCTTGCACAGAGGCAGGGCCGAGCCTTCTTCATCGACGACTCCCGGTGGGCGTATGGCAAATACACCGACATCTTCCAACCGCCTCCCATTCCCAACTGTCGCCCACCACCGCGTCATGAGATGATTCCCTGCCCTCCCCGAGCTCGCCACTTGGTGGTCACCTCAGAAACGGCCAAGTCTCTTTGGGCTGGTTCTTTGAGCAAACCCTATGCCGATTTCCGTGCACAGGACGAGGAAGGTCTTCGCGAACTATTCGATCTCGCGCACGACGGCTACCGGGCACTGTTTGATCTCAACAAGGATGACACTCAGTATGTCATCAACAGGGTCAAGGAGGTCAAGACCAAGTCTCTCACAGGAGACGCCAACCCCAACGACGGTCTTGTAGTTGGTGTGCATATTCGGCATGGAGATTGTCACCCGTTGGAATACAAATACCGCGGCACTTACATCCCGATGGAGATCATCGCCAACCGCGCCCAGGAGATTATTGACGCCAACTACAACAACACCGGTAGAGATGGTGCAGACGACAAACTTGCCAAGAATCAGTCGCTGATTGTCATGGCATCCGATGACCCGACTGTGTACGACTCTGAGGACTTCAAGGGCTCGATGCGTGCCCAGGAGCAGATCCGTCTTGCCTCCAAGCAGGAGACCCACAAGCCCGCCACGGACAAGCACGTCATGCACCGTTTCGAGGACGAGTCTTTCGGATGGGAGGGTGGCTTCTTCGCGGCCATGTTCTGGAATCTTGGTCTCTCTTCAATGAGCGCGTCCAACGCTGCAACGGCGAAGAACATGCAGCTGGCTCCCTCGGCCGAGACTCTTCGACTACGCGGCTACATTGGCCGCGCGTATATGATGGACCTTGCTGTGCTCGCCAACGCCAGCGACGCGATTGTCTGCACCGTCAGCGCCATGGGTTGCCGCCTGCTTGCCGTCATGATGGGCTGGGAGTCCGCCATGGAGGCACACAATTGGGTCAACGTCGACGGGCCTTATGGATGGACTGGTATGTCCTTCTGAGCTACCCCGATGACTGCCGCCTACATTTGTACAGAAACAATAAAGGGAGGGCATACATGGCTTGCATAGTTCGGGCCATGAGGAAAGCATTCAACTATTTTTCATCATAGCATGGTTTCCGGTGTTTACGGCGTCCAAAGCAAACAAAGGCAAAAAGCACCTTGTTTTTTTCTTTTTTCCTCCTTTTATTTCTGGCGCGGATTCTTCCTTTCTGGGTTTTAACAAAAAAGAGATACCTCTGCAGTTTGATTTATTTATACCAAACCAACTGCATGCATTCAGGGCTGGTGGATTGCCATGGCCGACGGTCGTTACTGCATCAACTAATTATATTACACCAAAAACAACCATACAAACATCAAACAACAAGGAGCGCAGACTTTATAGTCTAGACGCTAGCTAGCAAGAAATCAATGTCTCAAGAAAGACATCTTCCTAAATCTTAGCTTGTTCTCCGTGTGATTTGATCATGTCCTGATGAGTACTCACGCTACTAGGGAAACTTGATTAGGTTGCTACGAGCTATGTGATAAACACCGTCCGCCAGACAGTACTCGTGCCCTTTCAGACCAATATCTTGACAAAGCGGTAATCCCCCCCGACCTTATGGCTGTAGGTAAGACTGGTTCCATGATCAAGGATAGTAACACTTGGCACCGCGATATGTCAACTTTGCAACATGCTGTCCAGACAGGCTTTGAGAGCATTTTCCTATTTTGTCTGTAACAAGAAATCGCTATTGTCTATGTTGAAGTGTTTCTCATGTATTGAGACAGAAGGGTCGAGGTCAGGGTACGACATGCGTCATATTCTCGCCATTTCTTCTTTTTCTAGGAGCTCTATAACAAGCATGTGGTGGGCCATGTCGGCTTTCGTAAGTCGTTTCTGGGTGCGTCATCCGTCACTAGCAAACGCTGCTACAGCTTTTTACAAACTTGACAATGGCTACCTGGGCATCGTCAGGCAACAGGAAGAGGCACTACGGTGACGAGTGTTTCCCACGATGGGTAATGGTCGTGACTCAACGGGCATCAGGGACCATGCGGCCGAACGCGCTCAACCACAAGCGAGATGGCGTTTTCGCATACCCTGTCCGGCGATATCAATCTTGCAAGTACAAGGCTTTCTTGATATGGGTCTGATAAACCTGAAAAGGTCAAGAAACAGGGTCAAGAGACGAGGCCTGCGAAGACGATTTAAATAGGAGACATGATGCCGTGTAATTTTCGTCCCAGGCACAGAGAAATCTGTTGGATGGCAACTTGCTGACAACTTGCTGAGCGATTCGCCATGAGTTATGTATGGGCGCTTATCTGGCTTCGTGAGGTTAGTGAAACATCATCCAGGCGACAGATGCAGTAAACGGTTCAGAAGTCTTGGTCAACTGTCAAATTTGGTGATGTATTCTCCATGGAATGTCTTGGGATAGCTGGTGATGATCGACACGAAGTGTTGAGGGAATGTCTTGCACGACAGCAGCAGCCATGAGCACTAGAATCAGGTTCGTATAACACTGTTGTGCTTCACTAAAGGAAATCAAGCGCCATGACGACTTCCTCTGGCCGAGGACTGCGTCCAGCCAGCCAGATAGATCCTCTTATAGTGCTAGGACCTAGTTTGCCCTCCGCTTATCGCCAAGGCGATTACCTGTACGTTTCTTCATTCTGCATGAATACCCTTTAATTTACTCTGTTTTCATGTTGCTGACATGAAATCTACTCTAGTGCCCTGAGCCCGCAACCTCTCTGCCTCGCCCAGGGCTGGAGTCCAGCTCCAGACCCAACCCTATGTATGAGAATTTGTTGGCCCTTCCCCATCTTGCCCCGAGTTTCGCGTAATGATGAGGCCGTCGGCGGTTTTTCAGGATATACCGATTGTATCGTATCTTCGTAACGCAGAGGTATAAGACGAATGTTCTCCGCTTATATTCAGCTCATGGACGAGCTTGTAATGGTGGCACACCACAGCAAGGTCGATACTGATCTTTTAGAAAGTGATTTACTCCTGAAGTGACACCTTCGAATGATTGCCGCCGGCACATGCGTCCAAAACTTCCCTTCCGTTACTTGTGTTTTAAACATTGACACGGTCTGTCTAGTCATCATGTCACGTTAACCCAAAGGCTTGGCTGGTGAAATTGTAGAGTCTGTCGCTGCGATGAGTGTTCAACTTGATAAGATTTAGAAGAAGAGTCTAGCATCTTTGACTTGTGATTATGCCAACGGTCAAAGCTGAGCCCATTCTTAAAAGTTGGCACCGGAGTTGTTGCGAGCAACATGAATCTACTCGATCCATTCGACGCGATGACTTGCACCATGCGTCACCACTCAGCAAGTTGTGAGCTAACAAGAGTTCAAGGATACTTCGGCAATGCTTCTTTCCATCTATCTATCATGATCAGTTGAAAGTAATCGTTGTTAAGGGCACCCCCTCGTTCCTCGCGGTAGGTAGACTGCCACTTGCTATTTACCCACGACCCGGCAACAAGTGTCAAGCACAGCTCGATCGCAGATATCGTATTTTTATCTGGCTACTGCTGTCTGGGAAGATCCATGCTCGACAGGACGGTCGGCAAGGTGGCACCGCGTGCAGACATGTAGCAACGATAATGATATTCCCATCTGTGAGGATGCAACATCGAGTATACTGAGATTCTACAGTGATTTCGAACGATTGTGGCTTTCACTCAGTTGTCGAAACCTGGTGTGCATGGATGTCGTGCTAAGACCATTGTGACGCATTAGTCAGACGTTGCCAATCTGCCTGTACTGCTTGTGGCTCAAGAGACTCGACTTCTAGCTCAGTGAATTCAGAATGAGAGCAATGGACTCATGGAGGGGTAATAGCAGCCCCTCATTTATATTCATGCTTACGTTTGAGATGACATGAGCCTCCTCGCAGATCGGACCTTGAGCTTCCAGACATATGCTGCTATTCATTGCCCTTGCGTAGCTGAAGACATCAAAGATTGATATGGACCTGTATGAGAAATAAGTACGCGTTAGGAGGCGCAGACAATGATAGTGGACATCGGGGAGGTGGACGGCATGAGCCGCTCGAGTTCTTATTCGGGTTGCCAGGGTTGTCAATTGAGCACATGTGAGTGGCCAGACAGTTTTCTCTGCTTCTCTGGTACCTGCCTCGGAAGGATTCGCAGATTTTCGTCAAGCAAAGTGGGATGGATGGCACGGATGGGCTGGGCTGAGGTGGGTTGGAAACAAATGAGAAGAAAGTAGAGGATCCAGCCCAGAACCCCTGAAGATGGTAAAGAGGTAAGAAGTTAACAACAGCAGCATGCAATGACAAAACTGACGACACCAGCGAGGCAATTTTGAAATGGCTTGATCGCGTTCAAAGGTGGTTTCCAGAGTCTGGGGAATTGGAGCACACATCGAATCATTCCCATCTCCCATTGCTCGAATAGGCAGGGAGGGTCTCCAGATACGAATACGAACGGCCCGTCATTGGATGAGCTGCTGGTGCCACCGATTGGTCCCTCCCCTGTTCCCGATTTTCTGGCGCAACGTCCAACATGGACCAACAGGGACGCACAGGTGCTTCCGAGTGGAAAGGGGGCCACTGGGGGGCACCTGGCATTTCATGGAAGCAAACATGGCAAAGAAAGGGCAGAAAACAAAAGCAAGAAGAGGTTGCGGTGCAGCATTCTCTGCAACAATGCGCTAGGTACCCTGTGACAGACGCCTCAAAATCGATTCGGGTGGCCAGATGTCACAGATGCTTGGCTCCACGACAATCTTTTGACGTGCAAAATGCTTGACCGCCTACCTAGCCATGGCAGCCATGCAACCTTCCTGACTTTGGACACTTAGGTACATTGGCTTAACTGCTGGCTGGCTAAGGTACCTAGGTATGCGTAGGGTGAGGTGAGGTAGGCGCACACAGACGTAAGGTACCTAGTGAGTGGTGCTCCTTGGTTACGCAAAGAAAATGTGGAACCCAACAAAACGCGGCAGGTATCTAATCTCATTAATGGATAATTTAAAACCACTGCTGGACCCCCCTTCTCGATGCCTTCCACTTTCTTCGTGCCACTGATATTCGTCTTGTGCGTGCGGTCACTACTCTCGAAAACACAGGCAGACTCGACAACTGCGCCAGATCATTTCGATTGACGCATTCTCCGTCTCATACCCTCCTCTGCCCAGTATGGGTCTCCTCCAAGAAGTCGCGGGACCGGTGTCCCAGCAGTTCCAGACTCTGGGAACTGCGTCGCAAGTCGCAATCGTTTTCGCCGCTGTCGTGGTCGTCTCCGTCATCCTGAATGTCGCAAACCAGATCCTCTTCAAGAACAAGAATGAGCCTCCCATGGTCTTCCACTGGTTCCCCTTCATCGGCAGCACCGTCATCTATGGCATGGACCCCCCAGCTTTCTTCAAGGCCAACCGTGAAAAGGTATGCGCACCACCACCGAAACTAACTCTCACCTACCTCTTGTGGTCTCTTACTAACGCACGCTACTCCCATAGTATGGCGATGTCTTCACTTTCGTTCTCCTCGGCAAGAAGACCACGGTCGCTCTCGGAACTCAGGGCAATGACTTCATCCTCAACGGCAAGCTCAAGGATGTAAATGCGGAGGATATCTACACTGTTTTGACCACTCCCGTTTTTGGACGCGATGTTGTCTACGACTGCCCCAACGCCAAGCTCATGGAGCAGAAGAAGGTATGCGGACACCCCAAACTCTGTTTGCGCAAAGTTGTATGCTGACTGGCTACGCGCCCCTCCAGTTCATGAAGATTGCCCTCACCACTGAGGCCTTCCGCTCCTACACCCCCATCATTGCCGACGAGGTCACCAACTACTTCAAGCGCAGCCCTGACTTTAAGGGCAAGTCTGGCGTCGTCAACCTCCCCCCCAAGCTGGCCGAGATCACCATTTTCACCGCCTCCCACGCTCTTCAGGGCGCCGAGATCCGCAACAAGTTCGACGAGTCCCTTGCCTCTCTCTACCATGACCTCGACATGGGCTTCACCTCCATCAACTTCGTGCTGCACTGGGCCCCTCTCCCCTGGAACAAGAAGCGTGACCACGCCCAGCGCACCGTTGCTCAGATCTACATGGACGAAATCAAGCAGCGCCGTGAGCAAGGCCGCACCGACGGACTCGATATCATGACCCATCTGATGAACTCTACCTACAAGAACGGCACCAAGGTCCCCGACCACGAGATCGCCAACATGATGATTGCCCTCCTCATGGCCGGCCAGCACTCTTCCTCTTCCACCAGCTCTTGGATCATGCTTCGTCTCGCCCAGTACCCTCAGATCATGGAGGAGCTCTACGAGGAGCAAGTCCGTGTTCTCGGTGCCGACCTTCCTCCCCTGACCTACGAAGACCTCGCCAAGCTGCCCCTCAACCAGGCCATCATCAAGGAGACTCTTCGCCTGCACGCCCCCATCCACTCCATTATGCGCGCCGTTACATCTCCCATGCCCGTTCCCGGTACCAAGTTTGTCATTCCCACCAGCCACACCCTCCTCGCCGCTCCTGGTGTCTCTGGCTCCGACCCCGTCTACTTCCCCGAGCCCGAGGAATGGAACCCCCACCGCTGGGACGCCGACTCTCCTATCGCCCCCAGACTTGGACGCCCCGAAGATGGCGAAGATGAGAAGATCGATTACGGTTACGGCTTGGTTAGCAAGGGTGCCGGATCGCCTTACCTCCCCTTCGGCGCCGGTCGTCACCGCTGCATCGGTGAGCACTTTGCCAACCTGCAGCTGCAGACCATTACCGCCATGATTGTCAGAGAATTCAAGTTCCGCAACGCCGACGGTAGCAACAAGATCAACGGCACCGATTACGCCTCCCTCTTCTCACGGCCATTGGAGCCCGCCAACATCTACTGGGAGAAGCGCAACCCCTAGATGATGAGTATTTTTAAAGGAGGGGTTTTTGGGTTGAGGATTGTACATTGCAAGCCATTATGACTATATATCACATGGTAAAGAGGGATAAAAGAGACTTAGACATGACAGCGCTACGGCGCCAGAAGGTGGCAGACTAGACGGTCACCACCGAATAATATTAATACAAAAGACCGTTATGACATCACGACTATCCATTCAACCGTCCATCCCACCAACCAGTGCAGACCATGGATCTTTTTTTTTTCCAGTATAGAAGATTTCGGAGAATAATATGCACTTGGAGCAAGGTAGACCAGCATCGGTAGCTTGCGGGGTCCTGACATGAGAGTGGTGATAACGACACTTGAGTGCGTCGCTGAGTGGTCCGGCTGATCGGCCTGGTTTTGTTTCAAGGTCAGTGCGGCGAACCTGGCAAGGACGTCTCAGACAGCTAGGTATAGCTATCCCCTTCCGCCCTTCCCCCTCGCATCCCTCCCCTCCCCTCACACTCATCCCAAAGCTGGAGCTTGAGCTTGAGCTTTATTCTTTGACACTGTCACTGCCAAACTACCTCGAGCAATCGCCTGACGAACAGCCGCGTATCAAACGTGGATTTTTGAGTTTTGCTCACTGACGTCGCACAGCCAACATCTACTTAACCCACAAACTGCGTTCCGATCTACCCGTCTCATATAAGAACCCGTAGGGAATTTGCGATTACGACAGGATTAGGTGGACTTTGAGCTCTTTGCGACGGAAGCACGTATCACTCGCATTACAACCAGGATCTACAGTCTTGTAAAGCCAGAAGCTAAGACGTACAACAACCCCCCGGACCTTACCGGAATGAACACGGAGGACGAAAACCTGGGACCCCTGGTCCGCCTATGGGGCCTCCGGACGGAGCAGCTCCCGGCGCCGAGCGCCACGACGGCGGACTTGGCGCCGTTCCTCATCGCCGTGCTCCAAGAAGCCGTTCCGTTTATCGACGCCGTGGCGCCCAAGGACGGCACGGCGCGCCCCAATGAGTGGAAGGCCAAGGGCACAAAGACGTTTCCCGAGTCGACGGCGCCCGTGGAGCTGTACGAGCGCATCGTGCCCGCGGCGGAGTTGGAGAAGGAGGCGGCGAGGAACCAGCTGCCCAACAGCAGCTCGGTCGCGAGCGAGACGTGGGCGTGCCGGCGGAGCATCCACAAAGATCGGCCGGGCAAGGGGACGGCGGCGTGGGAGGAGTTTGTCAAGTGTTTCAAGGACGACCACGTCGAGGCCGAGAAGGCGTTTACGCCCAACGTAATGGAGGCGCGGGAGGCGCTCGCGTGGGATTGCAGCGGTATCGTCGTTGACGAGGGCGGGTTGTCGTGGGAGGATTTTAAGGTCGGGGTGTCGGAGATCAAGCACAAGCTCGGGATGCCGCTCAAGAACCGCGTGTTCCCCGTGCTTATCATCTCGGCCAGGGCAAAGGGCGCGGTTGACGAGTTCGTCGTGGTGTCGATACCCGTCTCGGATCTGGCTGCGTCGGAGCACGGGAAGCTCGTCAAGGAGAAGGGTGTCGTTGTCGGCGCATACGTTAGCGTCGAGAGGGTTCGGAAGCTGCCGACGGGGGCGATTGAGTGGATTATGGCTACGGCGTCGGACGCGAAGGGGGTGTTGCCTGCGTGGATTCAGGCAAAGGCCGTCATTGGCGTCGTGGCCAAGGACGTTGCGCTGTTTCTGGGCTGGATTGCTGAGGAGAGGGAGAAGGGGACGAGCGTGGGGAAGTGGACTGCCGTCAAGGGGAATGGTGGAGGAAGCGAAGTTCCGAATCGCAAGCCGTCTATGACTTTGGAGGATGCCGAGTCTTCCATGCAGGGTGGTCGCACTTCGAGGCAGGGTGTATCTTCAAGGAATGGGAAGGAGCCAGTGGCTGGAGGTACGAATGGAGGAGGATCGGGGACAAATGGCCAAGCACACGCATGAGAGGGGGTTTTCCCCCAAGTTTCCAGTACGCGATACCTAAGTTGCAGTCGGGCTTCAAGCTACCTCATACACATGATCTTTAAAAGTCACTGAATGCCTCGAGCTCCTTCTAGATTCAGCTCCCCCAAGGAAGGGCAGGTGCATGAATGACTGGCTTGGGCTCTTTCCCACAACAAACATCTGAGAATGGTAGGAACCTTCTCGCACCTGCCCTGACTTCCTCTGACGCCATGCAAACCCTGGGACCAAGCACCTGACCTGCCATCCCCGACTTCTGTGGGAGCAATCGAAGCCCTCCTTTCTTCTCAACCCCTTTCCACACATCGCCAAACGAGACGTAGGCGGTTCTTCGACCCTCATTCTGTATAACATCAACCGGCTCGACGTTCCTCTCTTCTGTCCTCGTCAACCCACTTCTGTGTGTGATCTCCTATCACGCCATTCCTCTCTGTGCCTTCCTATTCTGTTACATGAACCAGGAGAAGCTACAAACATTACAATGCCGCCGGCAACGTCAAAGAAAAGGTCAGCTACGGCGTCGAACGTCGAACACGCAGCTGCCCCTGCTGGACCATCTGTAAGCAATAGTAGAGTTCTCTAAAGGATGCTATTGGTTCTAATACGTTACGGTAGATCCAGAACAATGGCGCTGCTGCGACTAATACCATCCCCGCAACCCAGATGGCTTTTGGCATGAGCCACATCGTCATCTATCAAGAGCTCATGACCATGCGTCGTACTCTTGACGACAGCTCTCGTCGCCAGGAGAAGAGCGACGAGACCAACATAAACAGCGAGACGAGGCTACAGGAGCTGCAACCCATGTCCAAGCGACTGGATGACCTGGGAGCCGAACTGAACAATCACTATGCAGCAGCAGAGGAAAAGATCCGGAAGCAGGAGGAAGAGCTTAGAGCTTTTGCAGATAGGCTCTTCCAAAGCGATGAGGAGAGGGCGGCTTTGGACCGCAAGGTTGCACAACTCGTCACTAAGCAGTCCTTGCAAGCGACGCAGGAAGACCCGGACAACTGTAAGGATTCGAATTCCAAAACAAAAAACGAAGCTGACATGTATTAGTTCGGGCTGTTGCTAGAAAGATACCTCGAGCTGTCGACAGTGAGGAGCCTATCCCAGCACCACCCAAGCTTCAACAGCAACGGAAGAGAGGTCTTAGAGTAGTCCCCGGACAATCCAAGTATAGAGCCCCCAAGTCCAAACCGGCAAAGCCCAATGCTCCTAAGCGCCTCCCAACGCAATTCGAGATCTTCCAGAGATACAAGCAAGGCAAGATGGATGAGTACTACCGAGCGCCTTGCAGGAGGGGCAACGAGTTGAGGAAATTCATCAATGATTTTATTCAGGGCATTGAAGACGAAGGAATTTCCAAGTCTGTGCAAGATAACCTTATGAAACGGTTTTCTGGCTCAGTTCGGAAACTCAAGACCCGCAAGGGATCCCGATTCATTGCCATAGGAAATGAGCTCCGCTGGGAAGATATTGGCGAGGTTGTGGACGACCCGAAGCTACAGGATGATTTGGAGTGAAATGCAGGCCCGAAGTGCAGATTATTTGATGTTCGGGTGAAGCATACTGATAGAATGGTTGTCAGCCAGTAGAAGGCTAGTAGAAGAGGACGCAATGTTTGATGAGAAAATAGCGATGATGGAACTCGACAGCCAGCGTGGCAACAGAGCTTATATTCAGAGTTACCCTAGGCATATACTGAAAAAGACTTGCTTTCAACCAACTACCTTACGTACTCTGTGACTCCGTACCGTGATGGACCTAAGTATCTGTTCAGACCGCAACGTCTCCAGTAAGGTGATTGAAGTGAATGCGGTTGGTTCCATTGCCTCAAGGAGCAATCGGGTCTGTGCGCCATGCCGCCAGCGTTTATCACGCTAAAGCTTCCACTCACCACACGCGACCTGCAAGGCTGGTCTTGCTCAAAGTTACCTTAGCTAGGTACTTGCCAGGGTGCGGGTACCTTTCTACTGCGTAAGTACCGTGGTCAGCTAGGACCTTCCATAGGTATTACCTACCCATGGATCTCAACTTCCGCTTCTAACTTTGCGCCTCCGGCCTTGAGGCACCTACCTTCGAATCTCTACCCAAGAATTCTATTGCGTACGGATCTGCCAAGAGTTTCTCCAAGTCGACAACTCCGGCGCACTTGATCCAACGAATCCTTGAACATTGTTTCCCGCGTTTTCAATCAGAAAGGGACCCCGTATGCGCTCCACTTAACCTCCCCGCGAAGATCGAGGCGCGCCTGCCTTTCCGATCTACACAAACGAAATCCTTCTCTCAACTCTGAGTCTCTGACTATACCCCCTGGATGCGACAAACAGAAATACCTTACTGCGAACACCCGTAATACTCGCGACGAGCGACCTCCAAAGATGCCAGACATCAGTGCACCGCCGCCGCCACGGCCGAAGCTGAAGCTCAGTGTGAATTCGCGACAGACATCGTTCAGCGAACAGAACGGCGCGACACCTACAGCTTCGACACCTTCTGGCATGAAGATCAAACTCAAATCATCACAACCGCCAACGCCGGCTGGGCCGGCAGCACCAACACCGATCAAGACAAAAGCTGGGCGTCAATCGAAACCCACGAGCAAGCTCATCGAGTCGAAGAAGAGAGAACAAGACGAAGATGACGACGGCGCAAACCAACCGTCTTCGAAAAAGATTAAGCTTCTGAAGACACCGAACGTATCGACACCTAGGTCGGGCCACATCGTTGTCAAGTCGAAAGGCAAACCACCAGTACATCCCCCTGGTGATGGCTATGACTCGGAAGCCAGCGACCAAGAGAAGGACCCCACAATCGAGGAGCAGTTCATTTTGCGCATGATGCCAGGAGAGCATTGCGAATACGTCAGGAAGTGCGTCGAAGAAGGCAAGGTAGGCCTCCCTCGAAAGGATGGTGGCGCGGATATAATGATGAAGTTTTTCGACGACGAAAGCCGGCGTGCGGTCGTTGTCGTCAAAGGCCAAGCATACGCAGCGGTCATGGTTGAGCTACCAACGATTACGGAAGGAATGAAGTCCTGGGACCGGAAGACGCTCATGAAGTCTGCCGACATCTGCCATATGCTTCTCGTCTTCCAGCCCGTAAAGAGTGACGAAGAGGCGAAGAAGGCACCATTACCCGCGATGATTCAACCAGGCTTCAAGTGGCCGCACGGCCTGACGCCACCAATGCACGACGCAACGAATCAGAGATTCGCAAAAATTATTAGTCGCTCTGAGATCGAGTTGAAGGAGAACGAGGTTAAGAAACTTTTGCAGGCCGATGCGGCCGCTATGTCCTCCAAATATGAGTTCATCGACGACAGAAAGATGCAGTCTGGCGACGAGTACTCCGACGACGAACAGGACGCCGATGGCGAGGCCGATGACAGCGGTTACTTCCCCTCTGAGGGTTATGCCAACGGCGAACTATTTGACGACGATGACCACGATTTGGAGGCAGAGCTCGAGGCTGCTTTCGAAGAGGAAATGAACCAGGCCACGACGGAGGTTGGCACACCAGCAACACAAGTTGAGGGAGCTACGCCGATGACTATGAACGCCGGCACACCGGCAGCCAATGCACGTGATGGGGATGAGTCCGTCGCTAGTGAAGAGGACGAAGATGACGACGACGACGACGATGACGATGACGACGACGAGGACAAGCCGCCTCAGGACGAAATCAAGGCCGTCAGAGAAGATATCGTGAATCTCAAGGCAGAGATTGCAAAGAAGGAGCAGGAGAAGGCTCTCCAACAAAACAAGATTCTGCGGAAGCGTGTGGAGGACAGGTTGAAGCAGCTGAGGGCAGAATTGGCGCTCAAGCAAACGTCTATCAACGAAGAAGAGGAGGACGAGGATTAAGGCAGGAGCGCTTTGAGCGCCCAAATAAGATTGCAAACGGAAGGGCAAGAATATCCACTTCAAAGCAATTTTATCTACGGCCATGTATAGTTATCATGCCTACAAGCTTTTAATATTGTAAAGCAGAGCCCGCAGCGCTCTAAGAACATCGTTCTTCTTACTCGTCCAGTTGATGTTTTGGTGATGATATAACAAGCCGGTCATAACGACCGTAGATATTGTACAGGAGCTCCCTTTTTGAGAGCTCTCTATGATACACAATCCCGACCCCTTGCTGCCACACACGTGACAACCATAGTAGATGCAACAAGCCCAAAAACGGTGCCACAACGAGCCCCCGCTTACATGGACTTGAGGTAGTTGGACTCCTTGATCTTGGCCTTGCGGTCCTTGCGCATCGCCTTGCGCAGCTCGTCTCTCTTGGTCGCCGCCTCGAGGTTGTGCTCGACGTCGCCACCCTTCTCTCCGGGCAAGTTGATGGATTGCTGCGGCAGCGGGACCTTTGGCGCGAGGGCCTCGAGGTCGCCTGAGGCCAGGACCTTGGCCTCGAGGGCCTTCTGCTTCTTGGCGGCGGCCTTGCGCTGCTTCTTGGACTTGGCTGTGCGTTTTCTATGTTAGATGTTGTGCTCATCAAGGTTTTTTTTTTGGCCAGGGGAAATTGAGAGGGAAAAGGGAAACGTACAAAACATCTCGGCGGCGAGGTCATCCGTAGACTCTACAGCCTCGCTCTTGGACTCGAGGACCGTCCACAGCCAGTCGGGGTACGCCTCATCGGGGAGAGCGACGGGGTCCGTCTTGTTCTTGAAGTAGTTGAGGCCGTTGAGGACGGTACCGGGCGGGCAGGAGGAGATGGGCGCCGCGGCCTCGGGGACGTCGGCGGTGGACGAGAAGAGCTTCGGGGGTGCATCTTTGGCGTCGGTGGCGGCGGGAGCAGCAGGAGCAGCAGCAGCAGCAGCAGGCGCTTCTGCTGCGTTTCTTGAGGGCGCGGAGAGGGAGAAGGGTCTGACGAGGAGGGACGAGGCGCGAGGGGCCTGGAACCGGGGTATGGCCGAGGCGCCGCGGCGCATGCACGTTCTGCAAATCATGGCTTCTGTGTCTGGGGGGTTGCTGAGCGCGGTTGATTTGCGTCACCGGTGCTGGATATCTCTGTGGGTTGTTCGTCGACGAGGATCACCTTGAACTTTTGGTGGTGTTGCAGGATGCGTGAGCTTGGAGCTCTGGGGTGGAAAAATTCTGGGGCGGGCGGGACGCGCCTGTTGCGCACTTGGCATGGGAGGCTCTGGGTACAACGCTTCACCGGGCCTTCACCCTCACTTACAACCCGTCGTTGAAGTCAATTGATGTACACAAGATGATAATTTGAATTCCCTGATAGCAGCCAGCAGGAATCCTCTCAAAGCTGGCTAAATCGAGAGCCATTTGGTGACCAGAAGCTGGGAAACGGATAGATGCATAACCTCAGAAGCCCTGTTTGATTCATTTGTACATATCGTGAGGGATATCGCCCATCACGCTCCGGCTCGTTGACGTGGTGCCGTCACAGCCTCGTCTCTGCGTTCCTCATTTCTAAATCCTGAGAGAGGCCGCCTTCGAGAGCGCCGCTTCCTGCTTCACAACAGTCCCTTCTACTCCATCCCATCGTACAGCATATCTATTGCTTGCTGATGTAGTTCTGCTGCTCGAACAGTGTGCCCTTAACCTTCTTCTCCTTCAACAATTGCAAGTACTTTTCTGTATAACTGATCAGCATATTTTCTTCACCCGGCCAAGATACATCCGCCGGTGGACTGCAAATCGAGCCCTCCCCGCCGTCTCTCGCAAAGGCCTACTAACCTCTGAGGTGACCGCAGTTCTCCAAGTGGTTCACGCCCTCCTTCTTGTAGCACTTGCCCAATTCCTCGCCAACAAGGCGCAGCATCATAGCGCCGACCCATTGTTCACGGATGATGGCGTCTTGTGCCTGCTTGAATGCCTTGGTGTCGTCGTAGTCGACGCCGTCGAAGGTTGGGGGCACCTTGGGCTTTTGTGCCAGGAACATCGCGGACTCGGGGGTCGGCATTGTGACTGAGTTGTGTATTCAAAAGTCGTCTTCTCGAGGAAGGATTGAAGTTCGAATTGAGCCGGGAGGTCGGAGGTCGCGGACGGAGTGCAGTCAAGCTTCGTGGATTCGTGATGGTCGACTTCGGGACCGTTGGCTGTCGGGATTGGAGGAACCTGGCAGCTAGAGAGGTCAGCCAGATTCCGGCGGCCTTAATTCGCAGGCTCAGTCGCGCCCCCATTGCTCACGGACCACGGCCGTCGTTCCTGCTTTCCCCCAGAGCGACTCGGCTACGGCTTTTCGGTACGTACCCAGATGGACCCGCAAACTTGCAGCCCCTCGCACACCGCCCGCGCAGTCGAGGGAGAAGCCCCGCTGAAAAGTTGGCAAATCGCAAAAAAAAATCTCTGTCGCAAGACCCTTCGCCCCAACCACCGAGACCCTGGCCTTAAAAGTCAAGCTCCCACCCCCAAGCTTCTATCAACTTTTCTCTTGTGCAACCTCTCTGGAAAAAGTCTTTCTCTTGCCTATTTCCAAACATCAATCTCTTGTTTTTGATACCCCCTCCGTTTACCCTTTCAAAATCAGCATAATGGGCAAGACCAAGTCATCCACCAAGGCCACCAAGGCCGCCGACCCTCTCACCAAGGTGAAGGGCGCTGGTGTCACCAAGGCCTCTGAGAGCCCCAAGGCCAAGTCCAAGGCCATCGCCAAGGAGGTTGAGAAGAAGGCTTCCAAGAAGTCCAAGAAGGTCGTTGAGCCCGAGTCTGAGTCTTCCGAGAGCGAGTCTTCCGACTCTTCTGAGTCTGAGGCTGAGGCTTCCAGCGACGACTCTTCCTCCGAGTCTGAGGAGGAGAAGCCCGCCAAGAAGGCTGCCCCCAAGGCTGCTGCCGCCAAGAAGGCCGAGTCTTCTGACTCTTCCGACTCTGACTCCGACTCCGACTCCTCCGAGTCTGAGGCTGAGGCTGCCCCCAAGACCAACGGTGCCGCTAAGAAGGCCGAGTCTGACAGCGAGTCTGACTCCGACTCCGACTCCGAGTCTGAGTCTGAGGAGGAGGAGAAGACCGAGAAGAAGGTTGAGAAGAAGGCTGAGGCCGTGAGTTGAACCATCGTCTTGAGGGCCATGACACTCTCTAACAATTTATTCACAGAGCTCCGACTCCTCCGACTCCGACTCCGACTCTTCTGACTCTGATGAGGAGGAGACCTCCGACTCTAAGGAAGCATCCGAGACTGAGGCCAAGGCTGAGGAGCCCTCCAAGAAGCGCAAGGCTCTCGACGACCCCGTCATCCCCGGCAAGAAGGCCCGCACCGATGTCTCTGACAAGAGCTCCACCCTCTTCGTCGGCTCCCTTGCCTGGGCTGTCGATGACAACTCTCTGTACGCCGCCTTCGAGGAGTTCGCTGATCTCACCGGCGCTCGTGTCGTCACCGACAAGAACACTGGCCGCAGCCGTGGCTTCGGTTACGTCGACTTCTCTACGCCCGAGGCTGCTGCCGCTGCCCTCGAGGGCGCCCAGGGCCGTGAGCTCTCTGGCCGTGCCATGAACATCGACTTCTCTGGCCAGAAGCCCCAGGGTGAGGGTAATCCCGCCGCCCGCGCCTTCGACCGCGCCCAGAAGCACGGCGACCAGGTCTCCCCTGAGAGCGACACCCTCTTCGTCGGCAACCTTCCCTTCGACGTTGACCAGGATAGCGTCCGCGCTTTCTTCGCTGAGGCCGCTGAGGTCACCAGCGTCCGTCTGCCCACTGACCCGTGAGTATCCTCTTCAACATATGTGCCAACTTGATCAACGCTAATGCCTTTGTAGTGAGTCGGGTAACCTTAAGGGATTCGGATACGTCTCCTTCGGCTCCATCGAGGATGCCAAGACTGCCTTCACTCAGCTGAACGGTGGCTACGTTGGTGAGGGCCGCAGCGCTCGCGCTGTCCGTCTGGACTACGCCGGCCAGAAGCCCCAGCGTGAGGGTGGTGGCCGCGGTGGATTCGGCGGCGGCCGTGGTGGTGGCCGTGGACGTGGCGGCTTCGGAGGCCGTGGCGGTGGTGATCGCGGTGGACGTGGTGGCCGTGGCGGCCGTGGTGGTTTCTCCTCCACCAACCGTGGCGGTTTCGGTGACTTCAAGGGCTCCAAGGTCACCTTCTAAACGGTGATGCATGCCGCACATTGATGATTAATCAGAGGGCACTTCGCGGGCATTCCTGTGGGCTACTGTGGGCTGTCGGTTCGACACAAGTTTCTTCCCTTTTTTGGGGATTGTGGGCTTTGAGAGCAGTCTCTTGAGAGACAAGATGGACCTGAGGGCTTTTCATTTGGACCGTGGGCTTGTGGCAAATCTCTCTTCCTACGGAAGAGGACGGCGCGGGATCTGTACGCTATTGTGGGTTGACCAAGAGGGCATTCGTTGCACTGCAACATCTTCACAGTGGGCAGACGGCTTATTATCATGAAACTGGGGAAGATCCTTCCCGATGTCTGCCAGCCTGGCAGACCTCGATGGAGGGGACTCGATGATTCTAGATGACGACGGCTTCTGTGGGCTCTGGGGGTTGCTTTCAACGGCTTCGGCTGTTGATGTGGCTAGTCAGGCGTTTTTCTTCCCTTTCGGTTACTCTTGAACTTGGAACGATACCATGCAATGCGATGCAGGATGTGGAGTAAGTATACTTCTCCCCGTGAATGTCATTTCAAAAAAGGCATATATTGCCAGGTGGACTCGGCGTTTAGGAACGGCTCCAATTGTAATAAAAGTTTTGATACCTTCCTCGATGAATAACATTTATCCTCTTTCATCTATGCATATCTACCTACCTCGTGATGTTTGACGTCGTCTGGGACCTTATCTGAGATCGCCGCCGGGTTGTAAGACGGGAATGTGGTTCCATGTCTCATTGGGGGGCCGAACTGCCCGATTTCGGTCTTATACAACGGTAGCCTCGTGGCCAGCTTAAAATGCGCGATTCTGCGTCATTGGGCGGCACGAGGTGCGTACTCAGCCCCGTGATGACGGGCAAAGCTGTGTCTTTACCCAAAATGTCCCATCCCACTAGAACACCCGTCCTTTGGTCACTCCTGCCTTTCTTAACTAACAAACGTCACGGGAGAACACCTGTTCGCCAGCAGATGGCTGTAAAACCTGCTCAGCCGTTTGACCAAGTTAGGTGCCCCCCCCCCCTTCAGAAACTCCAAGGCGCCAAACGGAGGCTATTCTATTGGGAAAACGGTGGTGCGAAGGGAAGGACAAGGAGCAGGGCAGCAGTCCAGTGCTACCTACGACAGCACGTCAGTGGAATCTGGCATGACTTAGGGGACGATTATAAGACGAGAATCACGGCGTGTCTTGGGATCGTCCTTGTCGCGGGATGCATGTCGCGGCGTCGACAGTCCACTAGCAGCGCCAGATGGCAACCCTCTCCGCATTTCCCATGTTACTGTACAGAGGTAGACCACGCAATAGGCGACCGAAACTTGGAGAGCCGGTGTCGGTATCACGGTGTTAAGTGGTCGAGGGACTCGTGGTGGGCGCAGCTCGCGCTTCCCGCTGCAAAACGCCGTGAATCTTGACCCCACCTGACCCCCTGCAGCGCCTGCACTTGGCGGCCCGGACGATGTGTAAGTGCCAAAGTGGGATGTTCTGAGGCGGGACGTGGACGTGGATGCGTCCACTCAGTACGGAGCACGCAGCAGTGTATGGCTGTCCCTCTCCCCCCCCTGACCGTAACGATAGCGTCATCCATATCAAGGACGTTCCCTTGATCAGAGAAATGTCGTACTGTGCTTATCGCGCTGTTTGCAGCCAGCGAACGCCCGTCTGATAAGCCGGAGGTCATGCCACCTGACACGGTACGGTGGCCGGAACCTCCAAGCGCCGGCTCGAAGGAGCAGGTATCTGTCCCGCGAATGACTGCTGCAGATATACATCCAGTGACATTCCAGATTATCTCCTAGCGTCCGTTATCCCACCTGCCGTATTGCACGCTCAAGGTGGACACAGAGACAGAGAGGCCCCTCCCCTCCTTCCAGGTTCCCCGACCTTTACGTGCTGCACAAAGGCCCAGCCAGCCATCCACCAGCCGGGCCTCAACACCATCTCACCGACCCTGCGTGCTTGGTGAGCCGGCTATAGTCGAAGCGGTCTGCTGCAACCCTTCCATTCTTACCTACACTTTTTTTTTTTTTTTTCCCCTTCTTACTTCAACTCCTTCTCCGTCGTGAACCAGCGCATTTTTCAAACCACTTTCAACGTCGAGCGAACAGACAACTCGGACCCCTTGCAACGGAGATCTCACGAGCGTATCTTATCTCCAAAACGCGGGGTTTGGGACGGAGGAAGTACTCCCCCCCCCCCCACATACGTCCAACCACCTCCCTCGAAAACACGACGACAACGACGTCTGACGATTACGAACGACCTTTCTCTATATCTCTGGCTACTTTTTTTTTGTTTCGAAATTCAACGGCGTCAAAAAAACATAAACCTCAAAATGGATGGACAGCAGCGCGACGATCGCGCAGGACACAACTTCCAGAACAACAGAATGCCGGCGAACGGATCACAGCCCGCCGCGGGCCCTCGCAGACGGAATGACGGTCAGTCACTAGAAGACAGCTACTCGGCTGGCCAGACCGACAGAATGCTGACATCTCTCTTTTTAGACTCGTGGGTAGAGGTCTCGTCACAGCCTTCTTCATCGTCTCTTTCTTCCATCGGCGACGAGATCGTCACCACCGGTCTCCGAGTCGGTGGGTCCATGGCCGCCCGCCGACGTCGCTTACATCACCAAAACCAACCTGGGCCACGATCTTTTCATGTCGACCAGACGGCTATTCACGCGGGTACAAGTAGCCAGGAGGAGTACGAGGAGAGTGAAAGCGAGGAGGACCGATGTCTGACGAGCTCGACCGAGAACGTTCGGCCTCCGGTGCGAGCGTCGTTCCAACAGCAACCATCGGCGCAGGAGGATTCAGAGGACTCTGACGATAGCGACGAGATTGCTACAGCCCTGGGTCGTGTTTCCGATGATCCTGTCTTTAGACCTCAGCCAAACGCGTTCTCTCATCCGCCCTCGGGCTTGGATAGGAGGCACTCGGCCAGCTCGGCGATCCACCAGCATCCGCACAGCGGTGTAAGGCCCGCACTATCCCAACGATCTCAAACTAGAGTCAGCCGGGGCCCGCCAAACTTCATGTCCCCCGCATATCAAGCCGATAATGACGCAGCTCTCCGTGCTTCCCTCACGACTCTGCTGTCGTGCGCCGCTGCCGCCCGTGGTCTGCCTAAGTATAAGGATACTGCCGAGCGGCAAGGCGCTCCGCCCGCGCATGCCGGAGTCGGACCTAGTTCTCAACCTGTTGAGTTACGGCTGATGCCCGAATCTGAGCTCATGGCTGAAAGACCTACCCAACCTCAGACCGCCTCACCTGCCAAGTCTCCCGCTGCCCGTCCGTCACGGACGGCGGCGTCTTCTGCCCCTTCATCACCCAAGAGCGACGGTGTCGATAAGCACAAGCGAACCTCTTCCTCACAGACACGCTCGTCCCGTGCGACAAAGAAGAAGAAGGTCGCGGCCAGCGAGGATGCCCTCATCAGCCCGACGTTGCTGACATGGGTTGTGAGTGCTGGCGTTGTGGTGTTGGTGTCTGTGGTAGGATTTGGCGCGGGCTACGTGATCGGCCGTGAAGTAGGACGCCAGGAAGCTCTTTCAGCAGGAGTAGGCGTCAACGCCTCGGCAGTCGCAGACTCATCTTCGTGCGGACGAGAAGTTATTCGATCGTCCGGCGGCGGTCTTCGTCGCCTGAGGTGGGGTGCGGGGGTTGGTCGAAGCGTTGTCGCCTGAGATTTTTGAATCGGCGTCGATCGTCGAACATGTCGTCTGAATCATGAAGTGTCGGATGCTATTTACGTACAGGCGGATCCGGGGTACTGGATCTTTTTGGGCTTCCGGACCTTTTCCTTCATACACCTCTTGTCGGCTTTCTTCTCTTTTCGTCACGAACGGGTATGAGCGCGGACATTGACGACTATAGACGACTGCAAGTTTTTCTCATCTTTTCATGGATACCTCTTCTTCCTAAACGGGGGAAAGAAACGCGGAATATGCCTCGCAAACGAAAACGGGGGTTCAAACCGGGGTGGCTTGTGTGGTGCGGGGACATTATCAATCTTCTTTCTCTGAGTCTCTCGTTCTTGAATCTTCATCTGAAATGATCAACGATCTATGATCTGGGGTGTAGGAGTGGAAGTGGAGGAGACCAGCCAAGGATCTAGGCCGGCATGGCGTGAAGGCTTTTTTCTCTTGTTTAGGTCCAGTTCAGGGGGGGTTATCGCGTACAAGTTCCTTTTTTTGATTTGCTCGAAGCATCAGGGCGGGGAGTTGTTCAAAGGTGTGAGGTTATCGATCGTAACCTCGACGCGGGGCTATCGACCCCATGGGCTAAAGTGATTTTTTCTTCGTTTTTCTGCAAGCAATCGGCCGGCGGACGTATTTGAAACCCTCAATTGCGGGACAGCAACGGGGTGTTTTTTTCTCTCCTCTCCGAAACACACGCCCTACAGGAGGTAGCTTTAATCAATCAACGGGGCACGGTTCACATGAAGATTCCTTCGTCTCCCGGGGACGCCGCTCTACGTATGATGTGCATGTGATTAGATGTAGTCTTGACTGGGCAGTAAGATTTCCCCCGGACCCCGAGGAGTTCGTATGATGCCTGTTTTGGGACGTTTTTGAAGCCTTAGCCTTGTTCGTAACTTGACCCCTGTGGGAGGGGTGTCTTTTGGGGATTCTTCTGAGGTTTCTACGGATAGTCTTTCTCTTATCTCTTCTTTTCAACGTCAAGTTCTTTTTTTGGAGGTTCGCGCCGAAGCAAGTTTCGGTTACAGATGCTGAGACTTGGCTCAACCGGTCAACTTTACGCGGGCCCGGGCGAGAGAGAGAGAGAGTCTCGTCTCAACTTTTTTAGTCTCTTGTCGCGAGTTTGTCAAAAAAGTTCAAGGGCAGAACGAAAGATCTGATTACCAATTGCGTCGACGAGGCTGTGTTGCGTTTTGTGTCACTAGGTGAACTCCTTCGTCTGATCGTTGAAGACGCGATGGGGTCTTCTACTACTGCCTGAGTCGGAAAGTTGAACCGAGTTGCTTCGATTCACGTGCCCCGTTGGTGAAGCATGCCAGGTTCAACTGGACAACATGAGGGGTCATCATTATCAATCTGTGAAAAGTAGGATCGTGATCGTGATCGTGCTGGGTTGAATGTTCTTCCCATCGGGCCTATACGGAGGTGACTAGCATTCAGGGATTGAGGTGGACGAGGGCCGCCTCGAAGACGGACGGACGTGACTAATACGCAACGACGGATCCACTTCAATACTTGTGTCACCCATTTGGTTCAAGATGGAGCGGTTGATAATCAATATACCAGCAACGATCAGGTTTAGAATCTAGCCGGATCTTGTAAGGAATCTGATTTCTACCAATGTCTAACACCAAAGACTGAGCGTCTCGCTAGCGTGATGGCTCTCTTGAATGACGTGATCCTTTGCTCTTCTTCCCTCTCCATATCGCTGCGAAGGCTTGCTTGCATGCCAAGCCCGTCTGCCCCTCAAAGTCCCTGACGGCCCTGTAAGAGAATCTGTAGAAACCCCCCGTTCCGTCCGAAGAAGAGGACGTTGAGTACAAGCATTCGACAAGCAACCATGGTTCTTGGTACCAAGAATACCAAGAAAACCAAGAGATTTCCCAAGACGAGTACGTCCGAGAGATCTAGATTCGTCTCAGTCGATCTTTTCGCCAAGGTAACGGGGCCAAGAAATGCCGATACGACGACGCCTTCAGGATGTGTTGCGAATGCTTGTCCCGTTGTATAAGATTTTGCGGAGTCCGAATCCTCCAGAATATCCTCAATTTGGCGACTAACAATAGCCCACCGGCCAAAGGCGTCGAAATTGAACCGTCTCCGTCTTCTGCGAGAAATCTCAGCCGGATGACTTCCATGCATCAACAAGGGACGCGTTTCCACCAAGAACCATAGCAGTGCAGATCGTTTGATTCATGTAGATTGCCCGAGGCTGTCCGCCATTCTAGACCCAAACTTTGATTGAGCCTGACGCTAATTAGGCTGCGGAATAATCCGTATCTAGTCCGACCCCCTTATAGGGCGCTGAGATCAAGAGGAACACTGCTACCTCTGCCGGCTCTGTATCGTCGGGGACCGCCTACAAAGTCCCTTGGCTTTGGCAACATGGCATCATCCTGGAACTTCCATCGAGGATCCTGCACGATGTATCGTTGACCCCCACCACCGACATTGAGACTGCTCATCGTGTTCGTTCGAGTAGGGCTTGGACTCTTGGCACCATTGGGAGCAAGAGTGAAGGCGCTTGGATCTAGCATAGAAGATCGTAGACCAGAACCAGCACGGGCCCTCGTAGGGGGTGCTGCTGGTGGAGGAGGTGCAGAGGCGGGGGGCGAGGGAGCCGCCGATGGGGGAGGCGGTGGAGCAGCACTTGGAGATGCCTGTCCGGCTGCTCGTAAAGCGGCTTGCATTGCCAGCGGCGAAGGTCCGTTTGAGGCCGGTGGAGGAGGTGGAGGTGCTGGGGACCTCGACGGAGGCGATGGCGCTGGAGCTCTGGGAGCAGCAGCAGCAGGGGGCGGTGGCGGCGCCGAGGGGGGTGCGGACGGAAGTGCTGGAGCAGACGATGGAGGTGGTGGAGGGGGTGCTCCTGGAGCTGGCGATCCAGGTAATGGAGGTGGGTGGCTGGGCGTAGTCGAGGGCTTCCGGGATGCTGGCAGTGGCGGCGGCTTCTTGCCTATAGGAGGCGGAGGCCCTTTCATCGATGCTGAAGAGCCTGGCCGAGGTAGATCGCTGGGCGTCTTGCGCAAGTTGGCAATGGATGGTGGCAGGGCCGGTGCGGCGTTGGGAGGGGGTAAAGGCGGCCTTCCCGGCGGGGCCGGCGCCGCACCGCCAGGAGGTTTTGGTGCTCCGAATGTGGGTGGCTTCGGCGCAGAGGACGACCGCACATTGCTCTCGGGATCCGACAGATATGACGAGTCCATAGAAGCACCGGTATCAACGGCGCCGCGAGTCTTCCGCAGCTTCGGCATACCTCCCGCAAAGAGACCCCCTAATTGCGGTGCTGCCTGTGAGGGCGGTGCAGGCGCGCTTTCTCGCCCGCTCTGGTCGCTATTGCTTCTAGCTCGATTTCCGGGCACCGGAGGAGCGAGGCCACCGGGAGGTTTAGGGGCACCACCAAAGCCTGGGACCGGAGGCGCACCTCCTAGAGGCGGTCCTCCGGAGGAAACGCCACCAGACGAACCCCCAACTACCGGCGCAGATCTATCGTTCGTAACGGCTTTCTTGAGAGCCTTGCCTTTCGTGATGTCGGAGAGTAGAGCGCCCTGTGACCCGTATCAGTATGATGCTGTGACAGAGCTTCCAAGTCCAGTTGTGAGCTTCAAAAACGTACTCTGCCTCCTGGTGGTGGTCTCGAAGGTAGATTGCCAGCTCCAGGAGGGCCTCCTGGCGGCGGGGGAGGCGGAGGAGGGCCACCCATCGCAGGCATCGGTGGCGGCGGAGGAGGTGGAGGGGGCATGATGAAGTTTGTTTCTGTGTCCTTTACGTGTTTGCGCTTTCAATATCGAGTAACTGATGGTTGTTGTGGTTGACTTTCGTCGATGGAGAGGTGGTTGATGGTGGTTAGGTCGTCGGCCGGAATTGGACGGAGGCTCATGCAAGCCAAGCTTGATAGGTTGGGTTCAATGGCGAGAAAGAGCGAGAGATGTCGTTCAGATACAGTAAAATGGAGCGACAGGGTGCTGTTTCAATAGCAGGAAGAGATTGAGGCTCTCGAGGGGTTCGATCAGCGTGTCCTCAAGGGTCGATGGGATGATGGTACTCTGGGGTCGCTTTTCAGCCGCGTGGTGTTTCGTCATCTTCGGGCAGTATCTTGGTCGTTCGCTCAAAGGCGCTGCGCTGTTAGGCGCTGGCAGTGCAACCGTTGCAGTTCGAGTGGGCTGAGGCGTCTGCCTGCCTGGTCCCAGGTACTTCCAACTGGCGGGCAGATGTCACGGCGGCCTAAGTATCTTCTGGCCCATCAGCCTCAAATGTCTCTCCACGTACCTGTGGCTGGGAAGTACGTAAGCTTGCGATGTGGCGCATGGGAAGAATAGTGATCCTGGGTATGAGCACTCTCGCAAGCCAAGACAACTTGCGGAACAAACCGGAATAGGCCCAAGAGACCAACTCATTGCTAAACATGTTAATTGTATCTAATGCAGAGCTACAATAAAGATCTACAGCTTTAACGTCTTGGAAGAAGTGGTGTTGAGAAACACGCAGCAGACGGTGTGAGTAAAGTGGCAGTGTAACAGTTCGCGCCAAAGAGGTGCGCTTAGGCTCTCAGAACGTTCGGCATGCAACGCCAGCAGACGGCTGTGGCTGCTGCCGGCCACGTTTCTTCAGTGCACCTTCAAGTATTGGCTGGGCGCTGTACTCTCCTGTACTTGCCCCAAAACGACCCCGCCTAGGAGGGGCAACTGCTAATCTCATTGGCGCGGCGCGCTGTCCCGAGCTGCGAGAGCCTCCCTGCCGCGTGAATGATCGCCTGTAAGGCTAGGGGGGCAGGTGCGGGTAATTAGACGACGTGCTATTGGGGGGTATGGGGCTCAAGGTGGAAATTTTGCATGAGCTCCCAGCTTTCCCCGGAACCTCCGTCGCGTCCAGAGCTCCGAGAGTCCTTTCCCGTCCACCAATTTTGCTTCATCCCCCCGTCCCACGGTACCAGCGCCTCACATCACCCGGGATTCTTTGTCGGCCTTCTCTCCTCAAGCAGTACCAAGCCCCAAGACGGCCTCTCCCGGCTGCTTGTCCCCCACGGTTTCTGCCTCACCCGCCCGACGGCCCCCTTTTGCTTGATTCTCTTGGCTTGCCTCGCTACGAAACGGATTGCCTATCCCAACTGCTTCGCTGTTCACCCTACTGCTGCAGCCCAGAGAGGCCGGTCTACGACTTCACGCCCGCTCGCTCGTTGTTTGCTTCAGGTCGTCCAATCCTCACTCACCGAAGACGCGTACGCTCGTCATCCTCCTCCTACTCGACCCGACCTCGCGCACTATCCTCTCCGCTACGAAGATGATGCGGACCGCCTTCATCCGGCCAGCGGCTCGCCAGCCTCGCTTCGTTTGTCAATCATGCGTGGGCTTATCACGCGCCGGCCAACAGACTCGACTCCAACATACCGCCAAGCCAAACGTCCCTTCGATCGTCCCTCTTCGATCTGCCAAGCTCTACGAGAATACCACATTGAGACGGAGTTTTGAGAAAAGTCGCCTGGCGAGCACGGTATCTGCTTCGGCTTTGCAAAAGAATGGTCACGAGAGGCCCGCAACGGCCAGTCCGTCGTCCAAGGAACTCCCTGATCTGAGCAAGCTGGCGGCCGTGGTTCAGCAGAGCAGAAAGCACTTCCTCTCTACAGACGGAATTCCCACTACACAGCTCGTCACTGCAGTCTTGAAAACGTGCCAAGGCGCCGCAAATGCGATTCAACCCTATCTATCCAGGTCGGAGAATCGTCCGGCCTCGACACTCACAGCATCGACCGCTTCCAATCTGTTATCCTTGGACTCGAACTTGACTGCAGCTAAATCTGGTAGCACGTCGATCCCGTCAGTTTCTGTCAAGGATACAGTCGACACAATCTCCGAGTCAGCATACGAAATTATCGCCCACCCCACCGTTTCCATTGGTCCCCAGGTCTTGGACTTATACGTAAACATCCAAGCTAGGCTTGGCAGGCCCGAGACACTTCCCCATGTTTTCGAATTGTATGCGTCAAAGCCCAAACCAAAGGCGGTCGAGGGTGCAATCTCCTATGTTCAGCAGAACCCAAATAGGGCAGACAAGGCAATCGAAGCAAGTGTGGCCGAAACAGCTCTGGGGGCCGCCATCGACGCCAAGAATTTGGACGCTGCGATTGGCATCGTTGAGGCCTGCTACGCAACACAAGCATTCTACCGCCAAAAGCTTCTGCGGAAGGCGCTTCTGCCCGTCTCGGCCGTGGCAGCGGCCCCCTTTGGAGTCTACACTCTTGCCTCCAATCTCTCGGCATTCCAGAACACAATGGAGCCCGTGACAGCCACAAAGTTCGCCTTCGCCGCCATCCTGGCTTATTTGGGGTTCACAGCGACAATTGGCATGGTTGCCAAAACCACTGTCAATGATCATATGCGACGAGTCACTTGGGCGCCCGGTATCCCGTTGCATCAACGCTGGTTACGTGAAGAAGAGAGGGCGGGCATGGATGACATCGCATGCGCCTGGGGTTACAGAGAGAAATGGCGACACGGTGAGGAGGGCGGTATTGAGTGGGACTCGCTAAAGGAGTATCTTGGTCTGAAGGGAATGATGCTCGACAGAGTTGAGCTGATGGAGGGTATGAGTTGAGGAACCACATGTTCGAGTTGAGGGCTCGTTGATGAGACGTGCGGGCACGCGGGGTGGCCTCCCACTGACGGCGTCGGAGCGGGCATTGGACGGGGTAATGGGGGAAAAGAAGTGGATTGTTGGACAAGGGAAGCTCGTCGTTGGAGCTTAGGGAACCATGGAATATCTGTGCAACAGAGTTGCAAAGTCTGGACGTCGTTGCTAAGCCCCCCCTAGTCCGGAGAATAATGCGGCGGCCGACCAATCCAAATGCACATGCGCCGTCACCAAGGGCCCGCCTACAGATCGGCAATCTACGTCCTATCCCGCGCATCTTGCCAAGAGACTGCCCAGACATCGCCCAGACAGCATCGCCATCCACATGCGGATCACCACCAGCCATGTCGACGACGCTGTCACTATCGTCTTGTTTCAAGCACTATTCCTGGCCTCCCTCCTCTCTCGACTCAGCATCGGTGCATCATTGGTGACAAGATGAGTTTGAACTTGGCCTTGGATCCACATATTAGTCTAAGGGCCGAGTGGAGCGAACGGCCTCTAGGTGACTGCAGAACTGCAGTAGTCCCCTGGGCAGTGACGAGCCATTCTGCCATCTCAATCTGAGCTAATCTCACATTTCTGCTTGACAAGCCATAGGAGCTTTGGTCTATACCTCCACCGTACAGATTATCTCAGTATACACCCCTCGCCTCATAGTCCGCACACTGCACGAACACACCGGGGTGCCCCTCGGCAGACTTAGCACCACGGCAACCCCTGCCCGCCATCAGAGCCTGACTGAAAGCGCCTCCCTGTTCGCACACGCAAGCCTGGACAAGTCCGCACCGATTCATCATAACCCTGCAGATCGGTGACTTTACAAAACGAGCCTCTTTACCTATAAAGAAGCAGAGCCTCTTGCATCACCATCTGTCAAGTGCCAATATCATTAACGCTCTGTCATCCGGAGCACCAGACGATTTTCAAAAGAAGACGTGAAAGCATCTTCTACAACTCAACGACCAGATCAACACGCACACACAACAGTCACGATGTCAGCCAACGAGGAAGACTTTACACCTTTTGACCCGGTGCGGTGTGAGCACTATGCCAGATTCGCATCTCACTTGGATAGATGGCAGTTCGATGTCATGTACTGGCTTTTGTTCGTTTTCAATCTGTTCATCCTATTCCTGGCAGCATGGAATTACACACGGTGAGTTCCCCCGCAAAAAACCGTTGCGTCTCACGGTCATCTTTCCTCAAACAGCCTCACTGACCAACTGTTCAGGACATTGGACGCAGTGAGCGAACTCCCCGAGACGGACGCAAAAAGGAAAAAAGCCATCAAGAATTGCATCTGGTTCAACCTGGGATGCGTTTGCGTCTCATTAGCGACGGTCATTATGGAGGTCTTCACCTTGATGGCATTGCAGTTCTGCGACGGCGAGGACCTCATGTCGCTGTATTGGTCAACTTTCACCATGATTCAGGTCGGATCTCTCATTGCAGTATGCGGAGTCATTCTGGCCCTTGTCCACCAGCTGAGACAACGCAAGAACCCGTGTGTAGCCTCCCTGCCATACTTGCAAGCCTCATGTTTTTGCTAACGTATCATTAAAGTCCATGGGCTCTTGCTCTCGGCACACCCGTCTTGGTCATCGCGGGTTTGTTCCACTACTTCCACACATGCATGGTCCGAAGAGTCAAGAAGGCGTCAGCGAGAAAGAGGAAGATGAGCGACGCCGGAACGCTGCCCATGAGCCAAGTGTACGTGCACCTTTCCACCCCGGGAAATTGGTTGCTACCCAACCTCCCCCCGCCAAGATGAAAACATGTGCGCTAACACGAGATACAGGAACACTATTCAAGCCGAGTCTTCTGATGAGGATGATGGCATTCAAGGGGCTGAGATTATCGGGCTCACGATGGACGGCGGCCCAATCATCCACTTCAAGGACGCCGTGCCTTACAACTTGCCGAACAACAGCGAAATCATCGGGCGCTGCTCCAACGACAAGCCCATTGTTATCTGCCGCCGCGATGGCTTCCAGCTGATTTACAATGGCACGGACGAGAGAGCGCCTTCTCCCAACCCGGCAACTAAGAGCACGGGTTGAGGGCGAGGGGCGCCGGTTCCGTTGCATCCCGCAGCGGGCAGGCTCCACCCTTGCATTGGTGCGGCGAAGTCAAAAACAAAAGTCTAGATCCCGTCAGATCAGCCGCCTACGGCTACACCCCACGTCATAACACCAGGCACAAACGAGCAGCGTCCCTGCAGAACGGGTTGCCATTACCACTCTCACACCACACTTTTCCGCTTACACTACGGATACGCATATCTGGACAACTATGACCAACGACGCCCGTTACCGCCTACAACCACGGCACAGCCCTTCTGAAGCCTTATTCTCCACTGGCCTGCGTCCTATCCATTTTGGCTTTATCCCTTTTCGGCCTCTTATCAGGGAGATCCCTGCCATATAGGGAGCGGCACGGCGGCTGGTCCAGAGCTACGACTGTAGAGTCTATTGCTAGCTCCGGCGGGCACATTGGCACACGTCCTCTCTTCCCGCGCTAGAGAGCAAAGCCACTGTCACCTGACTACCGGGCGGGCGCCGACTTCACCGTCTTGGCCGTATTACCACGACGGACCAGTTCGTGGCAATAGCCAAGCGGAGCACGAAGCCGATCCTGACGCGGCAGTGGAAGGGCGTTTCCATCAACGGACGCCGGTCCAGCGGGGGTGACGGAGTCCGCTTCGTTGAGGGCTCCATTTTTTCTCTTTACCAAGCATGCGTTCTGCGATTTCCAACAATTCCCACCTTCATGTGGCGGCGGCGGCACTCGATCTGCCCTCCCTGCCTCTTTTTCCTCTTTTTTTCTCACAGATTCCCAATCTACATGTTTTCATGCCTGTGATATCCACATCACCGGCTTGGCGTTTTGGGTGATGCAGTTTATGGGGGGGTGGTTGACTCGACACTAGATACGGACGGTGTGTGCTGCGCGCACCACTATCCGTGCTTCGTGTGCCTGCGTCCATCATCCCTGGCAAGTTTGGCTGTATGGGCAGCTGGGCTCGGAGTTGGAAAAGGTTTATCAATCTGTTTTTCTTTACAATTGCATCAGGCCGCAACAAGCCAAGACTTTTTTTTATTTCTCCATTTTTTTTCAGTCATTGAAAATTCCCCACCCCCTGGCTTTCCTTTCGTTCTGACTGATTATCTGATATGTCAGTCGTGCCAGGGGTGTTGTCACTAGCGTCGGTATTAGTTTGCGGGTAGAGCTGCATCGGGACTCCGGGAACTGCCTTGGTGTGTGTTGTTCTCTCACATGCACACACACACGCACTTGTGGTTTGCCGGAGGGGGTTACTCACGTCCCCTATTATCTTGGCTTTCGGGTTTGCTTTCACAAGAAAAAAGCTGTTGAGGAAACTCTCCGTAAGGGGCGGTTGAAGCTAGCTAGCTTGGCCTTGGCTAGAGTACTAGGTAGATTGAGGAAATCAGATAAGCCAATTGAGCATTACACAAATTGTCAAATCCCACACACGGACAACTATCCGTACTCCGTACACTACAAGCGTGACAAGGCAAGCATTGGCACCAGCCACTAAGTAGTAAGGTACACACCGTCCACCGGCACTTGGAGGACCCGTCATGATGATCGCCAACTTTATCTTCCAGACTAAGTAAAGTGATGTCTCTGGTGATTGTTGGTGAACCAACCCCCAAATGCCCGCGCGCAACCAGAGTCGTTAGCAGCGTTTCCGACTGCTTGGCAAGACAGCATTTCGCGGCACATTTCTAGTCTTCTAGCCTCTAGACAATTACAACGAAGGCGGCAGTGCAACAATAGCTAGACAACATGGGACCCTTTTTTTCTCGAAGAAGGAAGGAAGAAGGAAAGGAAAATCTGACCGCCAAAAGACGCAATGGACAGCGGTTCGAATGCCAAGACATGTTCACGGCCTGCTAACAGGACATCGAGATATGGTCCACGGATCATCACCTTCCGTCATCTCAACAAAAAAAAATATGGACAATCTTTGACTGGTGGTGAACTTAACGCCGCAGGCGGCCATGTTCGCAAGAGCACAGAGGAAAGCGCACGGGGGTTTCTAGGCCGAGTATTCTTAGAACACAAAACTTGAAGCGCAAGTCTACCATGGTAATCAGGCAGGAAAAAAGGTCCAAGGTGACACACGGTGAGAACGTTTCTGATTTTTTTTTCTGTATTCTGTGTCCGTATTTGGGGTTGGACGGACGGACAGAACAGTCAGTGTGCTTGTGCTCGTGCTCTCAGGGGGGGTGTGGTTGGTTGGGAGTTGGAGGCCGCCTTTCTTGCGAGGCTGATCAATCTTTCTCTCTCTCTTTCCTCTATCCGATCTTTTCGAAGGAGAAGCTCGCTACTCATTTCACCACTTCACCCGGATCTTCACCGAGTCAACAGACGAGGGGGGCCGCGTATCACGTTTTGTCTGCCAAGAGCCTTGGTCACATGCCGTGGCACATACCAGATCACGGCTCGAGTCGATCCCCTCCCTCAACGCCCAAGGCCTTGTCCTCCTCCGGGCCTCTCAGAGCGTGGCCTTTGAGCACGCCGCACGGTAATGGGGCTGGCTAGGCAGATGGCAGATAGATAGCACACATTCCAGAAGAGTCAGAGGCGTCATCAAGAAAAGAAGAGCCAAAGGAACTCTGAAGTTACGAGTGGTAGGGGGGTCAGGGCCAAGGAGCATGTCTTGAACTTTTTCTTCTTGTTTTACGGTTTTTCTTGGATTACAGTAGCTACCGCATCCTTGGGTGGGACATGAATGTCTCACTTACCCATCTAGAGGTATCTGGTGTATCTTTCTTTCTCTTTTTTTCTTTCCCCCTCTGTGCGTCTAGAGGTCGCCCGTGTCTCACACACGTGTTTCCTCATTCGCTTCTCTCTCGCGTCATCTCATCATCTCTTTTGGCTGACGTTTCTCCTGGGGTTTGTAACCATCTAACTCCGATAGCCCGCATGAATGCTCTCCCGGGGAACGCGAGTGCGCGAGTGTAAGTCCGTACATGTTGTGGTGTCTTGGACTATTGCAAGCGCCCCGCCTTGCCGATTTGTAATATCTCACCAGTGAGACGGTCATCACTGCGCAGGACAGGCCACGACTCACCGCCGGCCTTGGCAAGGTTCACCTCAAGTTTCGTGCCAAGCACCTTGAAGGTGGACTTTTCCGTATCGATTGGCGCAAACAGAGGTACCTCGGTGGTGTAGCGCTTGGGCGGCGAGTCTGAGGTGGGCAGGTCAAGGGCGATGGATTGCGACTTGAACTCGATCTTGGCCGAATCCTTGACGATCTTCTTGAGGAAGAAGGAGGCGATGACAGTAGAAGGGGTCTGGTAGAAGTCGGTGCGGACTGTGTCGAGCTTCTCCTCGCCGCCAGCTGCCGCAGCGTTCTTCTTCTTGCCGCTTCCGATGAACAGGTGACGGCCCTTGGTCTTGCAACCTTCGATCTTCATAAACTGGTCAAACTCGAGAACACGGCGCTTGCAGCAGCTGTAGCCCTTAGAACCCTCGTGGAAGATGGGGACACCGGGGTGGTGGACGCAGGATTCGCCATCGCGCGATGAGGCCTTGCGGTAGGTGGCCGAACAGGCTTTACGACGGCAGGTGGTCCCGTCGGGAATCTCGAGGGAAGCGTCGTCGGACTCGGACTCCGGGGGTGGAGGCGGAGGGGAGGGAGCGGCTGTGGCTTGGGAGAGGGGCTTGCGTGCCGGTTCCGCTGCCGATGCGAGCTTATCGAGGAGAGAGGGCGCGTCCGCGGGGTCCGCTTGGGGCTTCTGCTCGATCTTTGGGGGGAGGTCGGTTGTGGAGTGCTTGCCGGTTGTGCAGGGGGGGATGGCCATAAACTCCTCAAAGGTGAGGACACGGGGTTTGCAGCACTTCCAGCCTATTTGGTAGCGGTGAATGAGGTTAGCCGCGGTGTCTCGTGTGAAATGTTCCCAATGCGATTGATTGCGGTTGAACGGGGCTCATGGCAAGGGGATGGGAGAGGTGCAATTGGACGAAAGAAGGGGAATCCCATGACATCCGCACGGGACAAGAACGGGAAGGACGCGTTCTCCATGGAGCATGGCGTAGCACTTGTGTAGAGTTTGTATGGTGATTGGGGGGCTAGGAGTGAGTACCTTTCTGGCCTTCATGGAAGACGGGAGGACCGGGGTGGTAGACACATGGCTCCTCAGCATCAGAGTAGAGCTTGCCGCAGCCCTGGTGGACGCACTTTTCTGCCATGATGGGCTGGCGGGATGAGCTTATGCTGCTTGGCTTTCGCTACCGTTTTCGCGTGCTAAGGTGAGATGCAATCGAAGTTTCCTGGACACACAGTGATGCTCCAAGGAATTGGAGTGGGAGGAAGGGAAAAAAAACTGCTAAGGATGAGCAAGATTCAAGATTGACGACGGATGACGTTTGAGAATTGGTGTGGATGAAAGAGGCGGCGGGTCTGGCAGGATGTAAATTGTCGAAAGGAGCCCCCGTAAGTGGAAGTGATGAGTGAGGGGTGGTTGTCGTCGATGGAGGGGTTGCTATGTTCTCCAGGATTCCAGAATTTCCCAGGGGTCGTCGTCACTGCGATTTAGCGGCTCAAAATTATGCATGTTGGGCACAAGCTCCGCCAAATCCTCCTGCTGATTCGCCGGAGATGGATAACGAAGGGTGGGGTGCGGCTGCTTCAGAGTACTGACCGCCTTCCTGAAGAAGACGTCCGTAATGTGACCACATTCGGCAAGAATTGACCAAAGACAATGACAGGTTACACCCGGCCTTGTCCTTGCAGGTTCAGAGTTGCAACTCGGCCGGGGTGGAAGTTCAGTCGGAAACTTCAAACTTACGACCCAAAAAAGACCAGACATCTTCAGCCCACACTTTTGCCTTTTTTGGCCCATTTCATCATCATCACAAGACGGACTGGGACGAGCAACAATTTGGCTTTTCTCGTGGCGGATCCAACCATTCAATCAATCGGACTATTTCGAAACGATAATCAACGGGCGTTTCTCTCCACACCTTCGCAACTGGCAGACATTGGCAGGTCACATCACCTCATCTCACTTTGAATCTCACAGACATATATCAAATACAACCACAGACAGTGTACGCCCCTCCAACTCAACTCCAACACCAACCTACCCTGATCCCTGGCACCAGTCATCATATTTGACATTCCCATCCTTTCTCTCCTCCACTCGTCTTCCTTCCCAGCTGACCGAGAACGAAGCTGTTTCACAGGCTTCGGGCCTCCTTCTTTCCCCAGTTCAAGTGTATGCTGTGTCCACACACTACGGTGGGATAAACGTCAGATTTCGAGTTAATCGCGAGACGTCCACAGCAGACTTGCAATTTGATCTGCAGCAATCGTCAACATGTTTGCACCAACACGACGGTTATTTCAAAAGGTCCAACCATGTCGGATCACCCTCTTCTCCCGCGATGAGTGCGGCTTGTGCGTGCGGGCCAAATCGGCACTCTCCAACGTTTGGGATCGCCGGCCTTTTGCTTACACGGAGGTCGTCATCACGAAGCCAGAGAACAAGAAGTGGAGGGACCTTTACGATTTCGACGTGCCCGTGGTAAGTTCATCCTTCTTCCCTTGCCGCGTGGGATGAAAAGGAGACCATCCGATGACGCACATCCACCTTCGCAAAAGTTTCCTGCAAAAGTGAGTCTTTAAACCTTTCTAATCCGTTGACGTGCGCCCCTTTACCCCAGATCCACATTAGCAAAGCCGAGGCCCCTGAGGAGGATGTCAAACTCGTGGGCAAAGCTGTCAAGCTCATGCATCGATTCGACCCAGATCAGATCGAAGCCAAGATGGATCAAGTAGAGGGAGGAAAGTAAACTCTGTGAAGATTGTCTTTTTTACTCATTCAGAGCGGCCGCAGCGTTGCTTGGCTCATAGGAGGTAGCCAACGGGAGAGCCAAGAGTTCGACCAACCAAGCAGCACAGCCTACTCCTCTACCATATTCGATACCCTTCTACACTCGAGAATCTTTAGGCATCTCCTACGGCGTCGCTCAGTACGATCCACCCTTGGCCGGCTTCGCCCCTCCCCTGGCTATGCTCAATGACTCCGATACTGTGTACTGCAATGCCGTGTAGTCCGTCGCCACGCTAATCATGTCGAACCCCTTATCTGCGAAGAAGTTGGACTGTTCGCCGCTCGTGCAGAAGATGCCGGCCTTCTTACCCGCCTTGTGCGTCGCCTCGAGGATGCGCTCAATAGCATCGCTCAGCTCCTTTTCGATGACGCCGTTAATCACCGGATGGCCAATGTTGTTTCCTATGATGCCGGTCAGCCAGAATCGTTCAAAGCCAAGTGAAGAAGCGGCCCAAAGTGCATGGCTCAAGGGATGGCATGAACTGACCAAGATCAAAGGGACCAATGAAGAGCGCGTCGATACCCTCCACCGCCGCGATCTCGTCAATGGACTCGAGCGCCTCCCTGGTCTCAATCTGCACAATCGTCAGCAGGCTGTCGTTGGCCTGCTGCAGGTACTCCGTCATGCTGGGCGCCGGGCTGAAGCGCTCCATGGCGAGAGGTGATCCGAACCCGCGTCGTCCCCACGGCGGGAACTTGGCCGACTGCACCAGGTCCTTTGCCTCCTGGGCGGTTCGGAGCAGCGGAACGAGGATCTTTTTTCAAACGTCAGCCAAGCTTCCTCTCTTTGAGAACACCGCATGTAAATGAAACATTCTCTCTGTTCACATGAGGGTTGTCTGCTTACCCCGTGAGCACCGCAATCCAAAGCACCTGGAAGTGTTGTTAGTCTGGTCTGCCCCAATCATGAGCAAGGGGTAATGGCCTTACGCTTCACCATCCAGCTCTGCATGTCTGGCAACCTCACAATGGGAGATACACCAGCCGCCGCAATGGCAGGGACAGCGTCGTGCATGGCGCCATCTGGGAAGTGGGACACCGACAAGTCAGCTTCTCATCTTAATCCTCAAATTCAGCGTTCAGCATCAACACTGCTCTGATGAAGCAGTTCAACTCACCGTCAATGTTCCCATGCTCGCAATCGACCAAGATCCAATCCACGCCGGGGCTCCGGGCAAGCACCCGCGAGACGTTGGCGCCGGGAATCATCTGCCACAACCCGAAACTGGGGCCGGCGCCCTTGGTGAAGGCCGTCCGGAGCTTGTTGGCCGCTTGCATCGCCGACATTGTAGTTTGTATGTACAAATGCGAAGTGATAAATTGACGAATGATAATGAATTGTGTTTATATGATTTGCAAGTAGCGACAATTCTTGTGCGACGTCAGATACAAATCTTTTGTTTCTTTTCTTTCCTGATAGGTTTACTATGTGATCAAGCACCGGAATCGGCTCATAACGTGAACCAACCCCCTCCAATCCAATGTGTCACCCGCGCCTTATGTCAGATACGCGTAGGGTGTCTGTCTGTCTGTCCGTCCAGTGCGGGGGTGCTTTACTGATTTCTTCGGAGGGAAAGCCGGCCATGGCGCCCCCATTTCACGCATGCACGCGGATAATAGATAGAGGCGGGCCGGGGGAGGTAAAGCGGGTTCCAGGACAGGAACTCGGTCCATTCCCACCACAGTATCCGTACCAAGGGTAGAAAAAGACCCACGAGACGGAGATATTCATGCGGCGGGGTAATTGTCGAGTGTGATGGGGGGTTATTAGTCTATCAGAGCTACCTTACCCAGGGAGGAAACGTGGGGGAAGAGGTGTGTTTGGGCGGGGCTAGCCGAATTCCCGACTCCCGCGACCTCACCACAGCAAGCTCCCGTCAGGTGCTTGCTACCTGATGTCACCAAAGGTATGTACAGAGAGGTAGGTACCTACCTAGATAAGTGCGTGCAATTAGTCCAAGCTTGGGACCTTCAAAACTTCACAAAGAACACAAATCTGGTCACAATATAGACTTTCGGGATTTCAACCCCTCGCCGTGCATGGCCGCTCCAGAAGCCTACCCGGGCGAAGTTGCGTTTGCTCGTAGCTTTGCTCTTTTTTATTTCGTTGAATGTGGGAAAGCAACAGCTTATTGTACAACTTTCAGGAACCCAGATCTGACGCTGCGGATCGCAAAAAATGCGCCGGCCATGTACGATGTAGGCATGTGTATGCCCTCTTTTCTCTCTCTCCAAACTTTTCTCTATGTTTGACTTCCCGGATGCAGATTGGTCAGCGTAGCGATGTCTCGTTTGTGGCCCAAAGACGACTCTCTTGATATGTTCGTCCGAGCCTTGTCCAAAAGGATTGCTCTGAGCAACACTTGTTGCCATAGACGGCCAAAGATCCACTCGCGTAGAGTGTCGAATACCCACCTCTCGCCGACCAAAGTTTGTATAGGTCGCGTTGGGCGTGGTCGTTCGTGGCCCTTCTCCTTACTCTTCCCCATTGCGGGTGACGTTTAGTCCTGGAGGCAGCTTTTGCGAGGATATGTGAGTTAGACCCAGTCAAGGCTTCGCAGATATTGACATACCCGAGATAGTCCTCCTTAATGCTGCCGATCGCCCACATCTCACCGACTTCTGTGCGCGTACCAATCACCTTGACACGCACGTGGGTTCCTGGTTCAATGATGGTATCCTCATTGTTGGTGAACTGCGGCGGTGTCGCATTGGGATCCCATTTGATCTCGGACGGGATCAGCTGGTAAAGAAATAGCAGCAGTTAGCTATCGACGAAAAGGTACTGCCTGGCTAGCGCGGAAGCGAGAACCTACATGTGCCGACACGAATAACCGCAGAGGTCCCGCCTGGGCGAAAAAGCCCTGGTGGTTGACTGAGTAGACCACAGCATCAACCTGGGTTCATGTCAGAAGCCGCTTCCCCGACAAAGCCAGGCAGATTTATAGCAATTACCGTCTCGCCCTTGAAGGGTCGCCAAACCACAGCTCGGTATCCCACCGTGAACTCGGCCAGGCCACTGCCTGGGAGAATGCGACCCTCGGAAATATCGAAGGTATCCATGATGGAAATGATGTAGTAACTTCCTGCGCAGGTGCCTTCCACGTCCTTCAGCAACTTGCTCGTCACCAGCTCGTGCATGTTCCGGCCAAAGTAGGAGGGGTGCAGGGTGACCCTGCGCTCCATATTGTAGAGGAAGAACATCGTGACGGTTTCCAAGGCGCAGAATGCTCGGAGGAGAGAAGCGGGTCGTCGTCGTGTCGTCGTCAGCGATGTTGGCCGTATCCTGCCTCCAACAACGCGTCGGCGCGTTATTAACCCAAGCTCTTCGTATTATATGCGACTAATTCTAGTGCTCGTGTTGACGTAGTCTCAATCGATCCGCGATCGAGTGACACGATTGGCAGCGTGGGGCGAGGCAATCGATGCGCGGCTTCCAAATGCAGACCGGTGAGTAAGGTCAGAAGTCGCGAACAAGCTGAAGCTAGAGGGTTGCAACGCGCGACACGCCTCCGGGAAAGAAAATACACGAGGACGGAATGAAGAAGAAGCGCGAGGAATCGGGATTTTGACGAATATCTCCTCTGTGGTGCGCTGTAGGAGATGCGCCGCCAGCGTTATGACTCGACGGGTAGTGAACGGAGAGGTTGTCCTGAGATGAACCTGACGAGGCTGAGATGGCCTTGTTACGGCAAGAAGTGGCTCCTGAATTTTTTGGCGTGCGGGCAGCCACACCTACACATGCCCCAGGCAGGAAAAGTGGGATTGGCAGGAGCTCAAGCCACACCTTTCACTTCGTTCTGCCGCGTTTGCGCTTAAGCACTGCGCTAGCGCGGAAAGCCCGTGGCGGAAAGGTCGCTCCGAAGCCGGGGTAAGCGCGGTGTTCGGGACGAGAACCTTGGAAGGCAGGTACTTTAGGCGCGACTTGAATAGTGACAAAATGAGCGACAAATCCCATTCGTGGATTGCGATGTTGGAGAGTGCACTGTCAGATGCCAGCAGGATGCGACAAGTGGCGCCATTTGGGCCGCGGATGTGAGAGCCCAGCCCTAATGAGTTGGAGCTTGCGTCGTAATTTGGGCTTGCGGCACAGATCACGCATGGAGTCATTTTGGTTATCCAACGAGGACTGTAAAATTCGCCAGCTTCATGTTTTGACATCCGGATGTCCTTCAAGCTCAATCAGAAGAGTCGCTTAAAAGCCTCCCCAACCTGCGACGCGCTCACACGACAAATGCACGACGTTAGATTGGGTGGAGGAAGTCAGTCGTATGTTTGGTGCATGCACGTTTAGCGATTTTTAGTGGACTCATTCCCCCCAAAATCTCCAGTCACAAGCCGCCATTGTGGACCTTGTCGCTTGCAGGACTGCTGGAAATCCAGTGGAATCCCTACGAACTCCCCGAACCGAAGAGCAAAAACGCGCTCCCAGCGGGCCCCACGGGTACTTGCACCGCAAAGGTTCGGCGGAAGGCAAGGTAACTCGACGTGCTTGGGTGGGACACATATGAACACCATTGCAACCCTGTCCGGAACACGACGGCATTCCCTCAATTTCCATCATTCGCAACGACGCCAACATCACCAGCTCTCTCCCCAGTCGTCTATAGTGCATCCGCGACTGATTTAATTTTTGGAATCGATACAGCCGGTCCAAAGTGCACCGCAATCAATCCGTCCGGCCCGCTCACGCTCCAGCTGTTGCCGATCCGCCCGCGGCTGAGCCTCGACCCTGCAGCCAGCCTCGTCTTGGTGCATCTATCCTGCAACAAACCTCGGCTCTCAGTCCACCACATCGCCCTTGGCTTAGGTCTCAGCACCATCTCATTTCATTCACCGCCATCATGTCTTTAGACCTGGAAAAACACCTGACCTTTGTTCGTCAACTGCCCGACTTTCCGGAGTACGTCGTTGGCATGGTTGCTAATGAGCTCACAGTATGGTGCATACCACCATAATACCGTCAACATCGGCATTCACATGGCATGTGTGCCCATCATCTTGTTTTCCGGATTTTGCCTTGTAAGCAATCAATGAGATGTAACTTGAGTCTTTTCACCTGAGCTCATACAGACTTCCTCAGGCCACCAACACAGGAACTCTCATTCCACTCCCTAGCTGGCTCACCGTCCCTAATCTAGATCTCAACTTGGGGACACTGGCAGCCCTGACTTGGGGTGGTCTGTATGTTCTTCTCGAACCAGTTGCCGGCACGCTCCTGGCCGTCATTTGCTTGGCCGCCACTGCCGCTGGCAACCACTTCAGGGTTGAGAACCCTACCTTGACCAACCAGGCCGCCATCGGCATCCACATCGCCTGCTGGATCTTCCAGTTCATCGGGCACGGCGCCTTCGAGGGACGCGCGCCGGCGCTGTTGGACAACCTGGTTCAGGCTGTCTTCCTGGCCCCTCTCTTTGTTTGGCTTGAGTTCCTGTTCAAGCTTGGGTACCGTCAGGAGCTCAAGGGCCGCGTTGACAAGGCCGTCGAGAAGGAGATTGCCAAGTTCAGAGCCTCCAAGGCGAACGGCGACGCCAAGAACGGCAAGGCCCAATGAACTCTTTGCAGACCAGCCAATTACAAAATACTTACTCGGTCTTGCGATGTGAATTCAACCAAACTCACACACTTATCGGAAACCAGACTACAAGCGCTAGCCAAGCGCTTACTACTCCGCCTACTTACCTACCACTGAGAGAGATGAGCAAATTTAAGAAGGCTGAGAAGCCATCACTGGGAGGCCACGAGCGAACAGAAGAGATATTGAAGGATTGAAGGCCCCACGGCATGGAAGCATTCGGGCAGGAGCCATCACTTCATAGGCGGAGTACTTTCATCAGATACCAATTTGAGCTTACGCGTATACAGATTGTCAGTCGTTGGATCTGTTACCGGCCGAGTTGCAACACTTTATGGTCGGAAAGGAGTTTCCTATTCGGACCCCTTTTTCGCGTTGCTTGCTGTCGGTTATCGTGTTCTTCTTATTTTTTTGGGAAGGGAAAGAAGCCTCTATTTGTCCATGTCAATTAAACAGGGAAACCGCTCAAAACACATACATATTTCAACAAACATGAAGCATTCACTCACCAAATCTCCTTTATCCTTCCCACTCTGCCTCGTCTCTTTGCATCATAAGGTACATCTAAGAATGGTGATCTCTCCCTCTCTCTATCCTCCGGGCGTCACAACACACAAAGGACTGAACGTCAGAACGAGCGTCAGAAACAACCTCGCGGCGGGTGCCTCTCCCCTAATGGGTCACATCGTCTCGGCGATCCTTGTTACCAAACGGGTTCCAACCGCCCTTGCGCTTGCCACTCTTCTTTACCGCCTTCTCCGGCTCCGGCGAGGGCGGGGGCGTGGGACGTCGTTGAACACTCGGCTCCTCGGGCCACGGTGCGGCTCGCTCCTCTCGATAGCTGTTGGCCAGTTGCTTCATCTCCCTGCCTCTTCTCACGGCGATGGTCTGCCTTGCCGGTGATGGCCCATCGGCTTCCTTCATGATCCGGATGGCCTCAGCGGCGGCCTGTCTACCCGAAGCCGTGTCTCTGCCGTAGCGGTTCTCCTTTGTCGGTCGTTCATATGGGCCCTCTTCTGAACTTTGGCTCGTTAGCTCGTCTGAGTTTCGCCTTGTTTGCTCTTCCACCCGCCGTCTCTTTTTCTCTTGCGGGTGTTGTCTCCATTTGTCTTCTGAGCATCGTCGCTTTTGTTCTTGTGAGTGTCGAGATGATTTGCTGATCGGGCTACCAGTGCTGGTTACAGTGGGCAGACGTCTCTCGGGTATAATGGGAGGTTCCATTCTCCTGCGCTTCTTCTTAGTAATCTTCTTGTTCTCGGGCGCCGGTGGAGAAGGTGGAGGCGGAGGCGGAGGGAACATGTTCTTGGAACGGAGCCGTGGGTCCTGGTATCCCGGATCCCCGCGAGTGTCACCAACCGAAGCAGCAGGAAAGGCAGGAAGGGCGGGGAGAGGTCTATCAGCGTAATTCTCGCTCCCCTCAACAAGAGCAGCATTACCGCCCTGAAGTCGAGCAGCTTCTTCCATTTCCCGCTTCCTCAACCCCTCTTGGTAGTCCTCCTGGATCGACCAGTAGTTTGTCCGCATCTTTTCTTCCTTCTTATCCTGTTCCTCCTTACGCCGCCGCGAGGCCGCCAGCGCCGCGGGCGTGAGCTTCTCGCGGTACTTGTTCGTCGTGGTCGTACTAGTGACCATGCCCTTGGTGGCGATCCCGGTCTCCTCGGCAGTGCGGCACTCTGGGCAGGTGACGTTGGGCCAGACGGTGTCGTTGGCGCGGAGCTCGCTGCAGGGCTCTTCAGGGGCGTCGCCGAAAAAGAAGAAGAGGACCGGACGGAAGCACCAGCCCGCTCGATGGCGCCATGTCTTGCGGCAGGTTACGCGTTTTCGTTCCTGGTGCTGGCATGTGTAGATTGTTTTTGCGAAGCACATTGCTGCTTCTCCTCTTGGATGAAATTGGCTCTGAAGGCAAAGGTTGTGCTGGCTTTGGAGAGCCAAGTACGTTCACCTACCACAGAAAACTCCTCGGTTATGTCAATTGTTGTGATATAAGTGATTTTGGTTGCTTTGGTCTGTCTTCTACAGCCCTGACTTCTCTCTCATTCAGGACGCTTCTATATAGCTCTGTCACAATCTAGGCCTTACTCGCAATAAGAGAATATCGACAAAGGGTGAGCATGAGATTTGTTGCAGATCTTCTATCACAACAATGCGCACAGCCGTTGTTTGGCATAATTCTTTGTTTCTGTGGCCTCGAACAAGAGAATCCAACCCTTTTGACACGATACACACGAGAGACTTTGAAACCTGTATCTCTTCACAATCTGAACTTGCTGTAATAAGTGAATACAATGGTAGGTAATCTCACTTACGACTGTGACTTTCCTTCATTACTTGATTCATTGAGTTATTTGCATATCAACTTTGCTATTACCAAGGTATTAGGCGACTCAACTCGACCTTGACAAACAATCATGGTTCTTATGGAATCCTGCTTCCCGTCTCAAGCTCGAGGCTAATATTCAGCTAACCATCTTTACCATAATACGTGTAGTTGACTTTGGAACCGAAGAAGCGCCATGACTACTACAATACGTGCTTACATGCTTGTCGGATGTCGTGGACAATGACTTCTTGAGATTATGTAACCGAAACCTCTCCAACAAATGAAAAGTTTAAATGACAATAGGTCTTTGTCTCGAACATAGCCTGCCTTAAATGCTCTCTTTCATCAACCAAGATACCTTTTCCTAGTTGTAAGGAAGACCAATCACCAAGAAATACAAAAGGTTCAATGTGGTAGCTTATTTCTCTCAGTCGCGTCTTTTCGACGTTCCTTCTATAATTTCATAGCTCACATATTTAGGCACACAGTCGTATTTTTTTTCATACACCGAGAAGCGTCTAGATTTTTAAGCCCTTTCTCGATAATCCTACTGAAATCCATGATCATCTTTTCCTCTGTCTTCTAACCCTATGATAGTCTATCTCAATATCAGCCTCCCGGGCAGTATCAAATGTATTTACAGGTCAGGACACCCAATTCTGCCACAGCCGTTGAATCGAATCTAGCTGAACATATCTCGTTTCTTATGCCAGCATGTCTCATCGAGTGACAGCTGCAATACTTCTCAAACAGCTGGCCACCACCAATACAAACTCCAGCAGCAGCATAGATGGAGCAGAGCCATTCAGAGCCCGTCTGTGACGGAATATCCAGCCACTATCACAACATTGCCTGTGATCAACCCGGGCAACAACACACAATGGAAGCTGATTCGCTACTCGATTCACATGATCCCCGGATTTTAGACCTGGTGACTTACGACAGAATGAGAGGGGAAATTCAGCTTCCAACAGCGTCCGCGTCAGGTCCCCGACGCTTCGCAATCTCCAATGAGTTGTCCAACGGCGCAAAATGGGCTGTCGAGGATCGTCATGAACAGCTGACCATATGGGGTGATGAATGGAAAAGAGTATGGGAGAGCAAGTCAACAGACCCCGCGCGGCGAAGCAGTCTCGTTCATGCGCCTGTATGGTGGCAGAAGGCAGGGAGATATACAGACGCGTGGATCGACGAGAGAACGAGGATCGTCATCTATCAGAAGATCGATGGCACCTTGAAAATATTTGAGTCCCTGCGAGAAGGGATCACCGCGTCGTCACACATCTTCTTTGGATATACGCCGAGAAGAGGTCATGTGGCCCTCTGGTTCCTGCCAAAGACCCCTTCGAACCTTCGCCGGTTGCCCAAGATCGTACGAGAAAGCGGAACGCCTGAATCATCTCATCACACTGGGCACACCGAGACGGGTTGTGACGCACGCCGAGATATTGTTCGACATGCCATCTATGGGAGATCAACGACTGGGTGCAGGTTGAATCGCGAGACTTGTTCTCTGAGGAGATCTGATTCCAACGAGGTGAGACCTTTGGCTGAGGAAATGGAAGCTTTGATGCGTTTAGTAGATGATGCCAGGTTCGCAATGTTTCCCACTACTGCGAAGAGTGCTCAGAAGCAGCCGAAGGTTGGCAGAGAAGACACCAGGGATGAGATGTTCGTGACTGCGGCAAGACACACTGGGGAGTCACGTAAGGCTCGGCATCCTCCCACTCCAGATCGAGATGCTCTCTCCAGTCGTTCACGAACCAATAGTACGCTCGACACACTGAGTCCCCGCTCTTGCTCAACAATCACAACAAGGAATGAGATGTCCTCGTCTCGGAATGACGAGCAAGTGCTCACTGGGCTTCACTTGGTCCAACGCCATCCTCGACCAGACGTCTCGGTAGTTGTGGGACCGCATCCCGGTGTCCGAGGGAATATTTCTCGAGTCTCTTGTCGTCCGGGAGCATCAGATTCAGAAGGGGCTGGGCCGCCCTTCGCACGAGAGGATACGGACCATCACGGCGTAGCGCACAAGGACCACGAGGCACATGGCCGCGCTCATCGCAGGCTGTGCAACAGCGACAAGAAACGGACCCACGTGCGGAGGCAACACGAGGAATTACGGGAGAAACATCCCGAGCTCGGGCAGCGTCGGAGGATTGAAATTGGCGAGGAGGTGGAGGAGGAGGAGAAGGAGGCGGGTTCGCGACTGGGCAATGCGGGACGCAGCCAAGACCGGCGTGACCAGGAGCAGCGGCGCCACGAAGAGGGAGGGATGGCCCGCAGGCGAAGGATTCCCGGAGATGGCAGTCGGAAGAAGCTTGTATTTGCTGCAGTCCCCGCTCGCAATCGCTCTCCCACGAACCCCGTCAAAGGCTCCCCAGGCCAGGTCGTCGGAATGTCTCTGGGCCCTTCCAGCCCGGATGCCGGCAACGAAGATCGGCGGTCTGAAAGGAGACCCAGCAGCTTGCTGCATGAACAGGAGACAATATCGACATGGAAGGCTCGGCAGGAGACACTTGCTGCCTAGGAAGGAAGATGCTGAGATTTTGCTTGCGACATTCACTATCAAACTGCGTGCTTCACAAGTGGGCGGCTGCTAAACTGCCATCTGTCCAGAGCAGTAGCAGCCTTTGCTTAATTTGGATAATGGTCACCGTGAGGAGGGTGAAAGACATTATTTGTCGGCTATTGCGGCAGGGGTAGATGAATATGGATATGCAACACCCGCTTGCTGAACTCCTTTTAGTTGTCTCTAAGTTGACAGCCGTGTGACAGGGAACCGAAGTGACGTTACAGCTGTCAAGCCAAACATGTTCTCTGGCGGTAAGTTGAGTTGAGGTTGCTGCCTCCACCTACGTATGAGCAAGATGTCTCTTCTTTTCGAATGTCCTCAGATTGTGGGAAATTCCCTTTGTCAGTGACGTGCTAAGATGACGTGCGATTTCAGCCTTCATTCCTCTCAGAACATCCCTTCTTCACGCAAAGAGGTGTTGAATGCTGAATTTGGAGTGAAAGACAAGTGAGGGAACAGCCATTCGTCTCAAAATCTTGGCAGGATTTTGATGTGGCTTGCCACAGACCGATACGGAAGGTTGATTCAGCCTCCTAGATGCCCGACCCGTACTTCATGTCCCTCATTTTATTATCCGGGCTGGTTATGGCTTGGTGCCAACAAAGGCGGAGCCCTCCTCCAAAGAGCGAATTCGACATATGCTCGAGAAATACCTCAGGCAAGTCAAGCCAACCGACACAGCCCCACGACCACCTATTGCAGCCCATGACGGTTCTCAATGTCTCGCATCTAAGATGGCGAGCTATGGCGTGAGAGGCGGGAGGAGTTATTATTCACAAGTTGAATCGGCCAGAGTGAGAAATGTGTCGTGTCGGCCCGCGACCGCCTCTTGCCAAGGATGAATTCTTGAGCATGTCAGATGGCGGAAGCCTGGAGCGTGATTCGACAGACTTGCTGGTGAGACCCTTTTCAAAATTGTGCCCTAGACAAGCTGTCAGTTCTCAAGTTTACTTCAGCTCTAGGCGCTTATGTCTAGGCGGCTAAAACGGGATTGGGCGGGAATGCAAGCTCCCGTTAGGGAGAGCGGGAAAGGAGGCAAGTTGAGGCTAAGAGGCTTTGGGAGGCTGAGACAAAATAGACTTATTGTTTTTCTCACCTCACAACCTCCTACGTAAGAATTTCTCCGACAATCATCACGATTGCATCCACCTATGTGTTCTGCGGACGAAAGCAGAAGTTGCAGCAAAGGCCAGGCGGAGAGACAATTGCAGTAAGAGGCTCGGAAGCCATCTTCTCGAGAGGATATCCTGACAAGCGGGCTCCATTGATCATCTCCTGTCGATCATTTTGGGAGGGGGCAACTTTACTTCGACGCTGCCGGTCATTGAAGAGCCACGCCGTAACATCACATCATCCGAGAGGTAGTGTGGTATGTGTTCCTACCGGTGATCGGCGGCGGGAGCAACGGCGGGCGAAGAATGAGCTGACTCTGATCACGACAGTCACCCCCGCAAACGTCACTAGGCCTTCGGCCGAGATATCCTTTTCGTGTCTCATCGGAGGGTATGGGTGGATATGGGGATTCGCGCCTTTCCGTGACGGAGATCGGGTCTGGGCGGAAATTGTGAGCCCCCGTGGGACTCATTCCCGCAAGCCGTTCGCAGATGAGAGGCACCAATGAGGAAGCAAGGAGGAAAGATGCCACGATCCTCCCACCGGTGGATATGTCTCACATTTGAGTTATCCATCAGAGACATGACAGGACGGATCTAGTAGCGCGCAGGCTGGAGCGACGGCCAGCGATTGGTCGACTTTGACGGGAGGAAGCTGTCAAAGGCGCTTGGCCTCAGACTTCCCGCCCTCCCTGGACCGCCTTGGCCCTAGGAGCCAAGGAGCCTAGCCTTTCGTGCCCGCCCAAGGGTCCCTCTCCATGGTTGGCTCGGCGTTAGATTCCGAAGCGAAACCTGTGATGGGCCTCTGCGGGAAATGTAGCCGGGGACTTCACGAGACTGTTACTCTCAGCAGGGGATCAACGTGAACAACACGTTGAGGATTCCTTGCAACCTTGGCACTGACGTGGGTCAGTCGAAGGCAAAGCCGACGAAGACGGAAGGCGGACTGACTGCTCCTCAACGACGACGGCGACGACGATGTAGAGACAGCTCGCCATAATCCCTCAGTTCGTCGACAGTCCAAATTCATTATAAAAGACCTCGTCATCCGCCGTCCAGATCGTAATATCTCCTCTCTCATCATCACACCGCGCCTTCACTACAGGATAGTCAGCCGCTTCAACTCTCTCAACTCTCAAGTCTTCGGATCACTCACTACCACTTCCTCTTCAAACCAATTCCCCTTTTCTTCGGAAACCCTACCATCAAAATGAAGTCCGCTGTCGTCCTCACCACTCTCCTGGCCTTCGCCGTCGCCAACCCCGTTGCCATCGCCAACGTTGACAACACCAACGCCATCGCCAAGCGCAATGTCGAGCTCGAGGCCCGCCAGCTTGGTGGCATCGACCTCTCCAGCCTCCCCGGCTTGAGCATCCTGCAGGGTCTGGGCCTTCCTGGCCTCTCCAACCTTCCCATCAACTCTGGCAACGTTGTTTCCGTCCTCACCAACCTTTTGGCAAGTGTTCTCAGCGTTGTTGGCAACATCCGTAAGTAAATCTAGAGAATGTAGATCAAACCATCGCCATTAACAGTTCCGAAAGGCCAGGGTGTTCCCGGCATTGGCGCCATCCCCAACCTTCCTGCCATCCCCACTATCCCCGGTGTCTCCGTTCCGGCCGTCGGCGCCGGTACTATCAGCGCTGAGCAGCTCACCGCCTTGATCGGTGCCCTTCAGGCCCAGGTCGCCAACGCCACCTCCATTGGCACCAACCTGCCTGCCGGCCTCAGCTTGGCCCAGCTCCAGCAGATCCAGACCATCATCGCCACCATCCAGGCCCAGATTGCCCCTCTCATCTCTGGCACCGGTCTTCCTTCCCTTCCCGGTGAGTATTGTCTATGCCATTCAACTTCGAACAGCAGCTGATACAGCTTAATAGGCGTTCCCACTGGCGGTCTCCCCGACCTTGGCGGCCTGACCTCCGGCCTCGGTGCTCTCTCTGGCGTCCTCAGCCTCGTCACCGGCCTTCTCGGACCCCTTCTCGGTGGTCTTCTCGGTGGCCTCGGTGGCGGTCTCCTCGGTGGCCGTGCTTAAATTCGAGAATCGTCGCAGGCCGGTAACTCATTCGGGCAGGTACTCTGCAGCCACGGAACTGCACACCCATGACGAGTTGCGGCATAATTGACAACGCCCCGTCGGCTTGTCGACCGGGCTTCTCGCAAAGCACTTTTTCCACAATCACTCCACCCACAACTTCCAGCATGCGGTCTGCATAATACCAAAAGGTTTCCGAAGACTTTGAGAGGAAAGGACTGGAACGCGAGGGATTTAGCGGTGATCATTCAACATCAATCGGGGACTTTGAACTTTGTTGCGGGCATCTGGCGAGTCCTAGCGGCTCCTTTTCGCCTTGCTTAATCTCTTGTCTTTAATCATTTCTTACCAACCTAGCTTCTCTTCTACATGTCCCCCAGGACAACACAATAAAAACTGTCGATCCTTAAAACTTATCGTCTCTCACAGTGATAGTACCGATCAGTCGCGCGAGAACCGATAACAGCTGATTATTCGGTAGCATCATGCCTAGCAGATCAGCGCAAACCGACATTGTCTCCAGTACACGAAGAAGAGGCGTGTCGAAAATGGGCAATATTACCTTCGAGTTTCGTCTTTACCATCGAGAACCAAAGCCATGCAATTCGCTGATCAACGCAGTTTGGGTTGCAAATGGCAATGATTTGCGAACGAAGGGATGGATGGGCAGAAGTTGAGATGAACCGTCTTTGGTCGTTGCATTGGATGCATACCCTCTGATAATCGAATAGCCAGCCATGATATCGGGTCGTATGCCATAAGTGCATATCGAGGGCTGCAAGGGAGCCAATGCGAGGTAGTGGATACCCGATCTCTCCGTCTCCCCTCCCCCACACACCTACATCATCCATCGAAGCCTCCTCTGCGATCGATGAACCGAATTCGCTATCTTTCAGCTTTGACCACAATCTAGCTTCGTTTTTTACCTTGAACTCCCTGACGTCAAGCCACTCACTGACACAGCCAGCGGCGGGCGTTTGCTTTCAGGGGAGCTGGGCGGCGGCGGGCATGGGTACGGCATTGCCGCTGTCGTTTCTGCAAGCTCCAGCCCTCTGGCTCTCCCGGTTCCTGCAAGCCTCCAGTCTGCAGGGACCTGACGGCCCAGCCGTTTCCAAGAAATCCCAAGAATCGGAGCCAAAAGATGACCAGACGATGCCTGACGCGAACCCCACGCCGCCGCGTCTATCTGGTCAATCTCTGCTCTATCTGAAATCTAGAACAGCGGGACGCGGCGGGTCCTCTGGCATCATCCATTGAGGCGCGGTGATCGAGGCTTCCCCTTCTTGACTCGAACGACTTTCTCGATCCATCTGTCTGCTGATTGTCTGATCAGGCTGGTCTCCTAGGTTGAGACGGTGGAAGAGTCTTCCGAATCCTACCTTGTCCGAATGCGGTTTGCAACGTCGGTGGTGAACAAAGCTGCTCAAAAAGCGTGGACATTCTTAGCCACCACAAGTCCAGTCTAACCCACGGTGATAGGTATCACAAGAACGGCTGGCTGCGCGTGTTGTCGAGTGCCTCCGAAACGAGGGCCCCGATGAGAACAGCAGGACCCTGACGCAGGATGGCAGACTGCATCGGTCTAGGCGCATGATGGCTGCTGCTGGGCGGCGCGCCGGCAGAGTTGCCGTTCGGCGGGCTTCCCCACACTTTTACTCTCCTCCTCCCCCGCCGATCGTTGCCTTCCGCGGTGGAGAGAGTGGGCGGGAGCATGAGCCAACGAACGATGATCCGTACATATGTCCCCAGTGTCGTGCCTACCTACATGATCGTTTGTGGCAGACAAGCAGCGCACCAGACTGGGCGCAGCTTGAATGTCCAATGGCGATGATCCTTTTCTGCCCCTTTCTCTCTTGTGTGTACGCCTGCTTACCTATCCACTGCAATCGTTTCGTCAGAGCTACTATGATATGTGCACCAGAACGTAGATCTCGTACCAGTTTGGGCACAACATCACGTGTCGAGCTCATGATTCGCGAGGGTTTGCATGGAGAACGCCGCAGACATGCCTAGCGCAGCAAGCGTAGCAATACCTACCGCAGAGAAGCAGCGAGATCCCCCTCAGATGTTTCTATGGGTTTCATACCGAAGCCTGGCACTCGATTGTCATCCGTTCCAATCATGGGGTCTCCCTTGCTGACTCCAAGATACTTCGGGACGCGGGAAACTCAATGCTGAAAGAGGATAGACCGTGCCATTTGCTCAGGATCGACGACATCTGACTGGCTCACGATGTCAGACTAATCCAGCATCTTCTCTCAAGCTGGGGAAGCCATTGCATCGCATCGCAAGCTATCAATCGTGCCAGGCTCAGTGTGATCAGACCATGTACCTGCGCGGGGTAACGAGAGCGAGGGGCAGTTAGGGGTCTATGTCTTGCTTGTCTATCGAGCATTACGCACTTCCCGTTGGTTCAGAAGACGGCAGACCACAGCAGAAATGATGGAGGGAGGAGAGCACCAGCGCTCGACCTTCTGCCGTGACGTCCAACACTAACAGCTACCATTCACCCAAGGCCATGTCAGTGTACCTACTTACATTACCTCGTGACCAATGCCCCAACTCAGCCAGAGGCGAAGGCCTAACAAAGCCAAAGCACTCTACAGAGTACCTACGCTGGCACTCGACTGTACCCTTTTCCCTCGAGCGGGTTCCCCGTAACCAAGTCCCCTTACACTAGCATGGTAGCTCCCCACGTAGCCAAGTAGCGTTAGTCTTTCTAGCGTGTGATGGTGACAGACGAGTAAACACCGTCATCGTTCTGACGGACCCATCGACAAGCTTTCCCGCATCCCTTGTGTCAGGGGAGTGGGCGGTGGTCTCATTGGTGAAGTCATTCTCAGGGTGTGGGTTGTACAGGATCACCGTGGGCCCTTGTTCGAGCTACCTACCTTGAACGTATGCCCCTATGGCAAGTCAAAGCTCGAGCTGGGTGGTGGGTGCTTCGACTCAGCTGTGAAGCCGGATTGCTTATATACCTCCTCTTCTTCCCCTCATTTTCTCATGGATCCTCATTGCATCACAGCTATAAACACCTTGACAATTACAATCACAAGCCATTTACGACTAGAAATCATCAAGTCACACATATAACAACACCAACCTTCAATATGGACTCAAGCAAGAACGTCGATATCCCCGTCTCTCCTACCGGCCGCAGACGTGTAAGAACTCCTTGATTCCAATTACACACGTCATGTTGCTCACACACATGAACCTCAGAGCTCCGGAACCCTCTTCCAAGGTCTCATGGATCAAAAGCGTCACGACGGCAACGCAGCCCGTAGACAATCAATGACAGACTCAAAGCCGGCGCCTGGATTCATTGGGCAAATGTGGCACAAGTGGGTTTACCTCAATGCTTTCATCACACATTACATACTAATGCGCCTTTACAGCTGGACTCGTGGCCCTGCTAGCCCCCCGAAATAGGAGTTTTGTGATAAAGGCATGGCGATAAGGGAGTTTGTAAGATTGAATAGTTTTGGCGTTTGGGGACAGATGAGAAGCCCTTTGAGGCACTCGCTTTTGTAATGTTACGTGGCACATATCAACCTGCCACAGTTTGTCGTACAGAATATGGAATACCAACCTCTTCTGCTTGGGCCTAATTGCTTTGTATGACGACCGTGACTTACACGCTACTTTCCCACGCGCACCCTTGGGAGACTTCAAACTTTGCGACTTGCCTTCACCAACATTTGTTGAGAAGACTGGATGAGGCTCTATCAAAAGCGCCTTTCGTCAACAAATCCATGTATATCAACTTGCAATCCACTCCGATTTGTGCTACACGTTCTTAAGTAACCAAAAGTTTCCAATCCTACCTCAGTTCATCCATTGCAACAAAACCCGTCGACGCTAGAAACACCACGACATATCAAAGCTGGTATGTTCTTCATTGCCGTCAACATGTTGCAAAACACAAAACGAAAAGTCAAGCGGAAACGTGATTGGGAACAAATGTCGGATCTGAATTACGACTGCCGGGACTATATCATGGGGAATCAAAAGTCATCTCCTCTAAACAGTAATCCTCCACCCGCTGTCCCCCACTGTCGTCAAAGGTTTAACCAACCTCAAAAGTCGGGAACTAGTGCCAGGCTTGCATTCCCATGGCTTGAAGCCAGAACACCCCACCTGCTGCTTCCCCTTGTCGCGTGGTCCCACCGCAGAACCCCAAAACTGTTGATCGAGACGCGAGCTTTTCTCCATGGCCACAGATGTGACCATATCAGAGAGACGCGACCAGCCCAAACTCATGAGCCCTTTCGGGCCCCCAATACAAACGTTGCCCCCACGTATCGGCACCCAAAAGGGTGGTGGCGTGTATCGTGGGGTAGATCCTCCTCGGCCTAGTCCGAGATGCTGGCTCCGGAGCAAAGTAGCCTCTGCCGCGAGAAATCGTGAGAGTTAATGTGACGATCTCGGCATGTCGCTCTTACTATCGCGCTTATCTCCTTCAGAAAGGACCCCGTCTGTAGGCACTGGATAGGCAGACTGTTTAAACATATAACAGCCTGCGTACCCCCGTCTGTCAGGATTCCGACAGCGGTTGTGTTGCTCAATCTTTTCCATCAGTCGCCCACAAGCTGCAACGGTGGGTCGGGCTCTTGAGCTTTGCAGCTGAAGAGCACCAAACACAGTACGTGAGTACGTGCTACATCTCGATAGTATCGCATAATGCGAATTTAAACACGGTATATGCCCAGAGGGCGATTGTGACAAGAAATACTGACATTGCTGTCGATTTCGATCGTCGTTTCAACCAGGTTGCCTTCGGCAGACCTGGAGGCCGGTCTCCGGGAGACCGGGTTCTCGGTCCGAAGACCGGAGCCAATTCGGCTATTTTCGGGGGCCGGAGCCGCCCACCCGTCCAACGCTCACATCCTCCGATCAGGATCTGAGCGTCATCTGGACATTTTCGTGCGCCAAGTGGCGTAATCGGGTTGCCAGGATAATCTTTCCTGTTCGCAGAGGGAGACAGACATAATTCCCGAACTGCAGCTGCAAACCCATCCATGCCGATCCTCAATGTAGAGAATCAGGGCCTTTTAAAGTCCTGCCCAGGACAAATCATGATCAGGGCGCCGTCCTCTTCCGATCCAATGTCCTGGAGCCCAGGTTAGCGGTACGATCAAGGCAGGATAAGTATGGTGCAAAGTACTTACTATCCATACCGTTTGGCAAAAGAAAAAGTACCAAGAATGCCAAAGTCCCAGACAAACATGTCATTATCGTGGCGGGTCATCAGAATTAGGTAGGGTATGTCGAAGTCTAATTGCTGAAGAAAGGAGATGGTGTCGTACGTCTTGGTTGCCCAGCCTTGGGAACGTCGCAAGTCTAGAGATCGTTGCTAAAGTGGGTTAGTCAGGAGGCTGTCTTGCTAGAGCTAAGTTTTCAGAACATACCACATGTGACTCCATAATGAGTATCATTAACGTAACCTCAATACATGGGCTGCATTTGCCTCTCTATGTCGTCCATTCGTTGCCATGATGCAACTCCAAGGCCTTTTTACGTCCTGCCCAGGACAAAGTGACGAAGAAAAGGCCAGCGAAGCCGAACGGATGTCCTCGGCTTAACTCCAGCCCAACACCACGTGCACGTCCAAGGCCCCTGATAAGTGCGCATATCACAGTACGGTGGTATATTCGTGACGGTAGAGAAAGGGCAGCTCATATGAGCTCACTTGCTCTGTCGGCCGACAGCATGTCTGGAAGCTAGGACTATTGCCGTTAAGCAAAGCCCAACAAGCAGAACAAGGCTGCGACTGCGTACCTTGAGCAGTGACTCAAGATTACCACAGCACCTTATGATGCGGCTAGCCACGAGAGGCAGCAGTCTGGTCGTCATCGTTGGAGCATGCCGTCGCAGACTAATCTGTCGGGACAAAAAGTCTTCCAGGCGGAGAAGCAGGATCAACGAGCTTGCAAATGATAGCAAGTATCGTGAAGGGGTGGTAGAAAAAAGAAAGCTGTTGGCTCAGAGGCACAACACGGGAAATTTGCTCAACCATCCATGGTGCGAGGAAGTTGTTGGTTGCCTCTGGAACTGGACGACGTCGAGAGGTCGTGGTGAAGGATGTGAAGTTGGGAGAAGGCCGAAGAGGGAGAGGAGGGCTAGAGGTGGGTATTTGTAGGGATGTGTGGAGGGGGTGGTGGAAACCACCTTCATGGGCCAGGACACACGACCTGTCGCGCGTCAGTGGTGGTAAATCACCCGGGGGAAGCCAGGAAGCTGGCGCGTTTTCCTCAGCTGCTGCAAGATTCTGAAAAGGTAGCAATTATTGATCAAAAAGGTTTGGAAACCGTTCTCACGGTAAGAATACAAATCGAAGGAACGAGACAGCCTACTTTCTCGGGAAGCAAACGTGATAGACTCGAAGCTGCAGCTGCAGGACGCGACATTTTCCGGGAAAGGATAGGTGCACGGGCGCTGTTAAGGCAAGGTACCTTAACTAAGTCACTTTTAGTAACGAAAGCGCGCACTGTACCTACCTTACCTATCCGTAAAGGTTAGGTACTATTAGGTTAAGTAAGCAACTTGAGGTAGGCTAAATGCTCATTTTAAGCTTTAATTGCTGGCTTTGTTCGTTGGCACTACCTGATACCTGACGAGTTTTGAGTACGAGAAACCAGCTCTGACTTCCATAGAAAGAAGAAAGTGGAATTTCATTCCCGCAGATGGATCTAATTGGTTACAACAGGTCCTTTTCTTTCTTTCGGGAGCAACCACCGAAGCTTATCGCTTTGGAAAGGTGAACTTCACAGCAAAGATGTGAGGACAACTATGGCTTATTTGAACGGAGCAGCCGCTGTGGGGTGTGTAATTCATTGAGAACATACACTGACATTCATCTTGACCAATGCCAGCCAAGCCTTTCTGAAGTAAGGTACCTTACATCATGCTCCTACACTGACCATGTCGCCAACTCGTATCAGTGGACGGCGCGTTCCTTCTCCGAGCAGTACCTTGGTGGAATCATGGCTCATATGAGTGCCAAAGTACACTTTGCCGTCGAACCTTCTGACCTTGCTCAGCGTCACGAAAGGTTCCTGGTGTCTTTCGCCGCTCTCTTGGTCGACGCATACCATCTGGCATCTGCGGCAGGATCCCAGCATAGTGAAATCCTCACCACCAATCGTGAGTTTTATCCATCCATCCTCTGCCCATGGGAGATGGTCAGAATCTTGAGTTGGTCCGACCAAGATATTGCCTCGGAATGCTTCGGAGGGAACTGGTTCCCCGCCATTCGCCTGAATTTCGTCGTTGAGGGCGCGCAAACTCGATGTATTGATCAGGAGTATTGGGCTCTCATTGGAAAGTAGAATCTTTGCTGGTGATTGCTCAGAGTCCGAATCCGGTGGAGAAGGCAACTCTGGAGATGCCCCGAAACTCCCCTTTGGAACCCAAACTTGAGGGTGCTGATGTTTTTGCACCTTGGCTTTTGAGTGACGCATACTTGGTCCCTGCCCTCCCGCTGGAAATCGTGCCAATGCGCACGGCACACCGAGAATATCACTGAAGAAGCCGTTGACATGATCGGAGGCATACACCTGCGTCGTAATCTTGTCGCCGCATACTCGTGAGGACCTCTCACGAGGGCCGCCATTTGTTTCGAAGTAGGTGGGATCCGCAGAAAGGGGAACTGAGATCTCGTCGGGTAGGTGAGAGAGTTTCCTCCCTCTGTACGCTACACGCAGCACGCCACCGTCGAAGTCAAGAGTGGGTTTGATGAGGGCCATCTTGGGATACCTCTTCTGGCTTAGTGCTTGTCCTGACCCTTGGTGGACAAGACACCACTCTCTATCCCAGGCCAGACCTTCGGGCATAACTTCCCAGTCCATACCGAGCGGAACAGAAAAGGCGCCACAGCTCTTGATCGGATAGACGCTGATGCCCTGGACCTGAAACCCTATCGATGAAGTCTGATTTTCGGCGCGACAATCATCAACTGACACCTCTTCTCGATAGAATTCGTCAATAAAGTCGATTAGGAAGTCAACATCTGAAATAGTGCTCATCGCACCAAGACTTGCTCGAATGACGCCAGTCGGCTTTCCAGCGATGACATCTTGGTCAGTGCCGCAGCGAAACCCAGCGGAGAAATTTTTCCTCATCTCCCATGGGCTCAGGTCGAGTGCTGAAGCGATACCTCCAGGACTGCAGACGCCGCCGGTTCGGATATGTAAGTTCTTCAACGTGGCTAATTTTTCAAGCTCGTATAGACTGATCCAGGCTCCGGCAGCATCGCGAATGTTGAACGAGATGAGTGGTCCGCTTCCTACTGAGCCATTAACCTCGCTGCGCCGTTCTGAGTAGATAGTGCAGACGGGCAGCCCATTTCCATGTTTGAGGCTGGCAAGTCCATCGTATAGTCGGTTTCTCAGGAATGCTGTGTGCGATGCCACGCTACTCATGCTTCCGAAGAGCTCTGCGTGAACATCTAGAGCAGCATCAAGTCCTATGATGTTATGGAATGGAAGAGTGCCGTCCTCTAGCCTCTCATGAAGGAAAGTTGATTTGGGAGCATGCCATCTTTCTTTTCCGCAGACAACCATATCGACTGTGCCACCCCCGAAATAGCGCCTTTGATTGAAAATCGGCTCGGCCTGCCTTCTAACAATCAAAGCACCGAGGTCTGGAAAGCCAAAGATTTTGTAAAGACTCAAAACCGTAAAATCGGGTGCCGTCTCCGAGTTACTGAGATCCAGAGGAGAAGTGGCCACTAGTGAAGCTGCGTCCAATAGCGTATAAAATTGCCGGTGCGAGGCGGCAGGCGACTCTCGCAGTAGAGATGGCCATGTTAACGGGTAACGTCGCCCATCCATATGAGATTGAGCTGAATATGAAAATAGCATGGGCGAGTCCGAAGCTTCCGAATCATCCAGGGGAGATTGCCCATCAATCCAACGTCTCACATCGCCATCCGCAACGCATCTGCTCTCGCGCGCCTCTTCGCGAACTCCTATTATGCTTGTGTGGCAAGCTTGGTGATATACGTAAGAAAAGCCCTCTGGTGAGGCCCGGAAGGCGTCGGAAACAAGTTTGATCCCAGCTGTGGTGTTGGAAACGAAGACCAGGTCAAATTCCTCAGGGTCAGCGTTGAAAAAACGGAGAAGTCTGAGGCGAATATCTTCAATGCGAGAAGTGCTATACTGAGAAGAAGGCGAAGCGGAGTGGGGGTTGCCCAACAAGTTTGATGTCAATTCTGCAGAGAATCTGTCAACCAAAGACTTGGCATATAGCGTTGTTCCGGCATGGTCGAGGTATATGGAATCTGTGTTGTTGGTCAGTAAGTTGAGATAGAATAATTGTAGTTGATGTACCAATGCACCTTTGATCATGGGGTACTCCCTATCCCTGAACTCATCCACCTGGGAATTATAGCTTCTCATATCCGCGTCAACCATGACGGCGAAGGGTGTTCCCACAAACACCACAAGTGGTAAAAGGCACAATATGAGTTGGTAGTCAGGGTTGTTAGGGAGGGGTATGGAAGTAGGTAAACAGCAACGTTGGGAACGTTAGTGACCTAGTGACCCCTCTGTCTAACAAATGCGCCGGATTAGGTGAGACGAAATGCCCGTCCAAGCCCATGCATGTCCGAGAGAATGTGTATATGAATTCAGAGATTGTCTGTGTGTCATTGTGGGAGAGAATCAAAACACACCTGCGAGGAAAAGGAAGATTACCATGAGCCAAGACAGGTATCGTGGGATGGCGGCTTTGTCCGCCGTTCATGCTAGAATGCCGGGCACCTCCGCTGCCTCAACAGGCCGGTCGTCGATTGCCACAAGCCGTCTGTGGCCGTCATGGGGAAACAGGGGTAGACAGTGCGGTCGTATGCGATATGAGCCAACACTGTGAAACCAACCATGTCCCAATTGCATTATGTAAGGTACCGCTGCGCACGAGCCAGGAAGCAGGGGAGGGGAAGGCACGAAGGCACGGAGACAAAACCCCATCTTTCTCGGTCGCGTACGCACGGACCAAGACTCTCTACCGAGCCGTATTTAATTGAATCGCGAGAAAGCGCGTTCCGCGACCCTGGCATCGCGTCGTTCCCCGGTCATCGTGCTGGCGCGCGCCTACCACTTAATTAAGACTCTGCAGTTCCACTTACAGCTTTCGACTTCCCATACCTCGATACTTCCTACTTCACTTTGGTTGGTACCTCGAACAAGCTTTCCTGCGTTGTCTACTTTGGAATTGTCAGTCACGATTGCCTCTTCACCATAATCATAATACCCAGCAACAATGTCTCGTGCCTCACTCGGCAAGCGGACGAGGTCCGTCCAGGATCAAGGTAGGCACTATCACCCCTATAAGCCAAACGTACTTTCTCACATACAGCCTAGATTTGGTCGACCTTCCTGCCAAGCGTACCAGAAGGCAAACCCGAGCTGCTTCAGAGAACGACGAAAACGCGGATCCCGAAGTAACTGCCACCACGCCAGATGTCGAAAACGATCTCGACGACACCTACGTTGAGCCGGCTGCGAAGAAGCTCCGACGTTCTCCTTCCCAAAACTTCTTGAAATCGATCCCAGTCACGCCTCAGACCCCAAGACACCGTGATGTCTTCGCGAACTCTCCTTCGACCCCTCGCCAGGTCGTCAAGTCTGCCGGCAAGCTTTTCCAGAGGCTGACGCCCCAATCTCCCCTGACTCCCGGCTCTCTCCAAACCGTCTACCATGCTGCCCGGCAACTCTTTGCTCGGGGTGCCGACCCAGGCGAGCTTGTTGGACGCGAGAAAGAACGAGAGCAATTGACGCAATTCGTTCAACGCTGCTCCTCAACAACCCCCAATGGATGTCTCTATGTCAGCGGTCCCCCTGGAACCGGGAAAAGCGCAATGGTTAAGGAGATTACGGACAAGTCCACAGAATCGACCGCTGTGCGTCAAGCATATGTCAATTGCATGAGTGTTAAGTCGTCAAAGGACCTCTACAATACCTTGTTAGAGCTTCTTGGACACGAAAGCGATCTGCCGGAAGCATTGGCGATGGAGGAATTGCAAAACATTTTTGTGACGAAGAAGAAGGGCTCACCTGTCTACTTGCTCGTCTTGGACGAAATCGACCACATCCTGACGATGCGTTTGGAAAGCCTGTACCGGTTATTTGAATGGTCTCTACAGCAGCCTTCGCGACTGGTGCTTATTGGAATTGCAAATGCCCTCGACCTCACCGACCGCTTTCTGCCGCGTCTGAAGTCCAAGAACCTCAAGCCGGATCTTCTTCCCTTCCACCCATACTCAGCCGCGCAAATTAAGAGTATCATCAGCACCCGTCTGATGACGTTGTTGCCGGCCGACAGCAGCGACAAGACGCTTCCCTTTTTCCATCCTGCGGCGATTGAGCTTTGCTCGCGCAAGGTTTCGAGTCAGACTGGAGATTTGCGCAAGGCTTTCGAAATCTGCCGAAGAGCACTGGACGTGGTTGAGTCAGAGACCAGACGGCAACACGAGAACGAAGCAAGAGAAAAGGTTCTGCAGATGACACCGTCCCGGAAGCCTCTCGGCGAAAATGCGAATATGGCCGGCTCCAGCGGGTCCTCAAGGAGCGTCTCACACGTCGCTGCAACATCCCTCAAGGCGCTGACAGCCGAGAGTGCACCCCGAGTGCTCCTCAAGCATTTGAACCAAGTTACGCAGGCGGCCTTCAGCAACGGAACCAATCAGAGGCTGAAAGCACTCAACCTTCAACAGAAGGCGGCGCTCTGCTCATTGGTGGCCCTCGAGAAACGCAACCGAGCGCTGAGGATGGCCACTGGCCCGTCTACCCCCACCAAGTCACAAACGATGGCACCCACAGTCAAAACTCTGTACGAGACGTATTCTATCCTTTGCACTAGAGACTCAGTTTTGCACCCGCTGTCAAGCTCAGAGTTTCGAGAGGTCATCGGAAGTTTGGAGACACTGGGTTTGGTCAACCCTGTTGATGGAAAGACAGGTGGACTTGTGATGACACAGACACCCAGTAAGAGAGGCCGCAAGGCGGCGCTTCCCACCGGAGAGGACAAGCGAGTGGCCAGCTGCGTTGGCGAGAAAGAGATGGAGAACATTGCTGAGGGTGTCGGAGCGGGTATTTTGTCGAGCATTCTCAGCGGCGAAGCATTGGATTGATCATTACAGCATAGCATAAAAGTGTAGAAGTATCTGGGTTCATTGGGCATTTTGCATGGCATCGGAGTCCGGAAAGGCATGGCACGTGGCGTTTTTGGGGATTTGTTGCGGACCGATGGACACGATCGGCAGGGCAATGGATGTCAAAAGAATAGGTTGTCTGGATTTTGATGGAGACGTCACTTGAGAGTTTGGGGAAATAAGGGACTGAGGATCATGAGGCTGAGCCCAGGGCATCAACATGGTATATGCTCGAACAGAGAGCATCGATGGGGTGCGAAAGAAATAGAGAGACGAGACATTAATAGCATGATACCAGACGGTTAAAACGAAACAAGGCTTGTCGAAGCAGGCGAACATCACCCGAGTCGCCTACTATGTATGTCCGGCGCACGCCCAAATGTGAAGTGAGTGACGATGAGGCGAAACGAGGATGAGGAGCTGCGGCCGAAGGGTCAGACGGACGGCCGTGCTCCCAGTGCCCAGCGCTCCACTGATGTCGACCAAAGGTGCCGGCGTTTATTTACCTATGAGTGCTATAAGTATTGCTGCTGACAAGTCAACCCTGAACTGTTTCTTTCCCGCCAGCCAAGAAAGGTTCCACGTTGTAGTCCCAGATCGGGCGGAGATCCGCAGCCTTCAAAGAAACGGTGTAACCGCCAAGAAAGGTGAATTCTGCCTGGGTCTACTACGACTTTACTATAGCGGAGGAGGCTCTGATTCCACTCAACGCAGCAGTACCTCGAGGCTTATCTTGGGCCGTTGGTCTTGGCCTGCGTCTATTTTGCCGATGTCAATATCGACGAGGGTACCTAGGTCCCCAGGGGGAAGGTCGAGAAGCACAGAGGATGGCGCCGGCCGAATCACAGTTTGTGGTCTTTTACTTCTCAGTCTGAGGTAAGCTAGTGGGTTTCTGTGTTGTTTCCTCTCCCCTCTCCTCTTTGAGACTATGCTTGAGATCCGAGGAAGTGGGAAGAGGAGGCATGATTTATGTCTCGAAGGCGTATCTGTATACAGCAATTTTTGGCACAACAGGGGGTGGGATTGGGTAAATGGGGGATCAAAGGTGTGGGATGTTATCCGTACGTCTTACCTTGCAGTTCCGCTATTTTTACATTTCTTGTTTTTGAATCCTGAGTGGACTGGGACGACATGCTTCACGTATACCATCCGTGTGTTTGTCTGTTGGACACTGCACCACCTCTGGCCGAATGGAATTTAAAAAGCCATTGGTTGACTGATTGGTCGGGATCTCGTGTAATAAGGCAGACAGAGGCAGGCAGACATTGGTTATCAGTACCTCGGTGTGTTCGAAGGAAAGGGTCTCCCGTCGGCTGTCGGCATCCTTAAAGCAATGAGTTATGACGGATACCACCCTTCGGGCAGCCTACAGGTTGGATCTGCTCGAGGTGTGTGTGTTGTGGGTGGACAGTGTGGTCGCCGACTCGCAGAAACGGGCAAGCGATGCTGCAAGAGGGCCAACAAGATTGGATCACCTCAGGCACGGGAGACAGGGTTCGGATAAGGCGCCAGCCCAGACATAGCAGGAGCAACAACAACAAGGGCACAGGGCATATCGAGAGAGATTTCGAATTGTCGAATGGCAAGACTCGGGACGGAGACGGAGACGGGGGGGAAAGGCGTCTCGGGCGGCGCCAGCTACCTCAGAGTGGCGTGTCTTGGAGGTTGTCTCTCCTGCTCTTTCTCTCTTTCTGCCTCGTTTCTTTCATGTTTATCTGCCCTCTCCCCCGTCCCAATCATTGCCGTCTCGGAAGTTGGAACCAGGCACGGGCAGATAGTTGGTTGAAGTTGAAATGGTCGGCCAAGCCGCGTGTTGTATGCGACTCTGGTGTCCCAGAACTCCCCACATTCCCGTGCCTCGACTTTTGGGGCCGCGTTGGCAAGTGCGTGTTTCCGACGGGAGTCTCGATTTCTGAACCCTTAGTCAGGCAGTAGCTTCCCAGTGGTGAGGCGAGCGGCAACACGTTACACGGTACTGGGCAGCCACCAACACCAAGCGTGTTCAAGGGCATAATTAGTACTTTGTACATCACTCCGTACCTTACCTTGTAGGCATGTAGACATCGTGACATGGAAGGTGTGAAAGACAAGGTGTGAAAAGGGCACTTTCCAATCTGAGCTGAGCTGAGCAGCAGACGGGAAGCGAAGAGGGGACTTAGGAAGGATTCAAGGAAGGGACTTTCTGGCCAGGGCCCTGAGCGGACATGGGCAGGAACACCGGGGGATGTACTCCCGTACCTCCGTACCGCCGTACCGTGAGATGCCGCAGCCCGCAGCATCCTGACTCTCTCTCTCTCTCTCTCGTCTCCATCCATTTCCATTCCCTACCAACCCTGGTTAAGAAGTTGAGGCTGCTTCCCTGGCCTGTTCATTCACCGAATGGAGATCAAGACAGCCCACAGTCCAATCCAGCCAGTTCTTTTCCTGCTGCTGCCCAAAACGAGTTGTCCTCCCAGACCATCCCCACCCCGTCCTTTCCTTGCCGCCCTTCCGCTTTATAGGATCGGGGTGTCACTTGTTCGGGTGTTAATGTCGGCCGATGGATCCTGTCTCTTTCTCTCTTTTCCAGACAAAGTACCTACTTCCGATACTTCGTACTCCGTTCCAATAGTTCAGTACGAATCTGATACTTACGGATACTCTCTCTCTCTCCCACTGACCATACCTTACAATAGTCAACAGGACAGGCTGCCTCCAACACCAAAAGTCCGTCCGTCCACTTATTCTTCCCCTCCCCTCCGCCTACTAGTTTGACCGGCGTCTCTCCCGATTGCTCGTCGCAGCCTACCGCAGCACCACAGTACCACTGTCCATCAAGCGTCTGGCTGTTTGGGAAATCAAAGTCCGCGTCCGCGCAATCTACATCCGGCGCACCATCTGTACAGTAATACACACTACGTGGCCCCGACCCCGTCGCCCCAAGTTCCTCCTGCCTCAGGTTGTTTTTCTCCTGAACCCCCGGCACCCACGGGCAATCTGAGACTGTGAACCCTCGAGATTTCCAGAAAAAGCGAAGCTTTCTTGGCAAGGCTCCCTCTTCGCTCTTGGCATATGCAACCAAGAACATCCGCTGCCAGCATCTCTCAGATCCCAGCTTGCCTGCTAGCTATTCCATCATCAAATCAATTCCCCCTCCCAACCAGCCCGCCAGCCCGCCACGCCCACGCCCGCCTAAACCACCCCCAAGGCCCATACTCCCTACTCCCTACGCAGTACTCCCTACACTGAGGTGCTCCAGACGACCAGAGCACAGGTCCCTCGACCGTCCCGACACACCGAGACCTCGTGGAGTCGGTCCTGAACCCGCCCGCCCGACCTACCGTTTTCCCGTCCTCGAGCCAAGACAAACCCACTGGGACGTCCAACAATACCGTCGAGTCTCGACTAAACCCCCCGCCAAAAGCTGTAAGCCACCAAGGCGTCGCTGTGCGAATCCCCTCATTGCATGTCGACGTCGAGGCTCCAACTCAAGTCGCCTTTGCTGCGCCCCCTTCCCCATCTCCACCCCGAGCCTGAACCTAAGCCTGAGCCTGAGCCTTTCCACCCTCTCCGCTCAGCCAACTCCTCCACCGTCGCCGACATCACCGTCCTCGTCACCACCCGCCACGACCATTACCACCACCACCGACGACTCCCACAACTTCACGACACCGCCAAAGGCCCGGCCCACAAGTCGTTGCATACATGGGCGCATATTCGCATTCCAACGGCTCCGTCGAAGAAACAACCTCGTCCGCTCGCTCATTCTTCTCTCGTTTCGCTCTGCCCAGCCGATCGCGTTCGCGTAACCTCGCCGACTTCCACGTCCGCCCCGACGACCCCCACCGCCAGTACTCGGCTGGCGACCATGTCTATGGCGCTGTAGTCCTGACCGTAGTCAAGCCCATCCGCATAACCCATCTTACTGTTGCCCTGCATGGCTACGTTCGCGTGCACAAGGGCCCCGCCGTCAGCGAGCCTCCCGTCGCGAAACCCGCCTTGTCCGGACGCTCCTCGGCGCAGTACCATGGCAACGGTTATGCATCGCTCTTTCAGGACGAGCAGGTGCTCAGTGGCGAGGGCAGGTTGGAGGCCGGAAAATACGAATTCAAGTTTGATTTAGTGTTCCCCGAAAAGGGCTTACCTAGTAGCATTGATGTACGTCCGGATTCCGCAACTGATACGACGAGGCATACTTGCTAACGCGCGTGCGTTTAGTTTGAACGAGGCACGATTTCCTACATGATAACAGCAACTCTGACGCGTCCGACCTCGATATCTCCGACATCGTCCTGCGATCGAAAAATCCAGTTGGTTGAGCAAATAGACATTGGATCCCTCGCGCCGCCGCGCCCCCGAACCATCTATCTCGAACCCATCTCCAAGAAATCAAGACGGAAGCGGACCGCTGGCAATGAAAAGAATCCGGCCACAGTGGAAACTACGGAGCAAGGGTCAGATGTCGATCAACACGATGCCGAGCGTGCGGTAGAGTCACCAGCGCCAACAGAAGATCACCCTCACGATCCGCTCGAATACCCCCGAAGCCCAACGCATACGGATATCCAGAGCGAAGTCAGTGGTGACAGTACCGTCAGCTCAAGCACGGGCATTAGTCTAGCAAGAGCTGAGCCTCAGCTGGCCAGTAGCTCGCTGACAAACTCCAAAATGCAAGCTGTCGACGAAAAGACGATCACGGCAACGATTGAGATGCTGAAGGGCGGCGCATTGCCAGGCGACACAGTGTCAGTTAAGGTCTCGGTGCAGCATATCAAACGGATAAAGAGCATGCATGGTGTTATTGTTACCATGTACCGGCAAGGCAGGGTTGACACGGCACCGCCAGCCTCTATGTTTGCAGACATCATGTCGAAAGAAGAGACCCGCAAGCTGGCGAAAGAGGACTACTACCCGCGGTCACGGACCGGTTTGGGCGGCTTGTCACTAACCTCAACTTCGTCACTGAGTGTCTTCCGAAAGGACCTATCCCAGTCCGTTGCCCCGCTCATTATCGATCCGGTCACATTGGAAACGACGGTGACAGCATCGCTCAAGGTGCCCGAAGATGTCTTCCCGACCATCAAAGGCGTGCCCGGGGACATGGTCAGCTTCAAGTACCAAGTGGAGGTCCTGGTTGATTTGGGCGGCAGGCTCGCGAGCCAACTCCAAGGTGGAGGCCAGTCTAGGGTGGCTCAGTTTGCACCCGGGTCAGGGGCCACCGATGGTAACAACGCGGCGCTCAATTCGTGGGGAGGAAATGTGATAGATACGGATCGGTTACGACGCGAAAAAGGAGTCATCTCGGTCGTTTTTGAGGTTATTCTAGGTTCTACGGATAGCTCAAGGTTGCGTGGGCGGAGTAATACGTTGCGGACATACCAAATGCGAGAAGGGTCGCTCAGCAGGGAAGAGGTTTCTAGCCCCTGGCCGACCGACGACATACACGCAGACGACGGTGAGAGCTACTGGCCGCAGCCTCCTGAAATGCCAGCCCCTCTCAGCCGGCAGCCCACGATCACGATACACCCCACGAGTCCTCCAGAGGACATGCAAGCACCAGCTTACGTACCTCCCCCACAAGTTCCGGACGAGGGTAGGATGACGGAGAAAGAGCGGGCACGGCGTCAAGAGGAGAGGCTCTTACCGAGCCGACCGCCCCTGATGCCAGAAGCGGGCCCGTCAGGGGCATCAGCACCGGAGCCGAATATCTACGACGCCGAGGATGAGCCCCAGCCTGGACCGCAATCGCATCATCATGGAGCAAATGGAGTGGAGGAAGAGCCATCCGCGCCAACGCTGGATGACATTTCTACACACCAAGAAGCGCGGACAGAAGACAAACAGGAGCTCGAACGGCAACGGCTGCTGGTCGAAGCCAGCGCGCCACCGGAATTCCCAGACGACTACGATGCGGGGCCCAGTGCATCGGCGTCAGCACCGCCAGCAGACGTCGCCGAGCCGTCGGCACCGGTATTAGCGGACGAAGATGACTACGGCCAGCAGTACAGTTACAGCACAGAAGCAGGCACTGGACAGTCCAGCCACCAACACCACGCAGCAGGCTCAGAACAGCTGCCGAGGTATGAGCGATGATGATTCAATGGGAGGGGACTGGGGTTGGAGCACGAGGCATGAAAGAACAATGGGTGAAATAGTGTATAATAAGTGTGGTTGTTGTGAGCATTTGCGAAGTGCGTCATCTACAAAGTAACTATAGAGACACGAACGTGTGAAACGAAATTCTTGAGAGCGAAAAATACAGCAAGCAATATGACATATATATATTTCAAATTTCATTGCGGGGACCCTTGTGCACCAGAGGAACATTTACATCTTTATAGATACGTAATGGTACATATTGAAGAGTGACGGACCAAGTCTTGGCGAACGTAGCTCGTCCAGCCCCAGCCGCATGGCATATGCAGATTTGGCGCTCGGCGAGCCGATTTGACATGCGATGCACTCGGCAGCCACCCATCTTGGCGCGAAGTTGTTTGCATAGATTATCAGATTTTGGTCCCGAGTGTTTGGCACCACCACAGCACCACAGCCTGGGCGGCTGCATCCATCCCCCAACCTCTTGGCGGCGAACCATCTCAACTTCCGTTCTCGTTATTATGGTAGGTAGTTCGAGGAGGCCGAGACGGGAGAGATGAGTGGGATAGGAAGGATGGGGGACTCTCAGGAGCACCGGGTCGGGGAATGGACTGGATGGGTTGGTGAGTGGCTAGGTAGGTAGCTAGGCATACTGCATGCTAAGGTAGCTTTGTGCTGCCTGCTTATTACGCATGTTTTGCTTGTTGGAACTTGTTACATGGAACACGGGGAAGGGGGAACGGGTGATCCACCGCTGCGACGAAGAGAAAAGTGCTTGTCGAAGGCTTGATTTTGGCGATCAAACGCTGCTGCCCTTGTCTTCCTCTTTTTGTTCTTGTTACAGGTTGTCGTTCCGCCGCGTTCCCGCCATTGGCGGATTTTCCGGTATTCCCCTTTTCTTTCTCGGAGTTTCTGGGCAAAATGAAAAAATGTCACGCTGTAGGTTGAGGTTGGGCGGGTATTGACCGTTTCGGCTCCCGAGGCCGGCGCGAGCAGATTTCTGGAGATCAGACATGTCGACTGTTGCTACTCTCTTACCTTGCGCTAGGCAATCAAACCAAACCATCTGCCTAGAGATTTGTGGCCTCAATATGCGTTGCGTAGGCATCCGGGTATGATTTGACGCCTGGTATGACGTTATTAGCCAGTAGGCTAATTAACCAAGACCAACCCAACGAGAGAAAAAACCGACAGAAGTCAAGGTGTCGTCGGTGACAGGACACATGAGAGAGAGAGAGAGAGAGAGAGAGAGAGAGAGAGAGAGAGAGAGAGAGAGAGAGAGAGAGAGAGAGAGAGAGAGAGAGAGAGAGAGAGAGAGAGAGGTGCGTTTCCAAAGGGAACCAAGACCAGCCAAGGAGCGGGAATGGGGCGTGGCACTGGGGAGAGTTTGAGACGCCAACCCGTCGAGACAGCCGTCGCCGCAAAGCTTGGCGGTTCGAACGGTAGGAACGGTACGGTACCGTTCCTTCGAGGGGGGCCGCGCCCGGGTGGCTGGACCCCTTTGCTTGGCATTGATTGTCAGATCGTTCTGCTGGTGGTAGTTTGGTACCATAGTTGGATACCTACCTCTAGGCGTGGTAGGTAGTATTGGAGCCCAAGGTTCTACTGGCGTCGTTTCTGATAGGCAGCTGTGGCAGCCAAAGGCGTGTGAACCTAGGTAGAGATCACTTAGCCCAAAGGGTAAGATCTGGCAGCTCATGTGATTGATTGATTGATTGGTGTGCGTCTGTGATAACCGTTCGTGAGTGTTAGAGATCTGGGAGGTTTAGTTCCAGCCAATGGGAAGAGAAATGGCGGATGCTCGGCATGGCTCTCTGCCTATGATGGGATGGATCACCGAACGCTTCGGTGGCTAAGTCTTGTGCGTGTTTGTCTCCTGCGCAGCATACGATAGGTACGAATACAGCGAAGGCAGCGGCAAGAAAAGAGGCTTAGCTGCAGTGCGCTGTTCTCTCTTTCGTTCTGTTGGGTCTGCTGTCGCTGCGGCGCAAGTGTGGGAATTCAAGGGCACCCAAATCGCGCCAATGTTTGCTGGTGGGGTTTCGTCTGCGGCGCAAGTGTGGGAATTCAAGGGCACCCAAATCGCGCCAATGTTTGCTGGTGGGGTTTCGTTCGGCACGTTCATGCGGGTACCGGATCCATTTGGTATCTCGATGCCTTTTGACCAAAGTGGAGGGTTTCTGGGAGGTTCCCCATCAAATGCGAAGAGAACCTCAAACAGTGACACCTGACGTTTTGGATTTGGGTGTCATTGTGGTGCCTCTGGCTCGCCAGCTTGCAGTGCTTGCGTGGGTATTGTTCATGTTGGGCTGTCTTATTGTGTCTTCAAGTATTACTACCGGTAGTCTGCAGTAGTAAGAAGAGGTGTCTCTCCGGTCCGCGTGAGAAGGTCAGGTCAGCCGGGACGAGCAACACAGACAATACGTTGGAAATGTCTCGCTAGAGAAGGGGGGCCTCAGTCGCATGACTACATTTCGTGTGCGACCGACCTTGGAAGTTACAAGACTTCTCCTTTCCCAGATCGTCGTCACCTCTTTCCTATCCTCCCATGCGACGCAAGCGCCCACGGAGATGCATATCGCAGGTGGGAGCAGCGAAAAGTCAAGCGCGAAGACGAGTCCAACTCCGTCCTAGCCACTTTGGCGGCAGCTAACGACCTAACGACCTACCTAGACACCTAGACTAACTCTGGCCCGAACCAAAGGTGCCTCATTCGTGTTAGTACACCACGAACGCGAACCTCGGAATCCGAATATCGTTTGAGGGAGAATCTGTCATCATGGCGTTCAATGCTGCGGCATATACCGAGTGACGGTCCATCTATGCACCGCGCCCATGGCGAAAAGCTACGGATGGAAATTGGGACGGAGCGCTTTTAGGTGGGGTGGTTAAGGATGTAAGGCGCGGTAAGGCAAGGTAATCGCCCACGAGCTGCTCCCTCAAAAGAGAATGTGGTCATGGGAACAAACTCGGCGTTCGAAGACTTGCAGTATCATCAATGGCGAAAAAAGACAGAAAGAGACGGGAGAGAGAGGACGCATCACCATCCCGCCACCGGGGACACGCATCCGGCCAATCAAGCGGTATCCACCTTTCCCCAAGTTGTGGCTGGGGCGCTGGCGGTGTCGGCTGTGGCCCTGCTGCGCTGCGCTCTGGGTCAGGTCTGCAAGGAACAGTCATCGCCTTCAGCCATGCCGGGTCTGAACCGAGTCTTTAGGTACCTTACTGTGGAAGAGTGCTGTGCAAGCACTGCCAAAGTTCCCATTATTGGACACGGGGGCCCCGTAGCCTAGTGGTTGGTTAGTTGGGGTTCGGGATTACTCGCGGGTACCTCAATCTATCGCGCTCATCGGGCCTTGGCCGATTGTATTTCGTGGCCCTTCTCCCCTACCCGCCCCGCCTGAAAACGTGTCCGTGGTGGTGAATCGGGGTTCTTTCGCTCATTCGGTCCCAGTGGAGTGCTACCTACTTTACGGCATGCGCAGCTGTCTCGGGGGGGGGCACTGTCTTGGGATTGGGGAAGAAAAAAAGCTTCGATTCCTCGGCCCCGCAGCTCGTCGCTCTCGCCGAATGACCTCAGCACAGAAAAAAGAAATTGTGTAGGTATCTAGGTAGACTACCTTACTGCGTACACCACGCAGGGCACCTCAATATGCATACTGGCAGTGGCAGCTGGGTAAGGGTACCAAAGTACCCATCTGAGGACGAAATACCTACAGGCTACACTACCCTACGTGCCTATACGTGCCTATACGTGCCTATGGAAACTAAAATGCTTAGACTGAAAAGTACTGGGCTGATGCGTCGTACCTACCTTACACCTCCACTGTGACTGAGGTGGGACGGGGGGTGGAGGGGAGGGGGAGCCACCGGGCAGCATCGCCCAGCCCGTCACTTTCGATGCAGAGCAGGGATCTCCTCGAACCTGTCACTGGGCCACTCTCTCTTTCACTGCTTTATTACCGTGCCTTACTCCATACAGCCCTTTTTATCGACACACGTTTCCGCTCTTCTTCTACCGCTGCCGTCTCGGAACTCTTTCATCTCACACACTCACTCACTCTTATCCACCAGTTCGCCTCTCTCTCTGTCTTTCCCATCAGATTCTCCCCGTCAGTCGGCTCTCTGAATAGCTTCATTGTTTCACATACATATAAAGCAATCAACAAGTACACACATACACAAGATGGCCAGCAACGACTACTACAACCAGGGTGGCAACTACAACAACCAAAACTATGGCCCTCCTCAAGGCGGTTACCCTCAGCACCCCCAAGCTGTAAGCACTCACCTCATCTCGTCCTCCCCCATTCCTCACGCCCAGACAATTCTTCTCCGTTGGCGCATTCCAATGCCTCAGCTCGATCACACGCGCCGGACCTCTACCTTATTCACAATCATGAATTTGACATGCGAACTACAATCACTAACACCCACAGGCCTACGGTCCCCCTCAAGGAGGCTACCAGCAGCAGGGCGGCTACTACCCCCAAGGTGGCGCGCCGCCCATGCAGTACCAGCAACAGCCTCCCATGCAGGCGCCCCGGCAGAAGAAGCAGGGCGGCGGAAACTGCTTGACGGCCTGTCTCGCCGCCCTGTGCTGTTGCTGCGTCATTGACGAGACGTGCGAGTGCTGCGCAGAATGGTGAGCTGTTCTCTCTGTCCTTATCTCAATCCCATTATCATATACGGCGGCTAACGATATCCCAGTTGCGAGTGCTGCTTCGACGTTTGCTAAATGAATTGAGAAAACACCTCTTTCACTCACTCACTTTAGCTCATCTCCACAAAATGAGAGCTAGAGTGAGAGATGATATTTTTTTTTTCCCTCTTCCAATTCACTTGCGGGATTCAGCGAAATCCTGACATCCTCGGCGTGTCAAAAGTACGGTCTGTGGTTTCCGTTCAAAGAAAGTGGGGAACCCGACGGGATCACGGCAACTACCTTACCTCGAAAAAACTGTAATTGGCTCCCAACAAATTTTTCCAAACGACGACGACTAGGCATGAGGAAGGAAAGTTGATGGAAATCGGCGGCTCTACTTCTCGAGACCTCTCGCACGGCTCAATCGGCCTCGACCGGCGCAAAGCAAACTCGCAAAAAAACACACGAAACCTGAGACGACGAAATGAAGTTGGGATGGTTTATAGGGACGAATCGATTGGAGGAAAAGGGAAAACTTTGGGAGGGACGGGGTTCACGATGGGTTCAGCGACCTCGTTGATTACTTTTTTCCCCACGGGCGTTCATGGCGCTGTTTCTTTCCTCCCCATCTACCTGTCAAATCTGGATAAATCATTTGTCGGTGGGCGCATTGTTTATGCGCCGTAATGACTTCCTTTTCTCAGTAGTCTTTTTTTGGAAAATGAATATGTATACCTTACTAATATGAGTATTGAAACTTGTGATCAACGTGACATGAGATGAATGTATGGACTAAAACACCAACATTTAGTCGCCATTATCGTCCATGGGCTTGTGTGCATATAACATATATCTTATACATCTACTAACCGTTGAACGGTTATGGCGAAATCACACAATGCTGCAAGCTTCTCCTCAATCAAGGTTAGGACAATAACACCGATATTTTTATTCATCTTAAACGCAGCTAAGAGCCTCACAACTCAAGACTGTTCTTGGTTGAGAGGCTCAGGGCGTGATTCGTCGCTGGCCGTCATGGGGACTTTTTCTAACCGCTACCCATCAATTCATCCCTAGTTGTCCAGCTGGACATAGTTGGCAGGGAAGAGACCCTGCTTGCCACCGTAGGAACCGAACCACCAATCCTCGTCAGGGAACTCGAGGTCCTTGATCGTTGCATTCTCGGGGAACGAAAGTTCTACAGACTAAGAGTCAGCATTGGTACATCAAAAGAATAGGGGATGCGCTTTTCTTACCATTATCCTCAGCAGCCTCGTAGTCGAATTGCGCGGTGGCTGTTCGGCCACCAGCGGCAGCTGCCGGTTCGGGCTCCGCTTGAGCCGGTGCGGGAGGAGGGGCGCTTCGTGCCGCCGGCGCCGGTTCAGGCTCATCCTCAACAAGCTCGACGTAGTTGCTGGGGAACAAGCCGCTCTCGCCGCGGGAGTTGGTTCCCATCCACCAGTCCTCGTCCACCATCTCGATGTTTGTGACATACTCGCCCTCGCGAAGCTCAAGCTCGTTGTCTTCCGCCTTCTCGTAGTCGTATTGAATCACGGCGCGTTTGCCGCCGGTGTCCGCTTGGCCTGCCGCTACCTGCTCCTGACCAAATGATTGCTCTGCGACAACTGCGGCAGCGCCGCGGCCAGCGTCGTTGTCTTCCGGAAGGTCCTCCTCCCTAGGTAGCTCTTGCTGAGTAGGGATAGGGCGGGGAGGTTCCCTCTCCTCGGGCGCCTCCATCTCAACTTGGGGTCCGCGAGAGACGGGCTGCGCAACTCTAATGGGAGACTGTGGCTCCTCCTCCTCTTCTTCCTCTTCAGGGGCCGGCCTGGAAGGCAGTCCAGGCAGAGCAAATCCACCAGCTGGGGGAGGCCGGGAACCGCTAGGCGGGGGAGGAGGAGACGGTTCATCGTATTCTTGCTGCTGCTGCTGCTGCTGCTGAGGCTGCGACTCGCGGGGAATGGGCGGGGCTCCGCCGGTGAAGCGCTCCTTGAGGGCACCAATGCCGCCACTAGGAGAAGCGGGCGTCTCGACACTTCGCTGGGCATCCTCGCCGGTGTTCTCCTGGCTAATGGAACCCTTGCCGTACTCGGGCATCTTGACGGGTCCCCATGACTTGCCAGAGTAGCCGCTCTTCCACTCTCCGGTCGACTGAACGCCAATCGGAGAAGTGACCGGAGGCGAGACAACGTTGGATACGGATCCGCCCTGCTTTCCCTTCTTCTCGGCCCAAAGCTGAGCTGGCGTCTTGCCACCTTGGTCGGCAAACGTGCGGCTTGCGGCACCCACTGGTGGGGGCGCCGGAGCAGAGGGTGCGCCGAATCCAAGACCACCGGGCGCCGGGGCCTTGGTGCCGGTGAAAGCTGCCGCACCGCCAAACTTGTTGGCGACCTTGGGCTTCGGCAGTGATGTCAAGCGTTCTGACTGGTTGAATGCGGCACTTCGCTCGGCCAGCGACTTGGGCCGCTCATCTTCCTCGGGCTCCTGTGCCGCAGCCTCTGAGGGCTTCTGTGCCTTGGCGCGAATAGCTGCAATGTCGACCTTGCCGATGGGTTCGTACGCACCCTTGACCGGAGCAGGCCTGTCGTCCTGCTGGTTCTTCGCTGCGGCACGAATCGCAGCAATATCCACCTTTCCAACGGGTTGGTATGCGCCCTTCACGACATCAGGCCTGTCTTGGGAGCCGTTTCCGTTGAAGCCGGAGGGTTCTTGCCGTTGCTTCGTGAGCTCTGCCATGTTGACCTTGGTGGGCTTGTACGCAGATTCGACCTTCTCCAGCTGGGACCGAGTCACCTGAGGTGCATCGTCTCCCCAGCCATCCTCGTCGACGCCTGCGGGCTTGCGGTTTCGCGCGGCGACGATGGGATTGACGCCGCTTGATGATGTGGTGGGTGTGAAGACGGGCTTAGAGGCAACCGGAGGTGGGGCAGCGGAAGACGTGGAACCGCCTGCTGAGTACTTGGCACCGGAGGCATCGGCAATCTTGCGCATGACGCTCTCTGGCTCGAGGTCGCTGTCTGAACGAGCGGTGATCTGGACATGGTAGCCGTGGAGGATCTTGGAAACGGCGGCGGTATGGGTAGTGAAGTAGCCCTTGGTTCTCTCGGGGACACCGCCTCCGCACCAAGCAATCAGGGCGTGCTTGGGGAGGCCAGAGTTGGGATCCTTGACCTTGACAAAAGCGAACTGGATGCGGCCCTCGTTGAAGTCTTCGATGAGCTCGGAGAGCTCGCCATCTACGTGGGAAAGGACACATGTCAGCGCATTGTCTTCCCCCGAGCGAGGTCGGGAGCTCGGGCGAAAGAGCGGGGGAACTTACCACCAGTGCTCTGGACCTTGAGCACACTCTCCTTGTTGCCGCTGTCTTGGAAAGCATTGGCCAAAGGAGCCTGAACTGAGAACAAGGCCCATTGAGCGTATGTTGGGGAGCTCGAGTTTGGGGGCGGGCCGTTGATGACTCCCTGGTAGCTGCTCTTGATCGAGGGTCCGTTGATGGACAAATTGAGTGACGCCATTGCGAGTTTGGGCAGTAAGCTCGACTAGCAGTGGTCGTCGATCGTTGAGTCGTCAGTAGATGAGGGGGATTGGTGAGGGGGGAAAAGAGGTATAATAGTAGGGTGGAGGATGTTTGGTCGTAAAGGTCTCCGTCGGAGAGTCGCCTATGTCTGACGGGCAAGAAGCTGACGTAGCAAACCAACCCTCTCTTCTATTGCAGAAAGTCGTGGACAGCCGAGAGTTGGAGAGGCGCAGCACAGGTGGAACTAGAACTTGGAGGTGAAGCACGGTCCCGCCAGCATCCAATACGCGGACGGTCGGTTACGCAGCTCAGCGTTGTTCAGCGCTGGCCAGGTGTCGAGGCGGGGCAGGCTGGGCAGCTAGGTACCTAAAGTGACTGACTGGCAGTGACTGGGAGCCTGGGAGGGGGACGGGAGGGGAGTACAGTGACACACTGTGCTCCAAAGGTGCCTGCCGCTTTCGCTCTCCGCTTCGGGCCTCTGCGCTGCTCTAGTGGGGCAGCTTGGGCATACCCCCGTGTGGTCCCCGCCGAGTGGGATTCTTCACATATGTAATTATGCCACGTAAATATCGCGACAGATGACGCAACTCGAGACCTTCTCCGCTACAGTCATCATCCCATGCAGCAATCCCATCTCCTGCCCGCCGAGATCGCTATACCCGACACCATCGCTGCCACCCCGAAAAATCACGACTTGCCCCTCCAAATAATACCCCTCCACCCGACGTATCGGAGACCCGTGGTTTATCAGCCGTTGGACTTGTCATTCCGCGATTCAACGTCCGACCAAACCCGTCCTTCCTCTCGAGTGCGTTCCACAAGACTCTACGACTCCACGCGATTCCCTCTTGCGGCCTCTTCTATTCGATTGACCCCGAATAGACCCTCAACGCATCACCTCCAACAACCGACATTCCTAAGAATTCGCGATCCGCCAAAAAAGCACAATGTCGACGATCACGGAGATCACCAGTCTTGCCGACTGGGAGAAGCACATCGCCTCCACCCCGTCTTCCACCCTCCACATCATCTCCTTCCATGCGCCATGGGCCGCCCCATGCGCCCAGATGGCTACCGTCCTCTCGACCCTTGCCTCCGAATACCCCGTCACCAGCCCCCCGCAGACATCCTGGGTTTCCATAAACGCCGAAGAGCTCAGCGACATTAGCGAGACATACAACGTCACCGCCGTCCCCTTCCTCGTTCTCCTGCGCAACGGCCAAGTCCTCGAGACCGTCAGCGGTAGCAGCGCTGTCAAGGTCCGCAACGCGATCGAGACACACGCAAAGAAGCCCGCCGGCGCCGCTGCCACGGTAAACGGCAACCAGGGCGTCGAGAATGGTCCCAGCGCGATGCAAGTCGACGAGCCCGTCGACCCGGCCAAGGCCAAGGAGGAGCTGTTCAAGCGCCTGGCGGACCTTGTCAAGGCGGCGCCAGTCATGCTCTTCATGAAGGGCACCCCCAGCTCGCCTCAGTGTGGCTTCTCAAGACAGCTTGTTGCCATCTTGAGAGAGCACTCGGTCAAGTACGGCTTCTTCAACATCTTGGCGGATGATGAGGTACGACAGGGCCTGAAGGAGTATGCCGAGTGGCCGACCTACCCTCAGCTCTGGGTTGATGGTGAGCTGGTTGGTGGTCTTGATATCGTAAGTCAAAAAGTCTCAGCGCCGTTGCTGACTCACAATTACTAACGTTATCCCTTTCCTAGGTCAAGGAGGAACTCTCCAACGACCCCGAATTCTTCGGCCCTTACAGTATCAAGGCCAGTGCTGAGGCCGCTGCGTAAACCGCCTAGTCATCAACAACATCCTGCATATTAACGCCTGCCCGGTCCTCACCGTGTAGGACGTGACAATTCTCGTAGTCTTCACATACCCATTCACATTTGATTTACATCCTCGCCTGGCCACTCGAATTTCATATCGTATCTGGCTTTTGGATCGGGCGACGATATAGCCCTTGGTGTGATCATGTCATTCGCCAGTCATCCATCGTTTTAAGGGCTTCATGGTTGTCCCCGATCTGAGAAATATGACTGGGAGGAGGCACTTGGGAAACTGAATGAAAGCTATCTTTGATTCAAGATACTGCGATTCCGGGCTCAGAGATTTGGCATGGTCAGAGTAATCATTGTTTGCGAGACACAGGCCCGGCACACAAAAGTTGACGCATTTCAAGGCATGAGAACATGAGCTACGGAGGCGATTTCAAACTGAGCGGATACTTTCAGGTACCTTAGTTAGGGCTCGTTCGTTTTTACGCTATCGTCAATGACAGTGAAATCATTCAAGGTAGACGGCACGACTCTGTGTGATGTACCTCTTAGATACAGCGCTTCATTATTCCTGTCTTGGGACCTTGTTCATTCTTATATGAGGTTCGATCATCAGAGGGAATGGTCAATGGGGAGTCACTCCTCACCCAGAACATGATACGATACGAAACAGGTCTATTGTAAGGAAGAGCCCTGTCTTACTTCCTATCCAAATATTGAGGTAGACCCCAATCACGGTAGCGGTATGGTCGTCAACATATCGAAATATCAAACTCCCATTGCTCCCATAGATACGCTCAAGATAGAGCCATCATAGCATTGCACTCTATTTTATCTCCATCCCCGTGCTGGGCAACGGTACGATACGAGACTGAGCACCTGGATGGCTGTGGATGATTCATCTCCAATAGATTTCCGCAGCGGTCCTTCCTCGCCTACTTTGTTTACCTCGAGATCAGATGGAATGGAGGTGAGGAAGCCTTTATACCCCCCCTCAAATCCATTCCCGTCACCAGCCAGTAGGCGCCCGTCTAGGTCGACGGGTCAGGTCAAACTGGCTTGGCGGTCGAGTGGTTAACGGTCAACATCAATTATCTACGCCAACCAGCCTACTCGACGACAGGCTTAGCGCATACGAGTTACCCGAGTTCGAATCCCAGCATGAGCACCCATAAATTTCCCAGCATGAGCGCTAAGAGATGTAGCCCCCAGTTCAGCACCGGGGGGGTGAACTCTTTTTGGTTCATGTAGTTTATATGCTTTTGAATTATTCCTCCTGGGTGGAAAGGAAAGGTATACAGCGGCATTCGTGCCCACACCAGGGTCAAGTATCAAACTACAAGCCATGAACGTCTACTTGTGCAATCTTCTCAGAGAAGAGATATGAATGATTCACCCAGATCACGGTCACCATCAAAATCGTCTTGAGAGCACGCCGTAGAATTTGCCGTTCTCTAATACTGCGTCGATGAAAGGCGAGGGAGCGGTGACATGTTACCCAACTACACTGCTGACTCGGCCCCTTTCCGTCTCCTAAGAGAAACGATTTTGCTACATCATTGTGCGGTCATCCGGCACCTTGAACATATCTAATGCTGTCTTATACAAGCAATAGAATGAATGTAGCTTCTTCTATATTGGATAGTCTTGGCATGGTCGTGAGCCGAACTCGAGGAGGATCGGACCATACTGACTGAAGCCTACACTTGACTCCTGAAACCGTCAAAAGCTACGTCACTCAAAGTCCAAAATGAGATATCTCGAAAGTCAATTTACTCATTTTGTCTACATGTGACCTCATATCCTCCCTCCCTGATGATACCATCATTGAAGGTGCGATAAAATGAGTTCATACACAGGTCAACACCCAAACCCACCCCCTCGCCCCGTCCCCCACTCCTATAATCGCTGCCTCCTCATCTCCTACATGACAACAACCAAAAGCGCAGTCACAGCACCCAAAACAGCAGCAACATACCCGCCCCCCTGCGTCGTCCTACACCCCGCATTAGGAACCGTAAGCAAAGCAGGAGACGTCGCCACCGCAAAGGACCCGCCGCTCGGCGCCGCGAAACCGGCCGCCGTCTCGAGGATCATGGACGTCCAGAGGGACGACGGCAACGTAATGCTGGGGCCGATCTGCACGACGGGCGTGGCGCCGATGCCGACGCCAAGTTGCGGCTGGGGCGTAGGCACGATGGCTGCCGTGGAGGAGACGGGCGTGCTGGGTTGCTTGACTCCCGTGTTGCTGCCACTGATACTGCCGCTACCGCTGCCGGAGCCGGAGCCGGAGCCGGACTCACTGTCGGACTCACTGTCGGAGTCTTGGCCTGACCCCTTACCTGAACCACTGCCGGAACCGCCGCTCTCATCTCCGCTCTTGTCGCCCCCCCTTTCGCTTTCCTTGCCGCCACCAGCGGTGGTACTAGGCACAGGCGTCACCGAAACTCCGCTAGCCGTACCGGTAGGGCCACCGGTAGTCGACGCAGGAACATCGGATTTGACCGCGCCGCCGTCCGCAGGCAGAGTCCCCTTGTAAGGCAACGCACCGCTCGAACTGGCGGCAGACGGCGGCGGCGGCGCCGGATCAGAAGTCTGGGGCTCAGGCTTCGTCACAGCCGTGCCTGTACCGTCGCTCGGCGGGTTCGAAGGCGCCGACGGGGCAGCGATGGGCACGGGGGCTACGGCCGCGGGCTCGGTGACGGGGAGGGCGGGCAGGCCTGTAGGGGTGGCGCTGCTGTTTGATGCTGGGTTCGCTGCGCTCGGGAGGACGGGGGGCTCGCTTGCGGCTGGGGGCGAGGCGGGGGCAGTGCTGTTCTTGGGGACTGGGAGAGTTACGATCGGTAGGGAAGGCGTGGTTGGCGCTTCTGGCGCGATGCTGGTGCGGTTGGCTGGGACTTTTGCTGCTGGTTGAGTGGCGGCGGGCGCCTTGCTCTTGGCCGGCTGCTGTATCTGTTCTTAGTATTTGCTCTATTGGGAAAACAAGTCAGAGGAAACTCACCTCGGCGCTCGGAGCTGTCCCGTTGTTGGTGGGTGCGAGGGTCGGGAACTTCGAGGGTGTATCGGGTACCGTGGAATAGATAGGGGTCGGAGTGACCTCGGCGTTCGCGGGCACCGTCTGGTTCTTGGTGACCGAGAGACTTGGGAAAGCCGGGCCCGAGTCCGGGATCGTGGAGTATATCGGCGTGGGCGTGACCTCAGCGCCACGTCCTGGGACTCCCGTCTGGTTCTTGGTCGCTGACAATGTCGGGAACGATGCGGGCGCGGAGGGGGCGGACTGGATGGTCGAATATATCGGCGTAGGTGTCTGGTTCTTCTCGGCGATGCTCGTGAGCGGTTTCGAGGCGTTGCGAGGTACGGCTTCCTCGTCGGGGGTCGCGGGCCGCTTCTTGGATTTGCCGGTTCTCTGTCTAGAAGGAGAGGCTCCAGGCGCAGTGCCGTTCGAGATAGCATTCTTGGACTCATCAGGCTGGACGAAAGCGGGCTGCGTGGGGGCAGCCTCCGCGACGGCGACGCCGGCGGGGATAGCATCAGCGGGCAAGG